TAATGTGGCACCCTGCGATGTTGGGGGTTGGGGAGAAAGCTTGTTAGAAACCTTGTGGATGGGCAACTTATTCGCTTGCTTAACCAAGTCCAATATCAAATGACCAGCATTTTCCTTGAATAATAAAGTAGAATGAATAGAAAATATTAAGACTATGCTGTGTTAAAGATAAGTAATTGCTATACTTACAGCTCAAAAATAGTAAAAACTCTGCAGATTCATGTGGTTCAATAAATAGTTTTATATTGGGTTTTAGTGAAAGACACTGATCTAAGAGATTGGTTCAAATCTAATTGCTGCATCTAAGGCTAATAAATCCCAGTAAGGTGGTGATGAATATTGCTCATTTCCTCTAGCATTCTGGAATAAATTAATGCAGGTTGAAAGTAGGGGATTCAGATGACTTTGCCCTGGTAGTGCAAAAGCAGACGCTTGAAAGCCAAGAGGTGACAGTGCATATTTTTATGTTTGTTTATGATTTAGTTACTGCTTTACTAGGCACAACTGATAAGGAACATTTCCAGAATATTCTGTTTTGAGTAAGTTGTATATTGCACTCTTGAATAAAATTTACTGTGCACGGAGCAACAAATTTAAAAGCCAGCAGTATTCCTGTCCATATTATCTTTTCTCTTTTTAAAGATTTATTTTCATTTACACATACAAGAGCTGGGGTTTAGGCCAGAGGTGTGGCGTGGTGAGAGGATTCACCAGAGACAGATCGGGAAACAGAACAGGCAGATTGACTGAAATCCACTGCTGAGGGGAGCAGCGGGGAGACAGGAGAGGTCTGCTGCGCCATGTGGGTCACCTCCCTGGCCGGGGATTGAACTGATGCTGCAGTGGCTGGTGATAGCTTCATAGCGCACTGAGATTTTAACCCATGTGCCACCAGGGAGGCCCTCCTGTCCATATTAAAGGGAAATTATTGGTTTGTCAGAGAAGTCATGATGCATTATTACTTGCGAAGAATCAGGTGGTGGAGATGCATGAAACCAGGTATGGGGGAAAGGTACTGGGTTTCCATGGCACCTCAAAGGCTTCATTCCCCAAATCTTACGTTCAGTAATCTGGAAACTCTCTGAATTCCCTCCTTTTGGATTTTTATGGGGGCTTGATTATATTGGCATGACTGACTGACTCATTGACCATTGGTACTTAAACTCAGCCTCAGTCAGGATAAGGAGGCAGGATAGAAAGTTCCATGCCTTAGTCCAGTTAGTTTCCCTGGCAACCATCCATCATCTTCAGGGGTTTTCCAAAAGTTATGTCATTAATAAGAGACACCTTTAATTCTTAGATTTTAAGAAAGACTACATTCACACTACTGTGGAAGGGAGATATAGTCTTGAAGTCCAGGGTGAGGAGTTAACTGGAAGGAAACGTCAGTAGGAAAGGATCCCAGCCACCTTCTTTCTGTCCGGTTTATATAGTGTTGGTACAGGCAGGCTTCTCCGTAAAAAGCTGGAGTTACATTACAGCAAACACATTACAGAAGCACTTTCCTGGGCACGTGTTAATTTCCAGGCAGAAGGACCGGCATACTTTAGCATCATCTCTTTGGCACATGCAGTCTGTGTAAGGAAGGCAAAGGCTTTGGGAGATAAAAATCTATCTCGAGAAAATACTTGATTTGGTTGGATGCTACAGGTCACTGGGGAAGGGGTTGGCTCCAGACTTCAGACGTCTGTTCCCCTCCTAGAAGGTGATAGCGCTTATTGCTGCTGACTTAACCTCTGCAATTGAATGTTTCCTTTACCTGAAACTTGATTTTTTTTTCACTCTCTTAATACAGTATATGGTTATAATTATTCTATTTTATTACTAGTTATGGTTCTTAATCTTACTGTGTCTAATTTAGAAATTAAACTAGCTCATTCAATGTATACATAGGAAATATGTAGTGTATATAGGGCTTGGCACTATCTGGTTTCAGGCATCTACTGGGGGTCTTGGAATGAATGTATCCACTGCAGATAAGGGGGAACTAGCATCTATAAAAAGCAGGTGAAGGGGCGGGGCTGGGAGGGAAAATGCAGGTGAAAATTGCAGGGGTTTTACAATTGCATCCATTGTAACATTGGGGGTTGTGCAGAAAGTGGAGGACAGTGGAGACAAAGGCCAGCAAGGACAGAGAGGGCCAGGATTTGGAATCCTTTGCTTAGTTTCAATCACAGCTGCTCTGTGTTAAATATTTGGGTGTGGTTTTTTTTTTGTTTGTTTTTTTAAAAATTTATTTATTTATACAAGAACTAGGGTACAGGCCTGAGGTGCGGGAGGGTGAGAGAATTCACCAGAGACAGAGCGGGGAGCAGAACAGGCAGACGGAGCGAAGACACTGCTGAGGGAGCAGAGGGTGAGGCAGGAGAGGTCTGCTGTGCCATGTGGGGTTCTCCCTGGCCGGCAGGGAATCGAACCGGCGATGCAGAGGCTGCGGACAACTTTGCAATGCGGCACTCAACCGCTGCGCCACCGGGGAGGAGGCCCCTGGTGTTTTTTTTTTTTTTAAAGATTTGTTTATTTATGCATACAAGAACTGGGGTACAGGGGCCTCCCGGGTGGCACAAGGGTTAAGACACAACCTATGAAGCTATCCACAGTCTCTGCAGCACGAGTTCGATCCCCAGCCAGGGAGCTACCCACATGGCGCAGGAGACCTCTCCTGTCTTGCCCACTGTTCCCCTCAGCAGTGTATTTCAGTCAATCCGCCTGTTCTGTTCCCCAACCTCCACACACCTCTGACCTGTACCCCAGTTCTTGTGTGCATAAATAATAATTTTTTTTTTTTAAAAAGCAAAACTAAAGTGTCTGAACAAATTAAAGAGGGGAAGTTATTACAGAAATTTCTGGCAATTTTGCTTTAAAATATAATGAATGTGCCAAATGGACCGACTTAAGACATCCTGAGTCAGCTGTTTTACATAAATGTATACTTTTTCATATATCAGACTAGATTAAAGGGGTTCTTCTGGGACTGATTCCTTATCTTTGAAGCAGAGGTTATCAGACTAGCCATGTGGGAGAATTACCTGTTTCACTTCTTAAAGATAGCCATCACAGTACCCTACCTCTGGAAATTCCAGTTCCGTAGATTTCCAGGTGGGGCCTCACATTCATCTGTACTCTTTAAAAGCCTATGAATTATTCTGATGTACAGCCAGGGTGGGACCCTCTAACAGAAAACTTTTGTTTACCTAAAGTACAGTATTCTTAAAATTATCTCACTCTAACCCTCAGAGCAGTTCAGAATAGCTGCTGTTAACTCCATTTTAGATGGGGAAACTGGCTCAAAAAGTGCCTTCCACTGGGAGAAAGCAGAACCAGAAGCTAGATTTTTCAATTTCCAGTCCAGCCCTGTTGTCCCATGCCAGCCTGTCTCCTGCTACCCTCCAGTGGGCGGGGAAATAAGGGAAGTGAGAAGTCTAGGCCAAAAAAAAAAAAAAAACCTTGAGAGTTAAGTTCAAGCTTTTTATTTAACACAAAAGACCACTTCAGATTTTTTAAAAAAGTATGTGATTACTTTCTAAATAAATCTGATAGTAAAAATGGCCATTACTTTGATGACTTTTTAATGTTTGGGGTCATGTACTTGATTGATAACCATCACCTCATTCAGTCGTTCCCAACTCCATGGAGTCTGGATGCTGTTCTGTCCCTATTTTTCAAGTGAGGAAACTAGTGCTCAGGAAGGATTAAGAAACAGGTTTCTCCCAAGAGATCCTGAGCTGGCAACCACCCTGCTCCCATACCTGCTTGGTAATTACATGATGTCTAAGGAGGGCATGCATACTGAGTGCTGGATTGGTCCGAAAGGGGTGTTTGTTTTGTTTTGTTTTTAAGGCTTTGGAAAGTTAGGCTCAGCTTCTAAGAATGGAAAGATTCTAATCCACACAAGTGGGGCACCTCATGCTTTTGTGGTAAGCACATAAAAGTGTATGTGCCTTCTAGAACAGAAGAACTTATCTTTGGCTCTTCATGAAAGCCCACCAGAGTAGTTAACCATGTGTACAAATTTCGAACTGCCTGGAAGGAGGGAGCCATGCAAGGGGGAATGTAGTTAAGTTTTTATGGAAATAAGAAGAGATCTGCTTTGAGGAAACGTGCATGACATCAGAAGCCTCCACCCTTTGTTTGCTCGACTTTCCTTTTATGATCTTGTAAATGGTCATTCCTGAGCCCTCCAAGTGTGTCTGCATTTGTTGTAGGGATAGATTTACCCAGACAGGTGGAAGGGTCCCCACTTTAGGGTTATAAACAGCTGCGCAGGCCGAGGCAGCTCACAGTCTTGATTGCCAAGGATGTGGCCATTCCCCGCAGGGAATTAACCAGCCTTAGAACAGCCCCTCAAATCGGAACGGCTGCAATTTTGGTCTAGTGCATGCACCACCCATAATAGCTAAATGGTAACATTAAAATGTAAAGAATTTCCAGCTCTTTGAAAGGGATCATCTCACCGTGCTTCCGCTTGGCTGACTCAGAGCTTTGAGACTGTCGGGTTTCTAAACGAGTCACACAGTAGGTCGTCAATACAGAAATGTCGAGTTGTAGCAGTAATTCTCATCCCCTAAGGAGTTTAACTTCACCATCCCACCGTGAATAAGGCAAATAAACGAACAGTAACCACGAGAAATCTGCCCACGATGTGTGTCCTCCTACTCGCCCAGATCGCGCTTTTTCCCTCTAGCAGGTAACTTTTTTAAGTGACAGCGAGCACAGCTCGCACCCAGCGCGGGGCAGGTCCGTCCTTTGTCCAATCATCTCCGGGGCTGGGGCTGGGGGAGGGGAGCTCGCCTAGACCTTCGCGGACCAGGAAGGGGGCGGGCTTAGGCTAAGCAGGGGCCTTCCCAGCCCGTAGTCACGCCGCACGGTGCTTGGCAGTCGAGCGAGCCAATAGGAACGAAAAGAGCCGTTTAAACCGGCCAATGCAGGCGGGGTGGGGGCGGGGCTCGAGGGCCTATAAAAGCGGCGGTCGGCCGGGCCGGCGGCGGCGGAGGCTCCAGCAGCGGTCGCCGTGCCGGCCCCGAATCGCGCTCCCGGCCGCTCGGACCCGACCTTCCCTGCGCTCTGCTCCGGCGCCAGCCACCTCCCCGCGGCGCCATGACCACCACCACCACCTTCAAGGGCGTGGACCCCAACAGCAGGAACAGCTCCCGGTGAGGCGGCGGGGCCGCCCGAGCGGGCTCGGGGCGGGGGGCGCTGCCCGGCGTGGCCGCGGGCGCCCGGCCGGTGTGGGCCGCAGCGTGCCCGGCGCAGCCTCGCGAGCCGGGCGGCGCAGCTCGCAGCCGGGGCCGCCTTTGTGCGCGCGGGCCCCGCCCGGCCCCCGCCGTCCCCATTCATTCCTGCCCGGCGCCGGGGCCGGGAGGGGCCGCCGCGTCGCGGGGCGTCGCTGGTCGGCGCGCGTCCGGAGGGCTCGCCCCCAGCCCGGCCCGGGCGGCCGGCGCGGCCCCGGGGCGGTGGCCGCGACCTCCGGAGCCCGGGCGGCCGCGGGGGCCTCGGCCGGGCCATTGTCCCACCCCGCGCCGCGGTCGGCTCCGCGCTGGCCCGGGCAGGGGCGGCCGCGCGCGGGGCCCGCGGCTCCACCCGGGCCCGCCCGGCAGGTGGCCTCCGTCCTCGGGCGGGGCTGCGGCGGGGCCCGCGCCCCTCGGGCCCCAACCGCCGGCGCTGCTCGCGGGGCCTCGCTCCGCTAACAAAGGGAGGACCCCGCTTCTCCCGCCCGCGCCCCGTCGGCGTGGGGGGCGGCGCGCCCGGGCGGGCCCCGGGGCTCGAGCCGTGGCCCCGGCGCCTCGCCCCGCGGCTCCCCCGCCGGCCCCTTGACGTCTGCCGCGGGTCCGGCCCGGGGCCCGGCTCCGAGGGCGAGGAGGCTCCGCGCTTGGGCGGGGCCCCAGACGGCCATTGTCTCCGCCGTGCGGTCGCCCCCGGGGAGCCCCGGCCTTCCCGCCGCGCACCCCGCCGCCTTGGGCCGGGCACCGGCACCCGCGGGCCTGCGCCCCTTCTCCAGCCCTTGGAACCGGGGGGCTCGGGCTCCGCGGGAGATGCCCACATTGTCTCGGCCAGCTGCACGCTGCTCTCCAGGGCGGGCCGTGGGCGTCGCTGGGTCCTGGTGGGAAGCCCCGATGCCACTTTTTCTGGCACGTTCTTCATCGGCCACGGCCTGCAGTCATGTGTGGCCAGCCGTGGGGTCCTGGGCAAGTGGCACAAAGGGAGCCATTTTGTGGGGCTAAGAAGACAGCGGTGCAATAGCCGTGTCTCCGGGGGCTGGAGAACTTGGGAACAAAAAGCAAGCCTGGGCAGAGAGTCCGGGAGAAGGACGTCGATTTTTCACCTCGTCCCTTCCCTTTTCACAAGGTAGGAAAGAGAAAAACTAGTGGTTACTGGCAGGATGGGGCAACCTGAGTGCAGACCTGGTCACTCCCTCTTCTGTTGTCATCCTTACAGTGAGGTCATTATTTTCAGAGGACACTCATTGAAGCTTGGTTTTTCATTTTGTGCTACGAGGCTAACTTTCTGCTGCTCAGGCTGAAGTACTCGGGATGTGAGTGTGGGTCGAGCCTGTGATTTCATCCTTTGGGCTTGGTGCAGCTGAGTGCTTCATACAGAATCTCGGGCCACGGAGCCCACACACTAGCTGTTTTCGTTGAGTTCATCGGAAATTAAGCGAAGTGATGTTTGGTTTTGCGAAAGAAATGCTTTTGTCATCTTTTTTTGTCATCGCTCTCCCTCCGCTGTTGTTGTCTGGGGACGGTGGCATTGTCCTTTCACTTCCTGCCTCTCCTTCTGTAACCTCGCCAATTCTCCTAAACTTCTTTTCCCGGGTAACATCCTCCTGGCTCCCAAGCACATTCTGCATTTGCTCTGGTAGAGAACGATCGGCAAAGATCATATGGGAACTCTGGACTTAGGAGAGAAGAAAGAGCAATTTTTTAAAAATCACTCTCTGCCACACATGGACACATTTTGTTAAGTCTCAAATATGTAATCCTGATTTAGTTATCATGTGTGTGGTTCAAAAGAACAGTGGGGTCTTAAAAAATAAAATTGAAATAATTTCTGGCTTATGCTCCAGATCCTTTGTTTGGGATGTCTGCTCGCAGATGGGCTCTGCCTCGCTGACGTCATCCGAGTAGGTATTACCTGCTGTTGCAGAGGGACACGGACCCACCAAAGTTGGGCTGGTCAGAGCTTTGACTTTGTTTTTAAGCTGTTTTGGGGGGTACGGGTCTCCCCCCCCCCTTTTAAGGCCAAAAATGCCCTGGTCACTTGGGTTCTGAATGTTTTTCATCTGACTAAAATTATCCATAAGGGCTGTAATTATGATCCGTAAGGAAAACCAGTCTAATCTCTAGGGAATGAAGGGAGTGGCGATGACGCAAGTTGATTTTGATTTCAAGTGTCTTTGTTGATTTGGGGTACACATGATGAAGACCTAGGCGCCTGCTTCAGACTCTAACATGAGAGAACGCCCATTAAGACTTTATAACACACCTTTAATTATGATTTAAGAATTTTAATTATCATTATAAAATATATGCCTGAACACACTTAATTCATATAATGAATTTAATCTTAAGTGGACATTTAATGTCTGAGACTTTATGGGGGCGGTAAATGTTTTACATGTTCTAAAAATTCAGCAGGGTCGTTCCCCATCTGCTGGGGGAAGAGAATGATATTTGTATCTTGCAAAGGGGGTATGGAATTTAACTACGGGCAGACACTAACATCAGCTTCCAGAAGGATGCTGGAGCGACTGTCTGCCACATACCCAGCAATCTGTGATAAGAAAACCAAAAGTGCGGACCCTCTGGGATTGTAGTTTAAAGGGGAATTCTCTTTATTTAAGCACTTACGTGCGGGCTGGGCACCCAAGAGCTGGGGTTTGATCCTGTCAATTAACTAATGTTGGGCAGTTTATTGAGAGCTTCTCAGGGCTCTTTCCTCGCTTAAAAATGAGGCTGTTGAACTGGATGGAGCAGAGCCCGCCTAACTATCGCCTGGGGCCAAACCCAGCCCTCTGCCTGATTTTGTGGAGTTCGGAAGGATTTTTACTTTTATAAATGGGTGAGGAAATAACATGATTTCATAACTTGTGAAAATTACATGAAAATTGGATTTCAGTTCATAAATCATGTTTTATTGGCACACCGCCACACATTCATTTCCATATCGTGTGTGGCCGCCTTTGTGCCACGTGATGGAGTCGAATCATTATTGAAAGACGAGAGACCCACAAAGCCAGAAATATCTCCTTGCCTGGCTCTGCATCGGGCTGGTACTCCGCCCTTTGCAAGGGCCTAACCTCCTTTCTCCTGGGGTCTTTGAGACTCGATCTCGGGCTCTACAGTCAGCTTCCAGAGGAAGGAGCTGGAGGTTGGAGAAATGGACTGGATTTTGAAAGAGTCCCTGAGGGGAGGGTGGAGTTTGCTCGAGGGGAGGGGAGTAAACCCTGGGTGGAGAGAGGCAGCACTGCCAGTGGGGCTTCGAGGAAAGCCCTGATTGGATGGTTGAAGCCCCCACATTGATATTGGCAAAGTCTGTCAGGTTTCCTTCAGTTCTGCCTAGGCTCACAGCTGCTGGCTTGTGGGCAGCAGAGACAGGGCCACAGGGCAGGGGAGCTCCTGGACAGGAAGAGGGCAGTGTTAGGGGATGATGAGACCCAGGTACCACCCTGCACCCAAGGGGGCCAAAGAGCAGGGGCTTCTGTCTGGAGATCCAGGCAGGTGGACACGGGTGTCCAAGGATGATCACGTGGTAGTGGCCAGTGGGATGAGGAGCATTGTCAAAGAAAAGTGAAAGGGGGATTTGGGTGCTCGAATCAGCCTTTCAAAGAATGTTAGATAATTGATAGCAATATAGAAGATAGGCAGTGTCAGAAAGATATTACAGTCCACCTTGAATCCCCTCTGTGAGAGCGAACCCTGGATGATGTAGGTGTGAACGTCCTTGCAGGTCTTAGGTGCTTTGGGGTGACCATGGTTGCTTGCCTGATTGCCCTGGTTCCAGGGCATCATCAAGCACAGTATAGATGACATTCTCAGAGTAGTCTCTTTTTTGTTTTGTTTTTAACTTCATTTTTGTTTTTACTGAAGTACCATTGTTTTACATCTTTGTTAGTACTTTTTTTTAAATAGCTCAGTTTATTTTTACATAGAAGAACTGGGGTGTAGGCCAGAGGTGTGGGGTGGGGGATGAGAAAATTCATCAGAGACAGAGTGGGGAACAGAACAGATGGATTTACTGAAATCCACTGCCAAGGGGAGCAGCGGGGAGGCAGGAGAGGTCTGCTGCACCATGTGGGTCACCTCCCTGGCTGGGAATCAAATCAGGCCACAGCAGTAGGCCACCAGGGGGGTCCCGTCTTTGGTCTTTGTTAGTACTTTGATATCATGTCTTTTTTTTTTTTTTAAGATTTATTTATTTATGCATACAAGAGCTGGGGCACAGGCCAGAGATGAGGCGGTGGGCGGGGGGGTGGTGTGTGTGAGAAGATTCGCCAGAGACTGAGTGGGGAACAGAACAGGCAGACTGACTGAAACACACTGCTGAAGGGAGCAGTGGGTGAGACAGAAGTGGTCTGCTGCGCCACGTAGGTTTCTCTCTGGCCGGCTGGGGATCGAACTCGTGCTGCAGAGGCTGCGGATTGTTTCATAGTGTGGTGCTTGCACCACCAGAGAGGCTCCAACATCATGTCTTTTAATAGTCCTACGAGGCAGTTACTATTCATTTATGGAAGAGAAAAGCGAAGCATAGAGAGGTTAAACTAGTTACCCACACAGCTGGATGGATGTGTGTGAATATACACAATTTGATGTAAATCTAACCTACTGTACAGCGTGTGGTATTGTGTGGATATGACATACTTTGATAACTAACCCCTACTAACAAATAACCAGGGCATTTCCTTCTCCCCCTCCCCCACATTATCATCTATTTTTTAAAAGATTTATTTATTTACGCATACAAGAACTGGGTACCAGACTAGAAGTGCAGGGGGTGAGAGGATTCACTAGAGACAGAGTGGGGAGCAGAACAGGCAGAGTGACTGAAATGGAGCAGCGGGGAGACAGAAGAGGTCTGCTGTGCCTTGTGGGGTCAGCTCCCTGGCCAGGGATTGAACTCATGCATGCAATGCCAGGGATTGAACTCATGCATGCAATGGCTGGCGATAGCTTGACAGCACTGTGTCTTTAACCCCTGCACCACCAGGGAGGCCCCGAACTTAAATATTTTTGATACAGACTGTTAAGATGTTCTCTAGAAAGTTTGTACAAAATTATACTCTCAATGGGAATTGGCATTTTTTCTACCTTTACCAGTTTATTTATTTATTTATTTTAAAGATATATTTATCTATGCACACAAGAGCTGGGCACAGGCCAGAGGTGGGGGGGTATGAGAGGATTCACCAGAGACAGAGTGGAGAACAGAACAGGCAGATTGACTGCAGTACACTGCTGAGAGAGGAGCAGCGGGCAAGTCAGGAGAGGCCTGCTGCGCCATGTGGGCCAGCTCCTTGAATGAGAATTCTTTTGACAGAATTCTGAGGAGAAATTGACAAATCCACCATTATAGTAGTTAATAGAGTGTCTTGGCAAGTGATAAAATATTTAAAAATCAGATTTGTATGACTTGATTGTTAACTTGATAGGAGACATGTAGAAAGAACATTGCGAGTATATGTTCTCAAAAGAGAATTTGTGGTATAATTTATTGTTTAACTATCAGCCTTTTCTAATATAAGCAGATGATGTGACAGCTGTATTCATCTGGAAACTTAGGTGAAATGTATATATTCTTAGAAAAAAATGTTTCCAGCTGCTTTAGGAAGAAATGGAAACCCAAGACTACACCCTCATCAATAAAGAAATTTTATCAGTACTTGGAACATACCCCATAAAACCGTCTCCTCTTTTCTGTGTTCTGAGTGTTGCCCAGCTGAGTGCTGCATGAAGGGGACTATGGGTGGCCGGGGGTGGCAAGCTGTGAGAGGGTGTCCAGTACCACCTGGTATATTCTTGCACTTTCTCTTTGTGGTAGTAACTCGTGTTAGAGCACTGAAGTACAAGTATATAAATGGGGCTTACCCATCATGTGCAGTTAGGAGAGACTTTCTTATTAGCTTCCCTTGGGCTTCTTAATTGGTAAAGTTAACTTTTATGTATATAGTCTTCCTCTTTTTTATTTAGTTGAAAATGAAAATACTTATTGTATAGTGCAAGATGTGCTTCTAAACTTGAAGATACACCCAGCTAAGCCTAGTAGGCAAGTCTTTTTAGGCCTTTGGCCACTTCCTGGAAGGGGCCACCAGACAGGCTGTCCTTGGTGATGACGCCCAGGCGGGTTCCTCTTCCTGTGTGATGAGCGTTCTGACTACAAGTATTACAGAGCAGCGTTTCGTATATTTTTTTAATAAGCAGATTCTTTCTTTTTAAAGATTTTTTTTTTTAATTTATGCATACAAGAACTGGAGCCAGAGGTGTAGGGGGTGAGAGGATCCAGAGACAGTGGGGGGCAGAACAGGCAGATTGACCAAAGTACACTGCTGAGGGGAGCAGCAGGCAAGTCAGAGAGGTCTGCTGCACCATGTGGGTAGCTCCCTGGTCGGGGATCGAACTTGTGCTGCAGTGGCTGCAGATAGCTTCATAGGTTGCGTCTTAACCCCTTGCGCCACCAGGGAGGCCCCCATTACGTATTTTAACATCTACTGTTGAATTTATGCCGTGGTGGGGATCTGTTCCTTTTCCCCATGAACAGCTCTCTCTCGTGAGGGTTGGGGAGGAAGAATGGGCCAGGGAAATGAAATAAAAGATTTGAAACTTGTATGCCAGGAAATACTTGGGCATGATCTGAAATTGGCGTTTTGCATTATTCCTAGGGTTTTGCGGCCTCCAGGTGGTGGATCCAATTTCTCACTAGGTTTTGATGAACCCACAGAACAACCAGCAAGGAGGAACAAAATGGCCTCTAGCATCTTTGGGACCCCTGAGGAAAACCCCCCTTCTTGGGCCAAGTCAGCAGGTACTGCTTAGATCTGTGAGTTGCTGGTCAAGGGACTGGACAGCAGCCTCTGCTGATGAGCAAAATCTCTTAGTAATTAGTTGGACAGCAGTTCATGCCTGTCATTCATTGGGGGAAAGACTGGGTCTGAGAAATGGGAAATGCTGATGAATCAGAAGAAGGACTGCCATCAGATTGCGGTAGTCCCGCTGCACGATTCCCTCCCTGACCCTGTCCCCATTTTGTAATATGAAACCAACACCTGATGTCATTTAGTGAAGAGGTGGTTTACTCCAGCTCTCTCTATTATTTTGACTCAGGTGCCAAGTCCAGTGGTGGCAGAGAAGAGCCCGAGCCGTCGAACTCTTCCGAAGCAAGCTCTGGAGACTTCTTGGACCTGAAGGTCAGTGTGGCGACACGGGGAGGACGGGCTTGGAGGTTAACACAGTGGGAAGTCCACGCGCTCTACTGGGAGCTTCACTCTGCTGCTGTCTCCCACGGCTGGGGTCTCCCAGCGGCCACCGGGGAAGGGTGGGGCCAGATTGGAGCTGGAGACTGCTCAGTGGAGAGGGGTCAGTGCGTCACCGCGCGCTCCATCTGTTTAGACGGCGCCGTCAGGCTGGTTGGTCTCCTGTCCTTCAGTGTTGCGTTTGGAGCTTCTGGGTCACGTGCACTTCCTGTCTGTGCCTCTCCTATGCAGTGGCGTTTCTGAGATCAAGGGCTATCCTAGTTGTTTGCAAATGCTGTCCGATTTTGAGCCTGCAGCAGATGAGCCCCAGCCCCGGGTGTGAGTCTGGAGAGCCTGGTGGGAAGTCCTCCCGCTGGATGGTTGAGGCCCTTCAGCATCTAGATGGTGAGAGAGGAGGGAGGGGTAGATTTACAAGCTTTCCCATTCCCACAGAACAGCCTTTGAAATGCTGGTTGATTAAATTGAAGTTTTTGCTGTTGGGGTCTTCGCCGCCCTGGGCAATTTACCCTGCAGCATTTTTTGTTTGTTTGTGTTTGTGTAGCTTTGTCCCAGCTGGATGAAGGTTGCTTGCTGTGATGCAGCCTGACCGTGCACCCCGAGTGCCAGGCCTGAGAAATTCATGTTTGGTGTCAAGTGGATGGCAGCCTCACTGAACTGCCAGTGCTTTATTTGTATGTAGCAAAGTTAAAATCTGAAGTTAACTATTTTTTTCTTTTCCAGGGAGAAGGTGACATTCATGGTGAGTCCAAAGGCTTGAGGGGCGGGTGTGTGGCTCCGTACATGTGATTTGATTCCAGTCACATCTTGGGGAAACGGAGTAAAACCTGGTTTTGCCCCTGGTGCCAGCTTGCTCTGGGTGGAGAGGAAGGAAAAATGACACTGGCAAGCTGGCTGTCGGCCAGTGAGAGCCCTGCTAGAAGGGACAAGGAGCAAGCACAGACCCCTCTGCAGAGACGTGTGCTCTGGTCAGGTTGGTATTTGTTACACCGGATGCCAGGGTTTTAGGAAGGGCCACGGCATAGCATTTAATCTTGGAGTCTGACTTTATACTGAGGTGCTGATCAGCAGGACACTGGCCATGCTGTGATGCTGTAAGTTGTAGTTCAGGGGCAGATGTCAAGCTGTAGTTACCAGTGGTGTGACAATGAGCTATAATCATTTAATTATTTTAGATCTTGAAGTGTTTATTGGCACTTCCTTAGCAAGTGCCAGAGAATTGCTGATGGGGGTGAAGAAAGGTTACGCGTGTCCCTGGGAGCAAGATGTGTGCGCCCCGGAGCCACCAATCCAGAAGGAAGAAACCCTCCTTGTGGCCTTTTCCAGCTTTCCCTTCCTTTCCATCTCCCTCCCTTTCTTCAGTCTAGGGGGTCTCCCTTTTTTCACACCTGTTGTGCCCTGAATTCATAGGGGGAGGGTTCCAGCAGCTCAGACTCCTCTCCACGGGTTCTCACAAAGGCTGCTTCTCTAGGGGTGAAGCAGGAGCTGCCATTTCAGGTGAACCCAAGCACTTTTTTTGTTCCTCATCTTCTGTTCAGAAAGTTGTCTCCTCTGTTCGTGGACTTGATACACTCACTCCTGGGGAGAATCTTGCTCTTGGTTGTTTACAGCATTGCCAACAGCATACTGGGTAACACTATGGGAAGCGTCCAGTGTTGCCATGGTAACAGTACCCAGACCCTCCGCCTCCATAATGTCTTCCATAGCCCCGCGTCACCTTGTAGACCCATGTGTCTGTGGCGGAGGAGCAGCTCTGTGTTTTCTAGAAGCCGCGCCTCCCCTCACTACCGTCGTGCTGGTCACTTGGTGGATTTGCACGGAGGTGACAGTTCTGGGTGAAAGCAGCCCTTCCCCTTCATGCTGCGGCCTCCCGGTGACAGGCTCAGAGCCACATTCCTCTTCTGCTCTCTCAGGTGTTGTCCTTGGTGGCGGGGTGGGAGGAGAGTCCACTGAGCCTCTGAGGTTGTTTAGCTGAGGACAGAGAACTTTTCCACTGCACTGAAGACCTCTTAGTTACTATTTGTTTCCAATTTGTTCCTTTTCAAAAAATTGTTTCCGAGGTTCAAAAAAAAAACACCTGGATTTTTCAAACAGTCGTCAGTTTCTTTGACCTCCTGATTATTCTGTGTTCCTGACAGCTGCTACTTTCAGTTCAGTTTTCATAAAATGACAAAGGGCATGATAATTGAGATAGGCCTGCAGGGTAAGGTCAGCTCAACTCTATTGCCAAGTTTACTTGAGAGCCAAGCAACCGTGCTCTTTCTAAATAAAACAGATGTTTTTGGATATGAGGAAAACTGACTTCATCTTTTGGGTAAACACAGAAACAGCTTCAGGGGAAACTTAGGAATTTGTAAGAAGGAGAAGGAGGTTGAGGCAGAAGTCCTTCCGTTCCCCCCATGCAGCGCGGGTGGCCTGCCCACTCTCCCTGTCCTGCTCCTTCCATCCTGAGAGGGAAGGATTTTTTTCTCTTCTGGCATAAGTTTCTGTCCATTTACCTTATTAATGTGGCAAAGAAAGACAAAGCAGGAGTCTAGAAGATGGATATTACGGTAGTATTTTTGTTTAAAGCCCCATTTTTTCAAAAAAGTATTACATTCAACAGACAAAAGCTTTCTCTGTCAAGTTGCTGCAAAGGTTTCGAAATCCTTACTCTGGTCTCTCGTAGACGAGGGAAATGGAGGAGGACACGGACTTCCCTTTTCTTGGGTCGGAGCATTTCTGCCTGGGCAGAGCATTTAGATGAGGCCTGCTGCCAGTTAGCGGCTCCCTGCCCCCTTTTCTCTTTTGGCGTATTGCTGTCTATTTGTCAAAAACAGGACAGTTCTGTTAAAAAAAAAAAAAACAATCTTGGCATGAGTTGAATTTATCTAAAAATCATTTTATGGACACAAACTGTCATGGTCGAGCTTCCAGACAAAGTTGCTTGGGGTGGGTGGGGTGCTGGCCGGGGCCTGGGTCCTGTGTGCAGAAACGGAGCAGCTCGGACTGATGAGCTGGCTCAGGCTGCCTTCAAGCTGCACGTCATCTCTCTCACATTTTATTTAACGTGGGTTTAGCCTGTGTTTTCAGTGTGCAGAACATAGTTTCCTAGGTTGTTTCAGGGATACTTGTGCTTGATGTTGGTGCATTTGGTCCTGTTTCTTACACAGCAAGAGTGTGGCAGTAGGAAACCCTGAGGCCACCCTGTCTCTCCAAGTGTTAGCTCTTAACTGAGAGCTGTCGCTTTGCAAAGCTTCATACTAGATTTTTACTAGTTGTTAAGGAGTATAGAACATTAGATGCATTGTAAGTTGCCTCTGTAGCATATTCCAGAAATCCACAAACTGCATTGCTAAGAGCAGCAGTAGCCTATTTCTGAGCTTTTGTTGTGTTTCTGATCTAAGACCTCTTCCCCTCAGATGTCTCGGTTTCAGTCAGCTAAATCAAAACTTAGTGCAACTTGTTTTAGGAACATAAAATTTTAGCGTTTAGTCTTTGAGAAACTTAAAGAAACTACACTTTCTTCAAAAGTAGAATGTTCATTGAGGTCTGTATGAAGTACTCACATGGGGTATGTCATCACCAGTGTTCGGCTGCACCGCTCTTAGGGTTTCAAACTCCTAAATTTGAGGTGCAATCAAGGCCTGTAATCCTGAAGATAGTTTCCCCCTAAGTCTTATGACCCAGCATTCACTATCTTATAACCAGCATTCCTCTGTGTGTGTGTGTGAGAGAGAAAGAGAGATTATTCTAAGGTGGGTTTTAGAATATACAACTAAATCTAGTCCAGTGGAATAACTCTGAAATGAGAGACCCGCCCACTTTAAAAAATCAAAAATGAGTCTACCATCCCATAAGCTGTTAAAACTCTTCAGTCAGGGCCTCCCCGGTGGCACAGCGGTTGAGCGCTGGGTTGCGAAGCTGCCCGCAGCCTCAGCGGCGCTGGTTCGATCCCCGGCTGCTCCCCGGCCACCGGAGGAGGGTCCCACATGGCGCACAGACCTCTCCTGCCGCCCGCTGCTCCCCTCAGCAGTGTACTTCGGTCCTTCTGCCTGCTCTGCTCCCCGCTCTGGCCCTGGTGAATTCTCTCACCCTCCCGCGCTTCTGACTGTACCCAGTGCATGTATAAACAAAACAAACAAACAAATAAATAAATAAAAACATGCCTCTATATAAAAAAAAAACAAAACAAAAAAAACTCTTCAGTCAGTCTTGGCTTTGAATCAGTGACTTTTCTAGTTTTAGAAACTCCCTGCTAATAAGACAAAAGGTGGTTCAAAATGTCTGCTTCTTGTATGTGCCACAGGGAAGGCAGCAGCCAGGGCAGTGTAGCAGGAAACTGGGACGCAGTGCTGTGATAGCCTTTGTACCCATCCTTCAGCAGCTGTTAACAGCTGTCAGGTGGTGGGCGGGGCTGTGTCAGGACGTGCACTGTGCCCTGGGGGCCCCCCCGCGGGTGGGGAAGGGGTGCTTCCACACCCTGCGGCACACATGCTAGTGCAGATGCATTAGTGTATTTGGAATGGTTGGAATTTGTTCCACTTCTTTTGCTCTCTGTAGAGCTTGCGTGCGCTATGCTGTGTCAAGTATTCCGTGTCCTGCGCAAATTCTACAAAGCAATTGAGGGGAGTGATGACCTTGTGTAGAAAGCCAGGTGACTTTCCAAGAGCATAAAAGGAAGTGGATACATTTGTTAAATACTACAAAAAGTGGTGTATATTATCTGTTGGGAATAACTGAGTACACACAACAGTGGACAGAAGACTGCACTCAGCCGGTGGTGAGGCCGCGGGGAGGCGGCTTGTGGGTCAGGGGCCCGCAGCTTCTCTGTAATGCTCTAGTTTTAATGATTTGACATCATATATCTGTGTCGTTTACAAAAGAACGCACGGAGAAAGGCTTGGCACATACGGGCAACGCATTAATGGTGGCTCATTCTAGGGAGTGGGACCTTGCTCCTTAGTCTCGAGGTACATTTCTCATCAGCCTCACACACAGAGCAAGGGAGACGTCCACTTAGCTGGCGGTAGTCAGTAACCTTCATCATTTTGCTTTCCTAGAACACGTGGACACAGATTTGCAGGCCAGCGTGGGGCACAGCGAAGAGAAGCCGGTGCCTGCTGCACCTGTGCCCAGCCCGGTGGCGCCCGCCCCGGTGCCGTCCCGGAGAAACCCTCCTGGTGGCAAGTCCAGCCTCGTCTTGGGTTAGCTCCGACCGTCCCGAACTCTGTCGTTTTGTTTGTTTGTTTTCTCCATGCTTGTGAACTGCACAACTTGAGCCTGACTGTACATCTTTTGGATTTGTTTCATTAAAAAAGAAGCACTTTATGTACTGCTGTCTTTTTTTTTTTTTTTGGAACAGGTTTCTCTATCGTCCTGGTTCCTCCGGGTCTGTAGGCCATGGCATGAATGTTTTCTAGCAGTAGTTTGGAGGGAAAGCTTTGTGACAGTACCGTGTTTTTAAGAACAGACAGTTTGGTTCCAAATGTGTTAGAGGGTCTTTTGTACTGAGATTTTTAAAACCCTTTTCTTGTCAGCTTTACTTGGGTTTATGAGGCCTGGATTGGACAGACCAGTGAACAGTCCACAGGCACCTCCCTGCAGGCCCAGCCTTCTTGGGGCGGCCCAAACTTGTCAGTGCCCTTTAAGAGCATCTTCCTGTGCCATATGGGGCAATACAGAGGCCGGTGCCTCGTGCCTTGCTGCCTGCAAAGCTCAAAAACTGCCTTCTCTTTTTGAACCGTAAGACATAAGCCAGATCCTAAGTAGACTGGCTGATGAGCAAAGCCCTCTCTGCTGGGGCGCAGAGGAAGGCCGCGGGGTTCACATGCACTGGCCGGTTGCAGGGGAAGCGAGCAGGGGTGGCCACACACCCTAGCGGCCCCGGGCAGTGCTCATCTTAGATACCTTGAAGCTGTGTGCATGATGCTGGTGCTTGACCATGCAAGGAAAGTCTCATCCTTAAAATGTGTGTTGTTCCTCACAATCCTGGACTGTTGCATAAAGTAAACAATGTACAAATTTTGAAACACTGTGTCCTGTGTCATCTTTTGGAGCTTGTTTCAATGTTGAACTTGGTTTAGTTGCTTTTTCTTTTTGTTACTGGCAGCCCAACTGGATGAATCCTGAAAGTTGAAACAGACGAACAGGCCCAGAGAAGTGGGCTTCTCACTAAGGAAGGTGGTTTAAAGTCAGCAGGAGTTCAAAGCGCCAAAATCTCTGTGAGCTCTACCTGCCGACATAAAATGACATAAAATGCAGGAATAACGTGGGTAATTAATATCCAAAGTAGTTATAGTCTGATCTATGTTAGACTCTCCGACCACCTGCCCTCTGTGTGGATGGGGTGTCTCTAGATAACCTGCAAGGTGCTTCCCTCCCAGGCAAGGGCGGGTCCATGCAATTGGAAGGGAAGTGGGGTGAATTTGACTAGGGGTATGGGAGACTGAAGAAAGAACACTCTGTATTCCAGGCAGAAAGTTCCAGAACATGGTAGATTAAATGGTGGATATTGTTAAGACCTGGCTTTGATCCTGTGTGTGTGTGTGTTTAGATTTATTTATGTAAACAAGAACTGGGGTCTAGGCCAGAGGTGGGGGTGGTAGGGTGAGAGGATTCACCAGAGACAGAATGGGGAGCAGAACAGGTGGATTGACTGAAATACACTGCTGAGGGGAGCAGTGGGCGACCCAGGAGAGGTCTGCTGCGCCATGTGGGTCAGCTCCCTGGCCGGGGATGGATGCTGCAGTGGCTGCCCATAGCTTCATAGTGCTGAGACTTACCCCCTGTGCCACCAGGGAGGCCCATGACCTGCCTTTGTTCCTTTGGCTTGTCACCTGGGGCTCAGTTTCCTAACCTAAAACAGTGAGGCTGCTCAAGAGGTTACCTCTGAGCCGGCACCCATGACTGAGTTGATGGGCCTAGTGTGGAGGGAGGGTCTATGGGGACAGATTTGAGAAAGTTGTAGGCAACATGTTTACCAAGGATGTTCAAGTTTCCAATTAGGAAGTTTGGGGTATATAAGGAAATAAAGCAAATGAAACCGAAACTTTTAGCTACAGAGAAGAGATTGGTGGTTTCCAGGGGGTGGGGGTTAGAGGTGATTGGGTTCAATTTATGTGGCGTGGAGTGGAAATACGACTTTGGTGGTTATGATGCTGTGCAACACAGATGCTGGACTGGAGACGTTATAAATCAATGTCTCCTCAGACTTTTTTTTTTTTAAGATTTATTTATTTTACATACAAGAGCTGGGGTACAGGCCAGAGATGTGGGGGGTGAAAGGATTCACCAGAGAGTGTGGGGAATAGAACAGGAGACTGAGTGATATACACTGCTGAGGGGAGCAGCGGGTGAGGCAGGAGAGGTCTGCTGCGCCATGTGGGTTGCTCCCTGGCCAGCTGGGGATTGAACTCGTGCTGCAGAGGCTGCAGATTGCTTCATAGTGCGGTGCTTAACCCATTGTGCCACCAGGGAGGCCCCTCTCCTCAGACATTTTTGAAGGAAAGCTGAGGGTCTAGAAAGTGAAGTTGAATCATCTAAAAGTAAACATTAAACCCGCAGTCGGCAGAACCATTAGGTTTCCTTGGTGTTTTGCTATCCCAGGCCCGGCAGGTTCACCATCAAGTTCTAGCGATTTGAAGGAGCATTTTGGCGCCCTTGGCATCACTTTCACGGGTGTCAGTGGTAAAAGGGGAGACCAGCCAGCCGGTCGGCAGCAACTTGAGTCCCCCCAAATCTCTATCTCTTTTCTCTGGCGTTCTCTCGTGGCCTCTCCCTCTCGCAGCCCTTCGTCTGGGGGTGACATCGCCTTGTAGCCCTGACCTCGAGGCGCAGGTGTGCACACTGGCACATGCGCACACACCCATGCGCAGGTGTCCACAGTCAGGCACGCGCGCCCACACCCACAAGCCCAAGGCCGCAGGTGATAGCCACAGAGGCCAGCGGCTTAACAGCCTGACCAGCCTCATCCCCCTACACGTGGCGATGGGAGCTTTGACCCAGTTCGTGACTGCGGGGCGCAGTGAAGGAGCCCGGAGAGCAGTGGGGAACCCCGCGTTCTTAGGCCCCTGCTCCGAGCTTTAGTAATCACATCACCTTAGAAGGCCGAGCCAGGCTCCCCTTCGCAATGCTTGTTCCATTGGTTTGCAAATTCTGGGGTATCGGCTGGGGAACAGGAAGGTGGCCACTGGCTCAGATCTGAGTTTGCCATTTGTAGCTAAACAACCCGAGGCGGGCGTTGCAAGCAGCTGCCGCACCCACAAGCCGGGCTCCGCCAGGAACTCGCCTCTCAGGAGCGGGACCCGCTCTAACCACAGGGGCTCTGGGGTCCGGGTCTCAGGGGGGTACCGCATGGGGGCGCGCGCCCTCCGGCTCCGGGCCCCGCAGCCCCGGGGCTCGGTTCTGAGAAGGTGCCGCCAGGCCCGGGGTTAGCCCCCAGGTGCTCAGACAAGCCCCCCGCCCCACCCCACCCCGGTGCGTCGGGAGAGCCCCTGCGTGGCCCCGGGGCGGCCGCCTCCAGTAACTCTTGGGGTTCGCGGCTGGAGCGCGGGGGGCGACTGCAGGGGGCGCCGGCGTGCCCGCGGCCAAAGGGCAGTTTTCCGCCAGGAAAGCGCCCCCCCGACCCCCCGACCCCCCGCCGCCCCGCCGCCCCGCCGGGCCCGGGAGCCTCCCGTTCCGGCCGCCCGCCCCCCGCGCCGCATGCAAATTAGCCCGCGGCGGCCCCGCCCGCGCCCGCTCCGGAAACCGCCTTCCCGCGCCCCGGCCCCCCGCGCCCCCGGCCCCCCGCGATGGCGGCGGCGCGCGCGCGGCCCGTGCGGGTGCTGGTGGACATGGACGGGGTGCTGGCCGACTTCGAGGCCGGGCTGCTGCGCGGCTTCCGCCGCCGCTTCCCCGGGGAGCCCCACGTGCCGCTGGAGCAGCGCCGCGGCTTCCTCGCGCGCGACCAGTACCGGGCGCTGCGCCCCGACCTGGCGGTAGGAGAGGGGCGGGGGTGGGCGGCCCCCCCGGGAACCCCCGGCACCCCCACTTCGGAAGCCGCGGTTCCCCCGAGACAGGCGCTGGGGAGGGCCCCCCGGGACAGAGCCCCGCGGATCGGTCCCTGCGGCCCGCGCCGCGCGCCTCTGCCGGAGGCGGCGCCGGGCCCAGCGCGTGTCTTTCTCAGGACAAAGTGGCCAGTGTGTACGAGGCCCCGGGCTTCTTCCTGGACCTGGAGCCCATCCCCGGAGCCCTGGCCGCCATGCGCGAGATGGACGCCATGCGCGAGTGAGGCGGGCGGCCGGGGGCGGCCGGGGGCGGGCGGGGAGCGGGCCCCGCGCGCGCCGCCGGCTCTCACGCGCCTCCCCCCGCAGCACCGAGGTCTTCATCTGCACCAGCCCCCTGCTGAAGTACGACCACTGCGTGGGCGAGAAGGTGCGCCGCCCGCGCCCCCGGCACCCGGAGCGCCCAAGCCCTCATTTTAAAACAATGCTTTTCTAGGCTTAGCCCTGATTTCAGAAATAAAACCCAGCAGCCGCTAAGTGCGGGGTGGGGCGGGACGGGGGAAGCGGCATCTCTTAGGGGACCCCACTCACACCCGCTGGTTCACCGGCCCTGAATTCTGGGGCCCATCAAACCCTGCTGACGGCCTGTGTGTCCCCCACCAGTACCGCTGGGTAGAGAAGCACCTGGGGCCCCAGTTCGTGGAGCGCATCATCCTGACGAGGGACAAGACGCTGGTCTTGGGGGACCTGCTCATTGATGACAAGGACACCATTCGAGGTTGGGCCCGTGTTCGCGGCGGCCTCCAGGCACGGGCCTGCAGGCTGAGGGAGAGGGTGGGAAAAGCACCCGGCACCAGGTCACAGCAGGTACGCTTGGCCTTTCTCTCCTGTCCAGGCCAAGAGGCAACTCCGAGCTGGGAGCACATCTTGTTCACCTGCTGCCACAACCAGCACCTGGCCCTGCCCCCCACCAGGAGAAGGCTGCTCTCCTGGGGTGACAACTGGAGGGAGATCATAGACAGCAAACGGGGAGCCCTGCAGCTGGACCCAAAGGGCCCGGAGCTGCTGCGGGAATAAGCCGAGGGACACGACAGTGGGAGGGGAGGCAGACTGGCAGGGAACCCCAGCAGCACCCAGGGCAGGGCAGTGCCCCGGCTGGGCGGGAGATAGTGAGATGTGGTCTCACAGGCCAGCCGGCGGAGCCTCGTGGGACAGCCGGCCTGGAAACCTGGTGGGAAAACAGTCAGGAAACTTTTAATAAAACACTTTGGCTGATTGGGTTTTTGAAGGTCCTTTATTTGGGAAAGTAAGGGATAGGGCCCCCTGGGAGCGCGGGGGGGTGTTGGGATGGAGGCTGACGAGTTGGCCCAACTCCATGCCCTCCTGGATGCCATTACCCTGGCAACTGCTTTTCCTTAGCCCTAAGGGTCAAGCTTGAGATCAGGACCCCCACTGCTTCGAACCCCAACTTTCTATGGGGTCCTGTCCTGTCCCTGTGCTGACAGCACTCACTGTGACTGAGCCGCGCTTCACGCCAGGATCTGCGCCTCTTCTGCCCTGAGCACCCTTTTATCTGCATCCCCGAGGCCCTCCCGGGCCGGAGATGCACTTCTAGGGGCAGCAGACCCTCGCCAACCCTGATGGCAGAGGAGGGCCAGGGTGGTGAGGGGAGAAGGGTCATGTCTTTATTAAGGTGGATCATCACCCCCATGGCCTTGGTCTTAATGCCTGATGGCGATGTTAGTCATGGGGGCCACGCCACTCAGAGCAGGGCCCTAGCTAGCCTCAGTCCTTGAAGCCCTAACATGGCGTTTAGCAGACAGGGCCCTACAGAGAAACAGTTGACAGGTGGGCATTTGTCACCTCTAAACGGCCAGCCTGTAGAGTCTGGACGGCAGGTAGCCAGTCTCCAGAGCCCCAGAGTGAGTGTAACACCTTCGCATTTTCCCAGAGCCCCAGGAAACTCAGATCTTTAGTTTCTGGTCCTAAAGATGACTCCAGACCCCGGTGCAGGCAATTCTCCTAGGTGCAGGCCAAGCTCCTCCTCGTGAGCACCGCCTTCTGCACAGCCTCTGACCTAGGGTGCCAGCGGCTTACAGGAGGGTGAGCGCCTGGCAGGGGACTGCCCTTCACCTTCAGCTACTTGGCTGAGAGCAGGCCACCTGGGATTTCCGTCTCCACGGGTCTCAAGTCGAGCTTCCTCACTCACCTCCTAATACCTCATCACAGTGTAAATACCTATCATTTGGGCAAACTCACCTTTGAAATGGCCGGAAAGGCGCCATTTGGGAGAAGGTGCACAGTGGGAGCTATGCTGAGCTCCCAAAGGGAATTGGGTCTGTCTGGCATAAGGTTGCCATGGCCGTGAGGTCTCCTTAGATCAGGGCTGCTGTGGGGCCTCAGTCCTTGGCAGTGGGATACCCAGGGCAGAGTGAGCCTGCCAGCTGCGGGCTTCGGCCACCTGGCTGGGAGAACAGAAGTCTTCTAGGAAGATCTGGGCCAGGTTCCGGAGCCTGCTGTTGGCCGACAGAGAGAAGCGCAGCATGCACTGGACCACAGGCGTGGCGGTCAGCTCGGGGTGGGAGCTGGGGCCAGGCGAGCTCAGGTACATGATGGTGGTGACTGCCGACAGCACGGTCTCCTCGTTGGGACTGGACAGGCAGTTGATGATGAGAGGGACGCCCCCCGTCTGCAGGATGTACTCCTTGTTGGCCCTGTCTGGGCACAGGTTGCAGAGGCCTCCTGGGGAAGAGCAATGTGTGTGAACACCTGGGCCTGTGGCTCCTCCCGCCTCCCTCTGCCTTATGAGTCCCAGGCCTGGGAGAAGGTGTCCCTGGGACAAAGGTCTCCTGGCCTCTCTTTCAAAGTTCCTGCCACTGCCCAGCCTTTGGACCCGCCACTAAAACCTTCTTGGTTCAGCCAGCCCAGTAAAAAAAAAACAAACCCATAATACATCATCACTTTAGGAGAATTTTAACGTACAGGAAAGGTGACAGTTACATAGGTGTGTGTGTATATATATGTATACATAGGTGTATGTGTGTATATATACACATATATACATATACACATATATATGCACACACATATCAAAAAATGTATCAAATCGAACCCTTTAAATACGTAGTTTACGATGTCAAGGCTATCTCCATAAAGCTGTTAAAAAATTAGAAAGCCAAACACAGGCCATCTCAATCTACTGCCCATTTAACATTTGCTTTTCATTTTGCAATTTTTGAGTACATATATTTAAGCAAAATCTGATACTCTCCTGTTTTGTAGACCAGCGGTTTCGCTTATGTATTGTAAGCATCATTCCATGCCAATAAACCCGTCCCGGCATCACTGAGCAGCCTTGAGCCACCGCCAGGGACGCCCCGCACCTGCCGTGGGCGGCAGGTCCTGGTCACTTGCTTTAGTTCAACGTCATTTTATAACGCTGGTGAGCAGCAATCCCTGCTGACACTGCCGACCTGATTGAAAGACCTGCTTTCTCTATACGTTGTTTCGATAGGGGGAGGTTTTCACTTGATGTCCTGTCAAGGACTTAAATCAGAACTCACTGTGATTTATTAAGAGGTCAGAGGGCTGAACACCATTTTCTCATGACTATTCCTAGGAGTCTAGGGACAAAAGAAAAGGCCAGAGTGAGACTGTGGTCTGGATGAAAGAACCCACTGACTGCTCAGGTAGTATGGCCAGGACCCCATTCTCTCAGGTGGCTATAAGCACTGTTTCCGCCAATTTAGTGACCTCTTGGCCCAGGGGACAAATGCCAACTGCCTGGGGCTCGCTCTGCATAGCACTGGCCAGTGCTGGAGGCTGACATCCTGGCATTGGGAGGGAGGGAGAGAGCTTCCTTCGGTGGAGGCCCCAGGGGCAGGTCTGGCCCAGGAAGGGCTCCCAGCTCATTTGCATCACATGCCTGACCAAGCAGGAGTCAGGGCCACAGCCCAGCCCATTCCCCTGCTTCTCCAAAATCAAAGAGGACTTTCCCCAGGCTCAGACCCAACCAGGATACCCTCCCCAGCAAGAGGAAACTGTGCCTCTGGGGGGGGAATCCCTGGCAGAATCCTGGTCAGTTTGAGTCCTGCTCTAGGGAAACATTTTAGAGGTTTTATTCACTTGGCCTTCCCAATGCACTTGGAATAAAATGAACCCCCTCCGTGTCTTCACTGACCTGTACCATCCAGTTTGGTCCATCGCCCCCTCCCTGGCAGTCACCAACCTCTGCCCACCCTGGGGACCTTTAAGGTCTCATATCCCACATGCTGCCACCCTCGTGCTGGTAACCAGCACTTCTCTACTCTCTCTGGAGTCACCCACGAGCCGCACCCTGCATGCCCAGGGCACTACCCTCATCGCCCCATTGCATTTTCTTTCTATGCTTAGAACTAAGATCATTGGCAGATTTGTTTTCTTCTCTCTGCCCACCAGCACCCACTAGAAGGTACGTGCCCTGGGAGCAAGATCGTGGCTTTCTTTATTCCGCCCTGTCCTCAGTGCCTGGTGCGGGAGGCAGTCAACAAATACTTGCTGAAAGAGTTTTCAAGCAGCAAGCAGGGGAGCAGGGGCTGCGAGAGCTGCAGAGGCTTGGGGCAGGCTGGGATGCCTTCCTGAGACCGTCTGCCTTGGGATGCTGCAGTTCTGGGATCCTGGTGTGGCTGACAGGACACCTCTGAGCCTGAGGAGCAACCCTGGACCATGGGGAGGGGAGACCCAGCACACTGTTTGGGAGGACCTTCCTGGTGGGACACTCGAGACCTTCCTCCCACCTCAGCACCCATCACCCCTGCGGGGCCCTCCTGTCCACTGTCTGTCCCCACCACTGGGCACCATCTGGCGGGTCCCTGCTTGCTGGTTTACCTCTGCATCAGGTGCCTGCAAATGTGATGGATACTTACTGGACACATTCTGAGAACAGGACCAAACCCCGCAAACCCCATTAATGGAAAAAGCTGACGGGGGTGTGGGGGGTGGGAGGGGAGGGATTGGTGTCAGAATGGGGGGGGGGTTGCAATTGTATGGGGAATATAAAAATAAAATTTATCATTAAAAAATAAATAAAATAGGGCCTCCCCGGTGGTGCAGCGGTTGAGCACTGGGTTGCGAAGCTGCCCGCAGCCTCTGCAGCGCCAGTTCGATCCCCGGCTGCCGGGTGAGGGTCCCACATGGCCGCAGACCTCTCCTGCCGCCCACTGCTCCCCTCAGCAGTGTACTTCGGTCCTTCTGCCTGTTCTGCTCCCCGCTCTGGCTCTGGTGAATTCTCTCACCCTCCCGCGCTTCTGACTGTACCCAGTGCTTGTATAAATAAACAAACAAACAAATAAATAAATAAATCTTTAAAAAAAAAATAAATAAATAAATAAATAAAATAAAATAAATAAATCTTTAAAAAAAAAAAAAAAAAGCTGAGTAACTTGTCCAAAGGTGATGGAGAACTCTTTGTCACTCCCATGGAAAGTCCCTCTAGAAGACACAAGGACAACTAATCCCGCCACGGGCAGATGCCAGGCTCAGCCAGGAGGGACAAGTGGGAAGGCTCTGGTGCGCTTCTCAGACACGTCTACACCTCTTGTGAGCTGAGAGCCGGGAACCAGCTTCCTACCACAGCGCACGCAACTTGGGGGGTGGGGGGGTGGGCAGGGGCCTTATCTCTGCTGTGAGTGAGATACGATGAAGCCTGAGTCACTCTCTGGCTGGTGAGTCATCTCTCACCCAGGTGTGCTGGGTGGGGCACTGCCACCCTGCCCAGGGCATAATCTGCAGGGGGTGGGGCAGGAGAAGGCCCCAGCTGCTCCTATCTGGGGACCTGGCAGGCCTCTGAGGGTGTTTAGCCTCCTGGACCCCCAACGCAGGGAACTCTCTACACCCCTCTGCCTTTCGGCAGTGACCCAAGAGGAGAAGAGTGAGGGCCTGGGAAGAGAAGAGCCTCAAGGGGCAAGAGGCCAAGTTGGAGAATCGAAGGTGGAGATAGGACCCATAAGAGGGGAGGCCATGCTGCAGTGAGCTTCCCTCCCGTGCCCATTTCTGTGAACTCACCCTGAAGAACAAAGGAGGGTGATAGAAAAACAATGCAGAACCTGGAAGCACCCTCCATAATGCCCAGTGACAGCAGGCTGGTTAACTACATCAGGCACATTTGTCGAGCAAAAAATGACATAGTTCTGTGCCTCCCCGATGGCACAGTGGGTTGAGTGCAGCGCTCTGAAGCTGTCCACAGCTTCTGTAGTGCCGGTTCGATTCCCGGGGCCGGCCAGGGAGATTCCCACATGGCGTGGCAGACCTTTCCTGTCTCGCCTGCTGCTCCCCTCAGCAGTGTATTTCGTTAGTCTGCCTGTTCTGTTTCCCGCTCTGTTTGCGGTGAATCCTCTCACCCTCCCATGCATCTGGCCTGCACCCCAGTTCTTGTATAAAAATAAATCTTTAAAAAAAAAAGAGGCAAAAGGAAAAGATATTCATAGACAGAGAACTTGCCTTAGAATCTAAAGAACTCCTTCCAGCATATCAATAAAAGGTGAAAACAAAAAATGAGCAAAAATATTTCAACAAACTTTCACAAAAAGGTCAATATAGATGAACATGTGCTCATTATTTTTCAGAGAAATGAAAATTAAATTGATAACAAGATGTCGCTGACCACACACCCGCCATGACGGCTAAAACGAAGAGGGCAGGCAACACCAAGTGCAGACAGGGGCAGGCTATGTTTTTATGGACAGTGTGCCACGGCATGATTGTTTTCGGAAACAATTTGGCAGCTTCTAATAAAGTTAAACATATATTCATTCACCCTATGACTCAGCAACTCTACTCCTATGGGAACCCCAGAAAAGTGAGTACATATGTGTACAAGAAGACCTGCATAAAAAAAGATCATAACAGCCCCATTCATAGAGGATCCCAACTGGAAACAAGGCAAATCTTCATCACAGGTGAATGGATGAGCAAATTGTGGTCCATTCATTCAAAGACCTGAACTGCTGATACTTTAACAATTTGTTGTTTTTTTTTTAATATTTATTTATTTATGCATACAAGAGCTGGGGTACAGGCCAGAGATGCGGGGGTGAGAGTATCCACCAGAGACAGAGTGGGGAATAGAACAGGCAGATTGACTGAAGTACACTGCTGAGGGGAGCAGCGGGCAAGTCAGAAGAGGTCTGCTGCACCATGTGGGTAGCTCCCTGGCTGGCCGGGGATTGAACTCGTGCTGCAGAGGCTGCGTACAGCATCATAGGTTGCATCTTAACCCTTGTGCCACCAGGGAGGCCCTGATACTTTAAAAATTTGGATGAATCTCAGTAACACTGAGAGAAAGAAAGCAGACACAAGAGTTCACCCTATGTGATTCTAGGTACATGAAGCTCAAGAACACACATGTCCCATGGGGGTGGGAGGGGAGAAGTTGGGAAATGGGTGTCTTGGGGTAGGAGATACTAACTGGGAGAGCCTGTAGGAGACATTTCTGGGGAGATGGACACATCTTCTATCTTAAATGCTGAGTACATAAAACTGTACTGAGTTTAAAAAAAAAACACATCAAGCTGACACTTGATATGTGCATTTTACTGTGATGATCACGCTGTAATTTAAAAAAATGATTACCAAACAAAAAGGACAAGCTCTGACTGGCTGATGAACATGTTTTGGGCAAATCAGAAGAGGCAGAGAGAAACAACAGGCAAAAACAGGGCCCTCCTAGGAAGCAGGAGGCTCAGGCGGCCCTCAGTAGAGGCAAAAGAGAAAACTCAAGTGCTCCTGGGCTGAGACAGCCAGAGGTTCAGAGAGGTCAGGCAGGGGACTCTGGATGGATCACACAGCAAGTAGGGCATGGGGTGCTGGGAGATTAGGTCACGCAGACAAGTGCTTCGCCAGGACTGGCGCCTGGGCCTGGGCAGGGCTTCCCGCCCCCCCCCCCCGCCCCCCACGAGGGCACTGGGCTGGCTGTAGTCCATCCCGCAGGTGAAGCCACTCTGGGATGGGGGACGACAGATATAGAAGTATATGCGCACATTTGGGGGCTAAGGGGGAAAGACCAAGAATGGAGGGGAGAGCTCTCTGAAAAGACCTTGCAGAACAGTTCTGCCTTACACCGAGGAAGCTTTCATATGATAAACAACAGTAAACTACATGGAAAGAAAAAAAAAAATCATGGCTTTTCTACCTCTGATTGAGATAGGTCACGTCTACAAATTTATTGCAAAATGACACACAAATCAGGTTCCCCAGGGCAGCAGTGGTGAGAGCGGCCAGACAGAAGCTGATTGTCCAGCCCCAGGCGGAGGCGGTGCTAACTGACCAGCACAGGGAACCAGGCAGCTCTGTGTGAATGGATGCTGCAGGTGCACCGACATACAACATTGGAGAAATTAAAAAAAGAAGCAGGACGGACCTCCCTGACGGCGCAAGGGGTTAAGTCTAAGCACTATGAAGCTATTTGCAGCCTCTGCAGCACCAGTTTGATCCCCGGCCAGGGAGCTGCCCACATGGCGCAGCAGACCTCTCCTGACTCACCCGCTGCTCCCCTCAGCAGTGTGTTTCAGTCAATTCGCCCGTTCTGTCTCTGATGAATCCACTCACCCCCTGCACCTCTGGCCTGTACCTCAGTTCCCACATGCATAAATAATTAAATCTTGAAAAAAAAAAAAGCAGGACATATAAACGTGGTCTAACACTGTCATATTTGTAGACCATGCAAAAAAGCAGATGCGTAAACAAATACATATTTGTTTGGAAATCCCAAACCTATCTCTGGGAGGATACACAAGAAACTAGGAAGAGAGGATGCCTCCAGGAAAGGCTCCAGAGACATCGCCTTTAGAATTTAGTAATGTGAACAATGTAGTCACGTAAATTATATTCACATAAATTGATCTCTCTTTCTCTCTCTCTTTCTGGGACTAGGACAGGGAGTTGGTCTCTACCAGTCAAGGAGGGATGGCAGAGGCCAACCTGGTCCAAGTGAGGATGCCCAGGAGACAGCCTCCCGGGCGAGGGAGGGAGAAGCAGTGGGGTAAGAACTGATGGTACCACCTCCTCTTAAGGGGATCCTGCCGTGAGCTAATGGCTGAGGAATCTCTTTGAAGCAGAAGACCCCAGTCTAAATGACCCATGACAAGAGGTGCAGAGGAGCCCCAGAATCAGTGTGGGTCCAGTGGGCATCCCAGAGCTGCCGCTGAAATCTAGGTGACCAGAGCAAGCAGCTCTGCTTCTTGAAGCCTCGGTTTCCTCAGCAGTCAAGTGGGCAGAGAGTTAAGAAGGACAAAGTCTCCTCCCTGGCACACAGCAGGACCAAGCACACCTGTTTATAGCCCCAGAGGTGGGCACAGAGCTGTAACTGCAACCCACACATACAGAAAATACAGCCATTTAACAGACGGATAGCAGTTGCCACGTGACCAGTGCAGAGGTCAACCAACAAAACACTGTCAGCAATTCAGCCTCTGCAGGTCCCTCCTAGATCCAATTCTCTCCTTCCATCAGAGATGGACACCTTCCTGATTTGTAATCATTTAATAAAACAAATTTTAATTGATAAGTAGGACCTGGACATTTTTTATTTATACAAGAACCAGGGTATAGGCCAGATGTGCGGGAGGGTGAGAGGACTCACCAGAGACAGAGCGGGAAACAAAACAGGCAGACAGATGAAATACACTGCTGAGGGGAGCAACGGGTGAGACAGGAGAGGTCTGCCGTGCCATATGGGACCCTCGCCGGCCAGCCGGGATCGAACCGGCGCTGCAGAGGCTGCGGACAACTTCATAGCAGTGCTCAACCGCCTGCACCACCAGGGGAGGCCCTCTGGAAATTTTTTAATTAAAAAAATTTTAGTATTGGGCCTCCCTGGTGGCTCAAAGGGTTAAGCACAATGCTATGAAGCAATCCACAGCCTCTGCGGCACCAGTTTGATCCCCAGCTGGTCAGGGAGCTACCCACATGGCACAGCAGACCTCTCCTGTCCCTCCTGCTGCTCCCCTCAGCAGTGTGTTTCAGTCGGTCTGTCTGTTCTGTTCCCTACTCTGTCTCTGGTAAATCCTCTCACCTCCCACCCCACACCTCTGGCCTGTACCCCCAGTTCTTTTATGCATAAATATATCTTTTAAAAAAAATTTTACTATCCACACAAGTGGAATCACGTTGCCTGTTATGACGTGCCTGGCACAAGAGATACATCGTTTACTTAACATTATGTGTGCAAGATTACCGCAGGGAGCTGTGGACTCATTTACAGCACCCCACAGCGCTGGTCTCCATTCTACTATTGTGTCTCCATTGTGGGGCTGTTACAGCCTGTTTGGAGGTGCATGTTCCCTGAGTATAACGTAACCGTTGGGGGTGTGCTACCTTCGGTTGTGCTAAATACTGTCTTCCGAGAAAGGCCCCTGAGGTTTTGTTTATACTTTTGTTTAGAGGAAAAATAGCCAATTTTTAAAATGTGTTCATTTCTTGCATTTGAAGTATTCCTCCAGGATGTCCTTGGCCTGGGACACTTTGCCGCAGACCTTAACTACCACACAGCTGCACCCTATACTTGGGTTTCCCTTCTCTGTCAATTTTAGAGGAGTCCCCAACCCCTAGCTGTGCTGTCATCAGCCGTAACTGGGTTGATCTGGTGTCCACCACAACGGGCCTCTGCCAACCCGACAGACACAGCTTACCAGCTGCATGCAGCACACAAAGACGGGCTTGGCGCTCGGCTAGGCGCTCAGCTCTGCAAATTCTGCGTCCTGGACTGTTGTGGGTAAGGGCGGTCTTCAGCATTTCTTCTCAGGCAGTAGTAACATGCATTACACCCGTAGCAGCAATGACTTCCTCAGCCATGGCAGTGGGTTAGGTTTCCGATGGCGAATCCTGAATGCACAGGGGTCTCCACCTCCACCCAACTCAGTGGGCAGAGAAAGAGCAGTGAGCATTTCCCAGCAGTTTCCTGAGCACCACCACCATCTGGTGGCAGCTCTATGTATTTCAGGAAATAGAACTCAGGAAAGCAAGTCAACCTGAGATCTCAGAGGCCATCTCCTTGAATCCCGCGTTAGTAACAAAACTGTCAAACATTCTGTGATGTCCTAGGTTTTGGTGAGTTGTCATGGAAACCACTCATGAACATTAGCAAGCCAGAAAGATGCAGAGGAAACAAAGAACAAGGTTAGGAAGACACCCGGACTTTGGGCCTTGGCTCTGTCAGCTGGGTCCCCTGGGCCGGAACTGGAAGGCAAGACTGAAACGGTGAGCCTTGGGCAATGGACCTAAGCTCACCTCGAGTTGCCTCCTCAAATGGAGAAAACCTAGCACTACCTGCTGTGCCTCTGCCAGAGAGCGTAGAAGAAACCCTTTCTCCTCCTGCTCCATTTTATGGTTCTGTTTATTCCTTCAGAATCTCAGCTTTTTTGTTTGTGCACTGCCCATCTCCCCAAGGATAGAAAGCTCCTGGATGATGAATCCATCTTCCCAATTTGTCCACCCTCTCTCCAGCATTTAGAACAGTACTGTACTCACACAGTACATGCTCAGCAAGCAAGTCAACAGGTCCCAGATCATACCAACTACAGGAGCCATCAGCTACATGTCCCATACAAGTCACCTCTACTTCTCTTGATATTAAAAATTTTTTTTTTTTTTTTTTTTTTTTTTTTTATAGAGGCATGCTTTATTTATTTGTTTGCTGGTTTGCTTGTTTGTTTTGTTTATACATGCACTGGGTACAGTCAGAAGCGCGGGAGGGCGAGAGAATTCACCAGAGCCAGAGCGGGGAGCAGAGCAGTCAGAAGGACCGAAGTACACTGCTGAGGGGAGCAGCGGGCGGCAGGAGAGGTCTGCGCGCCATGTGGGACCCTCCTCCGGTGGCCGGGGAGCAGCCGGGGATCGAACCGGCCGCGGGCAGCTTCGCAAACCAGCGCTCAACCGCTGCGCCACCGGGGAGGCCCTTGATATTAAAAATTTTAAGTAGGGGGCCTCCCTGGTGGTGCAGGGGTTAAGCACCGCACTATGAAGCAATCCGCGGCCTCTGTAGCGCGAGTTTGATCTGCTGGCCAGGGAGCAACCCACATGGCACAGCAGACCTCTCCTGTCCCCCTGCTGTTCCCCTCAGCAGTGTATTTCAGTCAGTCTGCCTGTTCTGTTCCCCACTCTGTCTCTGGTAAATCCTCTCAGCCCCCGCAACTCTGGCCAGCTCTTGTATACCCCAGCTCTTGTATGCATAAATAAATATGCATATACCCCAGCTCTTGTATGCATAAATAAATCTTTAAAAAAATTTTAAAGTAAAGCTTTTTTTTTTTTAAAAGAGCACTAAACATTTTTCCCTCCAAGCACCTTCAGTCCATTCCCTCATTTATATTATCATTCCCTCATCTCTAAGCAGGGGGAAGGGTGGACATGCAGAGGGAGGCCTGGGCAGTGAGTTCCAGAACTAACTCAAGGTAGCTGCCTGTGACATACACAAGACAACCCCGGAGGCGGCACAGACACGTGAAGGTTTGCAGCTGAGCAACTGTCTTCCTTTCCCGACAAATCACGGTTAACTCTCCCACATCCCACTGGCATGTGGGCGGTCGGTCGCATTCTTACCAATAGCAAACTCCACGAGGGTCTCATTCTCCTCCGACAGCGAATCGAGGAATAAATCCAGGACCTGCAGCTGCCTGAGATACTGGTAGTTGCTGGGGTCATAGGCGAAGTTGGCTAGGTTGGCCAGGACTTGCTCCTTGGCGTCTGCAGCGGGAAAGAGACACTGGAGGCAGGTCCGGGGCGACCTCGACCTGGCCCCGACCCCGACCCCGCCGCTCTCACCTTGGCTCTCAGTCTCCTGGAATTCCGTGACCAGCGCCTGCAGGTAGCCCAGCCGCCCGACGTGGGGGTCTACCTTGGGCTTCTGGGCCATGGCCGGGCGGCGGGACCCCCGGGGGGCGGGCAGGAGTGTGAGGTGAGGCCGGCGCGTCGGGCTAAACCTCTCCGGGCCAGGCGGGCCCGACCCTGGCAAGCGGGTCCTCTCCCGGGCTCGGGCCTGCAGTCACTTGCAGCTGTAGGTGGGGTGAGGGGAGAGGAGCGGGGTCTCAGGACACGGTAAAAGCTAGGCGTGAAAATCTCCAGTGGGGCGCCGGGCTCGAGAAGCCGGCAGCGAGGCAGAGCGGGGGTCGCGCGGCCCAGACTGACAGCGAGTTCGGCTGCCGGCCGGTTCCGGCTTCCGGCGGCGCCGCGCTTAGCCCCGCCCAGGGCCGGAAGGGGCGGGGCTAGCCACAAGCTCCGCGCGTGCGCAGCGCGCTCCCTGCGGCGTGGCCGCGGCCTCTGCAACGCAGGGCTGCGGGGGTTTGGGGCTGCAGCGGGAGCTTCCTGGGCGGCGCCGGTGCGGGGGTATTTCCCAACTTCCCCGCACCTGACGGGAGGGGGAGAGTTCAGCTTTCGTCACTTAGGGTCACCCCTCTTGGGGCGCCGTCGGCTCCCTTGACCCCAGCGACTCGGGCCCTTTGACACTCCCTTCCAAAAGCCGGGCGACCCCTGCTCCCCAGCCTGGCACTGAATCCCCGAGCCCTGTCTAGACATCCCGGGAGCTGGGTAACCGGGAGCGCCAGTGCTCCCCGTTGGCCCTAGAAGGAGCCTCTGTTTAGCCAGATATTTCACTTTGGCAGCTTTTTTTTTTTTTTTTTTAAGATTTATTTATTTATGCATACAGGAGCTGGGGCACCCGCCGGAGATGCGGGGGGTGAGAGGATCCACCAGAGACAGAGTGGGGAGCTTGACAGGCGGACCCACTGAAATACACTGCTGAAGGAAACAGTGGGAAAGACAGGAGAGGTCTGCCTGGCCAAGTGGGTGTCTCCCTGGCCGGCAGGTATCGAACTCCTGATGCAGAGGCTTCAGATTGCTTCATAGTGCAATGCCTAACCCCTTGCGCCACCAGGGAGGCCCTTTGGCTGCTTTTGAGTTGTGGAACACAGGATTCAGGAGCCCTTCGGCCCATTCCTTCTCAGGAAGGTGGCGATTGATGAAGACAGTGGCTGCCATACTCCAGCTGAGGACAGCCCCACTGAGGGCGGGCCTACTGCATGTCCTCAGATCCCTGGGCAGCCCCTGCCCTTTGCACCGTCCCAGGGCCAGAGCTAGTACCATAGTCTGGCTCTGTGACAGCTGTGGCCCCAGTTCCCTCACCAGGCCCTTCAGCTTCTGTGGGGAACTGATGAGACCTGAGGATGTACTTCTTAGCCCAGGGTGTGTGTGTAGGGAGGGTGGGGGTGCTTTTGGCCAGAGAGATCAGCAAAGGCCTGGGGAGCAGGAGCTCAGGGCTTAGAGACAACATAGCAGTGCATTCAACCCTGCGCTGGTCAGGAACTGCTCCAGACTCTAGGAATCCTGGGACTCAGCCAAGAGGGAGTGCTGAAATCAGATGTGCCACATCACCCTCCCTCCTCTGTTCCCTCCAAGGCCTCCAGGGCCCTCCTCCTGGGGAAGCTTTTGTCTTGGCTTTGTGCTGTGGGCAGCAACTAGGTGTTACTACTCTCTCTCTAGTCCTTGGCACACAGTGGATGCCAAGCTTGGCACACAGCAACATGTCTTCAAGGGATGCTGTCCAGAGATTATTGTCACTCTTGCCAGGGCCAGCTGAGGTGGAAGATTGTCTATACTGATATACTGAATGTTCACTTATTTTTTTTTTTTTGTCCTTAAAAGACAATGTTTGTCCTTAAATGTTTTCAGGAAGTGACATTTAGGGGATGCACATTTCAAAGCCTGGTGGCTACCAGCACCAAAAGCATTCAGCTGCCCCCAGGCCCAGCTCCCACTCCCTCCTTTTCCACTCAATGAAGGTGGGGAAGCTAGAACCTGGTAAAATAGGTCCAAGAATCACCCACTCAGTACATAAACTGTGGGTAGTGGCCAAGCACAGAATTGGGTGAGGCGCAGGAAGGCAACGCCAATCCTCAGGATAACACCTTCCAAGCTGGAAGAGACTGTAACCAACCTCCTTTCTAATGGCCTAGAGATGAACAATTTGCCAAAGGCAGGCGGCTGCAAATGGTGGCACCCCCAAATATGAAGTTTGCCCCTGCACTACTGTCTTTGGCCATATGGGGGCACTTGTGGCAGAGCCCTGGAAAGACAAGCAGTCCCCAAGGATGGTGATTCTTGCCAGCTGGACTTGGAGGGGAGGGAGGCTGCTGTTGGGTCATAAAAATAAAATCAATTCTCCTGATAAGCTTTTCTTGTTGGAGCCGGGTTTAGACTGAATCAACAAACAAGGCTCAGGGCAGACGCTGCCCCTGCTGAGTTAGGAGAACTGAAGAGGGAGCGAGGGAGAAACTTACTCCAGGCCTGTTCTCCAGTTTCATTAGTTCACAGGCTTTATAACCTGCTGCAGGAAACATTTTTCTCTGCCAAATTCAAACAAAATCTGTTTTTCCATTCCCTCTGTTGGACAGGCCTAGGCTGATGACAGCCAGCCCCCAGGTTATGACATCAGGGAAGGGAGGGTACCTGCAAAAAAGCCTGTGTATGGGGGAGCTCTGACCTCCAGACCACAAACATAGGCCAACAGTTACTTACTCTAGGGTTGACACTCAGACAGGGTGGTGAGGTGGGGGTGGGGGCTCCATTTCCACAGAGGTCCTCAGGGCCTGCCTAGCACCTCTTCCCCTACTCCACTCCCCTTTCAGCCTAATGCTGAAAGATGCTCTGCATCTTCCGCCCAAGATGCAGAGAAGAAGATGCTGGAGCAGGACCTGTGAGTGCCCAGGGTACCTCTCACACTTCACTAATGCTAGGACCCAAGCCAGGGGCTCCCTTCCAGTTCTCTGCCCAGGGAACAGGATGGGGACTGCACCCAACATTTAACCCAGGCTGATTCCTCAGCCCGGCCCTCCACCACCGCAGGTCACCACTGGTTCTCACAAGGCCCGTCTTCCCAGAGGTCTAGTCAGTGTGAGGCCCAGCTAACTGTGCTGAGTGCAGCCAAAGTGCCAGCCTTGGTTACCCCAACAATGATGTGGGCTGGGTCACTTGGGAATGGGGACGGGGGGGCGGAGGAGGGGTGAGCTCCTTTGGAACCATCTGGAAGCTAGAGAAGGACAAAGAGATTACATTGGAGGCAGCCAGGCTGGACTTTGAAGTCCAGTGTATTGAGTCATAGCAACAGCTGCACTGGGGCAGCCCCCAGCAGGGCCCTGACCCACACCCCAGGAAGCCGGTGCCCAAGGAACATGAGGAGGATCTGCTCCTGGAGTCCACTAGTTGGCAGGACCTCTGAGTCTTCAGAGGGGGCCGGCAAGGCCCCAGCTCCTAGCTGAGTCCTGATGCACAGACCCTGGCCAGCCTGTGGCCTAGGTTTCCTGGGCAGCCCTCCATCCCAGTCCTGGCACAGCAGCTGGACATCCCATTCTTGTCCGAGGCAGAGGTCACTCACTGAGGACTCAGATGCTGGTCACAGATGTGGCCTCTGAGCACAGGCGCTTCTCGGAACCATCTGCGCCCTCCACGGGGTGGCCCTTGCTGGCTTCTTCTGCTTCAGCCTGCCTACCCTGCCTCTCCTTCTTCTGCAAGACACAGAAGCTGCTGCCCATGAAGAGAGCAGCTGAGATGAGGAAGAAGCTGGCCATGTAGAACACATAGCTGAAGTTGTTATTGCTGGTGTCCAGGAGGAGGCCTAGGGGACACAAGCAAGTTAGGTCACTGCCTGAAGCTACTGGGCCTCCCCAGCTAAACTGCTTTCAGCCAGGGTACTCAGTGACCATCTGCTGAGTAAAAGAAGGAGCAGGAGATAGGAATCTTAGCAGATCTTCCTGTTCTGGCCTGGGCAGGAAGAATGCTCAGGAGGAGGAGACTTCAGGGCACGTCTCCTTTGCCCTGGCCAGCAGGAAGTCCAGGACAAGGGGGCCGGTGGAATATGGGATCTCTGCTCGGTCACACCCTGGCCCTACCTGCATTTCTCCTGGATAGCTCTCCCCACTTGTTGGCTTGGAGAACAAACTTGGAGACCGGGGATACCTTGCCACCCCTGGAAGAGTGCCCTCTGTCTTCCTGTAATAGCCACAGGTCCGTGTCCATGATTGCCCGCAGCCCGAGGGCGCCACCAACCTTTCCAAGGACTCCCAATGCCCTGCTCTCGTGCGGGTCGCTGCTTCCCTGCCTGTTTCCAAGCACCATTGGGAATCACACATGTGTCCCTGCTTTGATTTCCGAATCTCCCACCAGGAGGTAAGAGAACGGAATTCCTCTCTGCCCTCAGCCATGCCCACCCAGTGACTGGCATGGGGGAACTGGGGCTTGTGACAGGTTATTTTCTGCATTTTGCAGATGACACTGTGGCTCAGAGGAGGAAAATGACTTGCCCAGGCCCCACGGGCAGGAAGTGTGAGAACTGGGGAGTAACTGAGTGCTTACTCGGCCCTTAAGCTCTTTGCTTTACAAACCTCCCAGGTAGATTCTATTGTCACCCCCATTTCCCTGATAGGGAAACAAAGGTAGAGATGGGAAGATGAAGGACTCAGATAAGTCTGCTATGCAAACCCTATTTTTAACTCTTCACACCTCAAATGCCAGTTGGGAAACAGGCTGTAGCCAGTCCCCAGAGGTGCTTCAGAAAATCCCAGAGTCCAAGTCCCTACCCCTTGACACTGAACTCCATCTATCCAGACGGTTCTCCTTTGCCCCATCCCATGTTCTGCCCACTCACGTCTGGCCGCCCTCCCTCCCAGGGCCTCACCAGCCAGCGGCGGGGCGATGAGGATGGAGATGCTCTCCAGGACGGTGACGAGTCCCAGGGCGCTGGAGAAGCGATCCATGGGGACGAGGTCCATGAGGACCTGGAAGAGGAGGGCACCCACGCCGCTCATGGACACGCTGTACACCAGGCAGTAGCCCACCAGCACCCAGAAGTTGGCTGACACTGTGCACACCAGGTTGGTGAGCCCGTTGAGCAGGATGGCCAAGGTGAACAGGTACTTGCGGTGGCCGGCAAAGGTGGGCCGGCCGGCCAGCATCCCCGCCAAAGGCCGCAGGAAGATGTTGCTGAAGCCGATGATGGAAATGAGCAGGGCCGCCTTGTGCTCGTCCACCCCGTGCCTCATGGCGTAAGGCACCAGGAAGATGTGAGGCAGCGGGAAACCTAGGATCATCCACATGATGCCCAGGGTGTACACGCGATAGCCTGCGTTGTGCAGCAGGACGTCGAAGGCCAGGTGGCGTTGGATGGCCTGGCCGCACTTTGCCAGGCAGCTGGGAGCCGGTGTCTTGGAAGGCGGGTGGGGGACTTCTCTGGTCTTAGCGGCCACCCTGGTGGCCATGGGCCGCATGATGGCTCCACAGATGCAGCAGTGGAGAAAGACCCCACCGAAGATAAGGAAGGTGCCCCTCCAGCCTAGGTCCTCCAGGAGGTAGCGGGAGAGTAGTGGCCACAGCGTGATGCCCAGGGAGACGCCCATGGAGGCCAGGGCATTGGCCAGCGGCCGTCGGCGGGAGAAGTAGAAGCCCAGCACAGTGATGCTGGACTGGAAGCTGAAACACAAGCCCAGGCCTGCAGGAGAGAGGGAAGGCCAGCTCGAGGGTATTCGAGGCCTCCCATCCGCCCCCGAGTGGGGCTAGGAGGTCATGTCCCACGTCTGCCCTCCTTCCTTTCTAGCCCAGACCCACTTCCAGGTCCCCAGGTGTGTAAGATGAAATTGGCCTGCCTTGACGCCTCCCTGATCTGCCTTCCTGAGGCTGCCAGGGCCACACCCACTCCCCTGGGCATAGCACCAGGGTGCCCTTTAAGAAACGAATTAGATTGCATCTCTTCCCTGCTTATCACCTTCCAAAGATTCCCCACTGCACCTAGGAAAAAATCCAGAATATTTACTCTGCCCTGGAAGGCTCCACGTGGGTTGGCTCTTGGCCACCTCCTCTCTCAGGCCACTGCCTGTCACTCACCCTGATCACGTCACGTCAGCGGCTCTTCTCTGCCCCTGGACACCAAGCAGCACCCTCCCTTGGGACACTGGCGGTTGCCTCTGCCTAGAATCTGCTTCCAGACCGTCCTCTCCTGACTCAGTCCAGTGGGGCCTGTCCGTGCCCCCCTCACTCCTGCACCTGCGTAGCCGAATACGCTGGGGAGGAAGCTCACGACCAGGCCACGAGTCCTGGTCCCAGGTCCTCTCCCCCTTCATTCCCACCTTCTAAATGAGCCCCTGGACATCTTCCTCTGAGCACGGCCTCAGGGTGGCGCTACAGTCAGGACCTGGCCCCTGCCCCCAGCCCCAGCTGGCTCCGCGTTGTGTTCTCAACACCACAACAGAGGGGGCCTTTATGAATAAGGGTTGCGTAATATGAATGAGACCCCCATATTCATGCCCCTCTACCCTTCTGGCCCCCTCAATGTTCCCTGACAGTTCCGGCTGCTCCTTCTCCGTGGAATGCTCTTCCCGGGAGACCCTCATGGCAGACTCCCTCACAGCCTTGGGTCTCTGCCAGCTTCTCTAACTGCCATGTTGAAACATGGTGGCCTCCCCAGCCCTCCTGTCCCTGCTGCGCCTGGTATTCTCCTGACTCACTTGATCTCTACCCACCCTCGCCCGAGCCGGGACACTGCCCCATCGGTGGTCCTGTCTTGTCAGGTGCTGGTCACGAGCAGACACCACCCTTCTTAGTATTCTGTTCATTGTTGCTCATGCTCCCTCGCAAAACTGGGGGTGGCCCCATAAGTAGGTGCTGTGCCCGCCCTGTTCACCTGTACCAGGCGCCTGGTGAGCCTTGGCATGGAATGGCAGTCACCTGTGATGAATCCTGCTGTGATGTACAGCTCGCTGAGGGTGCGGCAGAAGGAGCTGGCCACCATGCCCAGGCAGGCCAGCACGCCCCCCAGCATCGCTGCCACTCGGCAGCCAAAGCGGTCCACCAGGATGCTGCAAAGGGGTCCTGCGGAAAGGGGAGAGGAGTGAGGAGCCGGCCAGTTGATTGCAGAGGTCTGTGGGGAGGGGACAGTGAGGCTGGGACAGGTTCTAGCAGGAACCAGCCAGCTGGCTTGAAGGGCACCAGCCCTGGAAACTCCAGGCCTAGATTCTGATCCCCAACTCGCCACGGAAGGTTGATGCCTCACTGTGCCTCAGTTTCCTCCCCGACAGAGGGAGGGCTCAGACTGGGTCATGTCTGGGCAGTGGTGAGGTGAGGTGCTACAAACATTCAGTCTCACCTGGTAGGGATCCCCAGGGAGACAGATCGAGGGCCTCCTCTGCACTGACCTGAGGGCACCTCCAGCCTGAACCAGGATTGGCTCATGACCTGAATGGACACAGCCCAGGGCATCTAAATCCTGGTGAGCAGGGCCTCCCGGGTGGTGCAGGGGTTAAAGTCTCAGCACTATGAAGCTATCAGCAGCCACTGCTGCTTGAGTTCGATCCCCAGCCAGGGAGTGACCCACATGGCGCAGGAGACCGCTCCTGTCTCTCTGCTGCTCCTCTCAGCACTATTCTGCTCCCCACTCTTGCCCCCAGAAGTTTGGTTGCTGGTGGAGGGGGCTGTTCCCCTCCCTGACCTTGACCTGCTTTCTCACCAGCCCAGACCCAGAAATGAACCAGTCCTGGCTGGGCTGCTCCACACACACCAAAGGGAGGGCCCAGTCCCACAAGCCCACATAGTGGTGTTTCTCTGGAGTTCCTTTCCCAGAGTGGGGTAAAGGGATAGGGAAAGCATGTGTGCACATGGGGAGTGTGTGAGCCAGTGTGAGCGCCAGATGGCAGAGGAAGCCAGTACCCATCCCAAGAGAAACAAGAAGAGGCTGTTGACCCACTGTCCCTGTGGTGGCAGAGGGAGAGGCGAGGCCCTGGAGGATACGCTGATCCATGCTCTGGCCTGATTTAGCAAAGGCGGCTCTGGAGAAAAGTCCTGAGTCATTGAGTTGGGGTGGGAGCTGGGATATGCCAGTTTCACTGATATTGGAGGGTGCTGGGCAGAGGGAACAGGTGGAGGGGACTTCCCTATGTCAGCCGCTGCTTCTGCCATGGACTCACGGCTGCCTGGGGCAGGACTACCACATGGCGCTTGCTTGCTCTCTGGGGTGGGGTGGGAAATGCTTAGGACTCATGATACTTCCAGGTTTAAAATGCCTGTGATATCTGGAATGAGCGTAGGCAAGGGTGTGTGGGTATGGGAGAGAGAGACAGACACAGGAATCCCAGGCTGATGGAGATGTGGAGTGCCTGGAGGGTGAGTCTAACGCTGGCCAGAGAGTGGGGTCCCCACTGGACGCCTTGGTTCCCAGCCCCTGGCCCAGATCCTTCTCTGAACTAGAGTCCCACGTCTGCCCCAACCTCCAAGGCCAAAAGGGCAGGTGATCTGGGCCAGGCCTGGACTTTTCTCTTGCCCTGAGACCCCCCACCTTGGGTGGCAGGTTTCGGGGTCATCCTAGCCAGGGTGGCAATCTACCCCAGTCTGGCCTTCTCCTAGTGGGGGAAGAACCCGGAATAACAAGCAGGCTTCTAATGCCAAGTGGAGGGAGAGTGGCAAGAGGTAGGCAAGGAGATGGGGTCAGCCGAGGCAGCAAACAGGCATGGGGAGAGCACTGTGGTCCATTGTCTGCCTCCAGTTGACCGGCGTCCCCATGAAGTGGCTGTCTGTGGAGTCTCCTTGGAGAACTCCCAGGAGACAGGCCCTGGGCCCAAGGCTCTTGTGCAGGACCCGGAGGGTAGGTAGGTGGGGGTGGTGAGGCTCCTGGAAGTCATCCAGGAAATGGGGGGGGCGGACAGAGTGAGGCCTGCCTTCCCTCCATCTCCCAGCCCTGGCAGTCCCCCGCCCCGTCAGAGGCTCTAAAACACAAGGTCTCATGTGCTCTTCCCTGTCAGCCTATGTGGAAGGGGGGCAGGAAGCTGGGTGTAGCGCCCATATGGGAGAGGAATAAACTGTGCCTCGGGGAGGTGACGTAGCTGGTTTCTGACCTCCGGTCATGCCTGGGGTCTGCGCCAGCACCCAGCCTGCCTCCGGTCGGGATGGATCCTCCAGCAGCAGCCAAGAGGACAGGCGCCTCCACCCCCAGCTCTGCCTGGCCCAACCTGGCAGGCTCCGCTCAGGTGTTCCCCACACACATGGGGATTCCAGCCAGGGGGCAGGCCCTGCTGACATCCAGGGATTCACCCCACCAGGCAGCGTTTCCAGCCACAGTGAGAGGGATTCAGGAGGCCGGGGAGCATGGCTTCCTCCCTAGCCCAGGCTCTCATCCCGCCCTGGGCCCTCCCCAGGCTGCTCACCCCCTGCGTGAAGCATGGCTGTCAGGATGGAGGGGAACCAGGAGGTCTCGCTGTTGCTGGCCTGGAACTCACGCTGGAGTTCGGTGAAGAAGATGCCGATGCAGGTGGGGAAGGCCAGGGTGAGGCCCTGGGTCACCATGGAGGACAGCAGCACCACCCAGGCCCAGCTGCCCTCGGGGCGCTCCAGGGCCTGGGCCATCCTCTGCTAGGAGTGTTGCCACAGCCCCGCCACTGCTGCTACCACGGCTCCGGCCACCTGGGGAGGGGACAGATTGGAGCCAGGCAGCCGGCAGGCGGCAGCCCTCTCCCAGCCCACCCGCCACCTCCCCGGTGGCTGAAACCCTCCCTTCCTCTTGCCCTGGCACCAGGTATCACAGAGGGGCACCACCCCCTGGAGGTGGCCAGAGGCTCACGCACTGGCCTTGGCATCTCCTTTCACCCACTTCCTAGAGCCAGCCTGGCAGGAGGGACAGGAGGGGCGGCCAGGTGAGCAATCCGCAGGACAGGGCAGGTGGGGTGAATTCTTGGAATTCTTTCTGCTGGTTGCATCACTAGGTGGTCAGTGGGCGGGACTTCCCGGCCTGGTCTTGGGCCCCTGCACCCAGGAGCATTCAATCTTTCCTGGTGAGTGGAGCCGCCCCCAGCCAGGGCAGTCCCCAAGCAGGCACACAGGCACATTCTCATTCACATCCAGGGCTCCGGCTCACACACAGGCTTTCGCAACGCCACGTGACAGCAAAGTTCACCATCAGTGCTATCTTGAAGGACAAGGTGAGCCAGCCAGGACTGGGAGCAGCCCAGAAATGTACACACACACAGAACACCGAAAAAAGTGCCACACAAGCAGTTTTCAAGAAGGTGCAGGTCTCGTCTGAAATCACCCTACAAACTAGCTCTCCGGGGCGCCCCCGGCCACGCGCAGCACATCCACAACAGGCACAGGCCGCCCGCCACGGCCCGAGAGTCACCCTCACACACACAAGCACGGCGACCTCAGGCACTCGGGCAGACACACGGGCGGACACGGACACTGAGAAATGGACTCGTAGAGACACACACAGACACACACACAGAGAAAATCTACAGACATACTCACATACGTGGACACGCAGAGACTTAGGAATACACAGATACACACACGGATACAAGGCAAACCCAGAGAGATTTAAACAAAAGCACATAGACATGACACACAGACATGCAGATACACATAACACACATGGTCACCCACTGGGCAGTGCGCGCACACCCCCTTCTGGTTTTTGGCTCATTCTGGGCCGCCATCAGGCCACTGCCCCCACCCCAGAAGCCCAGAAGCTGCCCTCACCAGTCGTCCCAGGTTCCAAGGTAGATAGCCCTGTTCCAATCACCCCACCCCACCTGCTTGCTCCCCTGCTCCGTGGCACCCCACCACCCGCAGACCTCACCTGCACTTGGGGATCCTTTCACCTCAGTGAAGCCAGCGTATTCCACAAGCTACTGCTCCCACAGCCTCCCTCCTTTTAGCCCCAGGTCCTAGATCCCATGGCAACTCAGGAAATTCTCAGAAATATGAAACCCCCTCTTCCTGCCAAGTCCAGCACCTCACACCTTCCCCCCAGGCCCAGGAGCTTTGAAATAGCACCCAAGCTGCATCCACCCTAAACTGTCTCCTTCGAGGCTCCAGTCCTCCCTCCCCAAAGGACTCCAGAAGCCCAGCCAAGAAGGGTGTCCCGGACCTCCCTGGTTGTACAAGGGTTAAGACACAACCCATGAAGCTGTCCGCAGTCCCTGCAGCACGAGTTTGATCCCCAGCCAGCCAGGGAGCAACCCACATGGGGCGCAGACCTCTCCTGACTCGCCGACTGCTCCCCTCAGCAGTGTACTTCAGTCAGTCTGCCTGTTCTGCTCCCCACTGTCTCTGGTGAGTCCCCTCACACACACACACACCCCTCCCCCACGCCTCTGGCCTGTACCCCAGCTCTCGGGTGCATAAATAAATAAATCTTTGAGAAAAAAAAAAAAGGTGTCCCATTCACCCCAGCCTCAGGGGTGAAGGAGGAAGCATGTGTGCGTGCGACCTTGAGCCCTGCTTGTGGCAGGAAAACACCTCCTGCCCTCCCGGGTCCCCGCATGCCATGCGACTTCTGGCCCTAGAGGATCCAGCCCCCCAGCCCATCCCCTGTCCTCCTGGCCCAGCTCTAGGCTGAGGGCAAACCTCAGATGCACGCTCCTCCAGCACACTGGCTCTGACACATCCGGGAGGCCCCTTGAAGTCCTCTACTTTCCCCTCTCGCTCCCAGAAGGTCCACCTACCTTCCTTGGCCGCCTCACCTCCTCCTGCCCTGCCCTTCACCGCTGCCCCACCCCTGGTACGCCCAAGCCCTGGGAACCTGCCGGTTTCACTTAGAAGCCTCACGCTGTCAACTGACCCCGGGGAGGCAGTGAGAAAGGGAGAGCAGAGAGGAGACCGGAGGGGGGTCTGGAGGCTGGGGCCCAGCCCAGCTGCCCGTCCCCCCCAGCCCTGGCCCCTTCTTGTTCATCCCATCCTGCTCCCCTTTGGAAAGGTCCTTAGTGCCCTTCTAGTAGCACTTCCCCACAGTCCCTTGGGGACTTTGCCCAGGATTCTGACCTCCACTCTGCACCAGCCTTTGCCCCAGAGCCTCTCAACGCGCTGGGCTCCTCAAGGCTTCTCCCTCTAGGTCTCCCGGGCGTCAGAGCGCAGGAGACAGTCTCAGCCCCTGTGTTCTCTCTTTGCCAGCTGGGAGACCTGCCTCTCAAGGCCAAGGACCTCTGCGCCCACTCCTCTGCAGACTCAGCCCTCCCACCAGGGGCCGTCTCCCCCCAGGCTCCCTGCAACACCAGGGCACACAGTTTTTATGGCCAGTTGGCCCTCTGGCTCCCTCCCCTCGCAGGCCAGTCCCTCCTCAGGAATTTAGTTCCAAAACCCACAGCCAGAGACAAGTCCCGCTGTTGCCTCAAGATTCAGCTCTGACAGCACTCCAAGGAGCTTCTGCTGCCCGCACCCCCACGCTGGGCCGGGCCCCCTGCCTATAGTGGTTCTCACTCCGCATTGGGGTGGACCATTTGCTGGTTTCTCATTGCAACTGCCATCCCCCCTTCTACAGCGGCAGCAGGCACCTGCTCATGAACCCCACCCGCCACCCAGTCTCCAGCAGAGCTCAAACGGTAACATTAATGTGACCCACCTGTGCTCCCCAGGAGGGCAGACAAGTCCACGGGTGACCCCGCTTCTTGGCAGGCAGGTCCATTCCCGAAGACTCAAGGGGGACAGAGAAGCCATGGGGCTGGGGGGCTCTGGTTTTGCCTCTACCCCAGCAGGGAAGTGGTCCTTCCTTTGCACGGGAGCCAGGGCACCACACTGTTGCCGGTGCCCACGGGAGACGGGGCTGCTGAGGCTTTGCTCTTCCTTCCTGGGGCGGAGGTGAGCAGCTTTCCACGGAGCTGCGACCTCAGACCTCAAGGACCCCAGCCCAGAGCGCCCACATCGCCAAGGCCCAATGGCCTGAGGTTGGGTTTGTGGGCACAGCAACAATTCAGATGATGCTTCCCGTCCTCCTCCCGTGGCACATACCCCCCTTCTCAGGGCTTCCCATCTGATGGCAGATTCCTTGCGAGACCCTCAGGATCCTTTCCCAGCGCCTCCGAGTTTGTGGTCATGGTCACAGGGCCAGCTGACACCCTCATGGCAGAGATTTGGAGTTACGGGGCCTGTAGCCAGAGTGCAGGGGCCTCCTCCCGCATTTCCAGGCTCTCTTCCACGGTGAGAGGAGGAGGAGCCCCAGTCCCTGAAGCAGAGAAAAGATGGGCACCCCCCCACCCCCCCCACCCCCGCCCCCTGGCTCCGGCGATCCCCTCCCTCCCCAGACTCCACAGCTGGCAGGGTGCAGGGCCTGGAGCCCAGAACACCCGGCAGCAGTGGGGCTCCCACTGGAGGGCAGAGCGGGCGGAGCAGTGAACTTGGGGCTGACCTGACTGCAAACCCCGGCCATGCAAGTCCACCAGGAGGGAGTGGGTTCCGCAGGCCAAGAGGGACTGGCCACCCTCCTTCCATCTTGGACCGAAAACGTACCCCTGTGCCCTGGTACCCCACCCCCAGGCTTAAGCAACAGGAGTTCCATGACCTCTCACCCTGGCCCGCCCGCCCGGTCCCCCAATCCGGCCGCCTCCCAGCGCGCTCTCCCGGGTGGGGTGGGGCTGCCGGACGCCCCGGCGGCGCCAGCGCGGAGCCCGCGGGCCGGGCCTGGGTTGGCGCCCGGTCCCGCCCACGCCGCCCGGTCCCGCCCACGCGCCCGTCTCCGGCCGTGGCCCGCAAGGAGTCGCTCTGGAGCCCCCCCACCCCCGGCGTGGGGTCCCCAGCAGCCGAGGCTGGGGCCGCCGGGACCCGGACAGGAAGACGCTTCTGGATCCTCACCCCGGACCCACCCCCGCGGAGCGGCCCGGGGGCCGCGGCCCGGAGCTGCGGTTCGGCTCCCGCTGGGCGAGCGCGCGCGGCGCAGGCGGCCCGGGCGGGCGCCGTGGGCGGGACCACCTGGGAGCCGGCCCGGCGGTGTCGGGAGGCGCGAGGCGGGAGGGGGCGCGGCCTCTCCGGGGTGCGGCCGCGGGCACGGGCGGGGGAGCCGGCTCCGCGGGCGGGTTTCACACGAGCATGTCGTGGGCACAGGCCCTGCGTGGCCTCCGCGCCTTCGCCTGCTCCTGCTGGGGCTCCCGGGCCCGGGCGGGAAGGGAGAAAGCCTGGGATGGAGAGGCACCACCTCCGGCGGGCGTGGGGTGGGAGCGTCCCTTCTTTGGGGACTTAGCTGCTGGGAGTCCGTCCTGTCAATGCCTAGGGCTGGGGCCTCCCTGGTGGCGCAAGGGGCTAAGCGCCAGCACTGTGGAGCAATCCCAGCCTCTGCAGCCCGAGCTCAGGTCCCCACCTGGCTCCCCACACCTCTCCTGCCTCACCAGCTGCTCCCCTCAGCACTGGATTTCAGTAGATCTGCCTGTTCTGCTCCCCACTCTGTCTCTGGGGAGTCCTCTCACCTCTGACCTACATCCCAGCTCTTTTTTTTAAAAAAAGATTTATTTATACAAGAACTGGGGTACAGGCCAGATGTGCAGGAGGGTGAGAGGATTCACCAGAGACAGAGCGGGAAACAGAACAGGCAGACTGACCGAAATCCACTGCTCAGGGGAGCAGCGGGTGAGACAGGAGAGGTCTGCGGCGCCATGTGGGTAGCTCCCAGGCCGGCAGTGATCGAACCCACACCGCAGAGACTGCAGACACCTTCACAGTGTTGGGCTCAACAGCCTGCATCATCAGGGAGGTTCCACCCCAGCTCTTGTATGCATGAATAAATCTAAAAAAAAAAAAAAAAACAAAACCCAAAAATCAAACCTAGAGATGAGCTTCAGGGGAGCAGAAAAGAGAGGGTGACTCCTCAGTCCTGGAGCAGGTGAGAGGAGGCCCACCCACCGCCTCCGCAAGTGCCTCTGGGAATTGCAGTCTCTTTTCCAGTTTTTTCCCCACCTAATCCACCCTGGATAAACATATAATTTCTACAAAGTTGCAGTAATCGGGCCTCCCTGGTGGCGCAAGGGATTAAGCACTGCACTAGAAAGCACTGTGAAGCAATCCCCAGCCTCTGCAGCTTGAATTCAATCCCTGGCCGGCCAGGGAGAAACCCACACGGCGCGGCAGACCTCTCCTGTCTCATCTGCTGCTCCCCTCAGCAGTGTATTTTGGTCGTCTGCCTGTTCTGTTCCCCGCTCTGTCTCTGGTGGATCCTCTCACCCCCCGCATCTCTGGCCTGTACCCCAGCTCTTCTATGCATAAATAAATAAATCTTTAAAAAAAAAGTTACAGTAATCAAGACAGTATAGCACAGAGAGACACATTTATGATCAGTTGATTTCCACAAGGGTGCTGAGATAATCCAATAAGAAAAATGAGGTCGGGCCTCCCCGGTGGCGCAGCGGTTGAGCGCTGGGTTGCGAAGCTGCCTGCAGCCTCTGCAGCCGGTTCGATCCCCGGCTGCTCCCCGGCCACCGGAGGAGGGTCCCACATGGCGCGCAGACCTCTCCTGCCGCCCGCTGCTCCCCTCAGCAGTGTCCTTCGGTCCTTCTGCCTGCTCTGCTCCCCGCTCTGGCTCTGGTGAATTCTCTCACCCTCCCACGCTTCTGACTGTACCCAGTGCATGTATAAACCAAACAAACAAATAATAAATAAATAAATAAATAAATAAGACATGCCTCTAGAAAAATTTAAAAAAAAAAAAAAAAAAAGAAAAATGAGGTCTTTTCAGCAAATGGTTCTGAAACAACCCTAAATCCCCGTGGAAAAGGATGACGTTGGACTTCTACCACGCATCTTTTTTGACAATCATAGATGAAGATGTAAAAACCAAAAGGATAAAACCTTGTATTAGGCAATGGATTCTTGGAAACACCACCAAAGCATCAAAATAACAAAGGGAAAAAACCACAAATTGGACATTGTTGAAATTAAAAATTATTTTTTGTGCCCAAACACTATGAAGTGAAACGGGGAACCTAGGAGGGGAGAAAATATTTGCAAACCCTATATGTGAAGTATTCTCACAATTCAATGATAAAAAGGCAAACAACCCCATTTAAAAGTGGGCAAAGGATCTGACTAGACATTTCTTCAAGAAGATACACAACTGGGGACCTCCCTGGTGGCGCAGGGGTTAAAGACACAGCGTTATCAAGCTGTGGCCAGCATGATCCCTGGCCAGAGAGCTGACCTCTGGCACAGCAGACCTCTCCTGTCTCCCCACTGCTCCCCTCAGCAGTGTATTTCAGTAGATCCTCCTGTTCTGCTCCTCACTCTGTCTCTGGTGAATCCTCTCACACCACCCCCCGCGCCTCTGGCCTGCACCCCAGTTCTTGTATGCAAAATAAATAAATTTTAAAATAAAAAATACACAACTGGCCAAGAAGCACATGAAAAGATGCCCAACATCATTAGTCATCAAGGAAATGCAAATCAAACCCATGATGCCTAGTGGGTGAAATGTCTCTCCAACCCACAAGGATGGCTCAACTTCTGGGTGAGTTACGTAGGAGATATTTGTGTCGAGTTGTAAGGTGCAACTCAGACATAAATCATACTGTGCCTGTGATTCTTTTTTTCCCCATCTGCAGACAGCAAATTTATCAAGGAAAAGAAAAAAAGGAGAGATCTGCAGAGACACAGGCGGGCAGGAGAGCTGCTGATCATTTTCTTAGGGCTCACCCAGAGCTGGACTTGGCTCTGACAAGGGAGGGTATTCAGCTTAGACTGAGGCATACCCCACTGTCCCATAAGGATGGTCCTAGGTCTTAGGAGGTCGTGTGTGGGGTTCAGCAGGGGTCTGCACATCTCAGCACCCCTTATCTCAGTGCAACCTCACCCTGTGAGCAGCAGTACCTCCCCAGGCTCCTCAGAGCAGGCTGGATTCAATACCTGGGACTCCCTGGAGACTCCTAACTTCTGAAAAAGTCAAATAGGGAGGTTTTTCCTGGTAGTGCAGAGGTTAAAGTCTCAGCCCTATCAAGCTGTTGCCAGCCACTGTGGCCTGAGTTGGATCCCCGGCCAGGGAGCTGACCCACTTGGCACAGCAGACCCCTCCTGTCTCCCCACCACTCCCCTCAGCAGTGTATTTCAGTCGATCCTCCTGTTCTGTTCCCCACTCTGTCTCTAGTGAATCCTCTTACCTCCTGCACCTCTGGCCTATACTCCAGTTCTTCTATGCATAAATAAATGAAATAAATCTTTAAAAACAAAACCTGGGAGGTTTCCCAGGATGCCACCATCCCTCTGGGGACTCCCATCCTAAAACTTCAACTTCTACTTCATCAAGATGAAATTAGTAGCATCTGCTCACCTAGACTCTGTGCCCAGAGTTTGGAGTGGGCCACTGTGCTGAGACTCTCAGAGATGGGATGGGGACCCTCCACAGGTCACCCTGCAGCCCTCCCCAGACTTGTGCTGTCACTTTGTCCCTTAAGTGCAAGTCTGATCCCCCAGATTAGCCACCAGATCCTATTTTACTAGGGTCTTATGACAGCTGTCAATGAGGTGGGTGACCAGGACCCCAGGGTTGAAAGGGGCGATATCCTACAGATAAGGGAACTAAGACACCTGCCAAGATGATACATCTTTTTGAAATGAACAGCAAGGAGTTAGAGAATAGCGTAGTTGCCATTCATCATTAAAAGTCGACACCAGGGCCTCCCCAGTGGCACAGTGGTTGAGCGCTGGGTTGCGAAGCTGCCCACAGCCTCTGCAGCACTGGTTTGATCCCCGGCTGCTGGGTGAGGGTCCCACATGGCGCGCAGACCTCTCCTGCCGCCCGCTGCTCCCCTCAGCAGTGTATTTTGTCCGCCTGCCTGTTCTGTTCCCCGCTCTGTCTCTGGTGAATTCTCTCACCCTCCTGCGCTTCTGACTGTACCCAGTGCTTGTATAAATAAATAAATAAATCTTTAAAAAAAAAGTCGACACCACCATCACTTTCTGTTGGTGGTCTGTGGACTCCCCTGAGATCTTTCATGTGCTTGGTTGCTTCCTTTCCCTGGAACTCTCTATCCTGATGGTTTTCCTCTTCACCTCGTTGGCCTTCAGGTGACAGCTCAGAAGCCCCTTCCTCCAGGAAGTCCTCCCAGACCTCCCAAGTTGTGGCATTAGTCCTGCTGAGTGATATGCATTTCCCCACTAAGCCTCCTGAGGCCCATTGTTTCCCCAACACTCAGCACAGTGCTGGGCACAGAACAGTGGGATGATGACAAGGGTACTGAGCACAGTGATAAGGGCTGTTTACTTGCTGACTTGTTGGCTGGGTGAAGGAATGGAGTGTTGCCCTGTCAAGTTGCTTCTCCCTTCCAGGGTCTTAACCACCACAAGCCCAGGTCCTGGGAGCCTTTAAAAATATTTTAATTACTGTGACTTCCAGAATAGGCTTCTAGTTTCTCTGTCCTCTCCCCAGCTCTTGACTTCTGGCCGTACCCCATGTCCTTAGCACAGCCAGCGTGCGTGTTCAGCCTCTCCTAGACGCTACTGGCAGCTGGGACACTTCAGCACCTTCTCGTTCCCAGCCCAGAGGCAGCTTCTTTGTTCTGTTTCCACATCACCCTCCTTGGCCTGCTCTACCCAGGGAATGTGGCAGCTTGTCAGCTGACCCCAGAGTTTAAGGCTTTACTCCTGCCCCCCCCCCCAACTTTGAAGAGCCACTGAATGCAGCTCTGATGGGCAATCTGTCTGGGGCTGCCTGCACATGTTGGCCCTGGGCAGATGGGCACCTGCTACCCCTGCCCCTGGCGCTACAACAGCCCCTAGTTCCTGGACAGACATGTCCTGGTCCCTTCCACTCAGGGGCAGCAGCTTGCCTGATGGGGGACAGCTGGGGAGGAGGAGAGGGCAAACCACAGGTGACCTCATACCGCCTGTGAGGTTTCCAGAGCTGAGCCCGGGCTGATTTCGGGTATGTGGGCACAGATCAGGTGGGCGGCACTCCCAGAGGGTCAGCCTGGAAACAGTCCTGGCTTCAAACCCCCCCCCCACTTGCCCTCTCCCAGCTCCGGAAGGCGCTGTTGGAGTTGGGTTCCTGAGGTTTTGGGGTCACCCCCACATCCTGAGCCTCTTCATTCTCCTGCTTCCTCCCTGCCTCTTAGCAGCCTCTGGCCAGCCCCCTTCCTGGAGCTCCCCCCATCTCCTGACCTTCTCACTGCTACCCCAGCTCAGCCTGCCCCACGCCACCCCAGCCCCACCTCCACTCTGTCTCAGGGACCTGCTTCCCTCCCGTGCCCCTTCGCCTTCAGCTTCTTTGCCAGCCACAGCTCTGCCACCTGCCTTTGCCCTCGTTCCCCGGCCTCTCTTCCTGAAGCGGGGGCCAGCTCAGGCCCACCCCGCCTTCCATTCTCCAAAAGCACCTTACTTTCCAGGTGCTCCACTGGAAACCTGCCTTTTGAGTTCCCAGAACACCCCACCCATATGGGGGTGCTCTGGCATACTCACCCACTTCCCAACCCGCCCAGCTCTAGCGCCTGAAAGCTCCCTGATCGGTGCATCTCCTCACCCACTGCCACCGGAGTTGCCTTAGCTCCGGCGCCCCCCTGGCGCTCCCCGCTCAGCCTGAGGGTGTGTGGGCGCCGTCTGTGTGCAGAGGGGGGCAAGTGCGAAGGCGTAATCACTTTCCTGATTTCTGGACTGCACCGTGGCGATGCCAAGGCTGGTACCCACTGTTAAATCTTCTCTATCTGGTTCTTCCATCATTTATGGGGGTGAAAGGCTGGCTTCCCTGCAGGCAGCAGATTTTCGTAGGGCATTCACAGAACAAGACTGGGAGCCAGCTCTGGCTTAAAAGCCTATGCAGACGGCTTTACTCTCTTGCCTGCTGGGCCAGGAGCGTGGGTTTTGCCATCACATTTTGCAAAGCATTCACACCCACTGACAAGCTACTGTCCCCCATTCATGTCCCTTCCCTGCTCGGCCCCACCTCCTCTGGCCCGCTGGGTCTGGGAGGTGCCCTTCCCCTGGGTCTGTGCACACTGCCTGCCTCTGCCCCCCAACTCTGTGGGACAAGAGATTCCGTGCTCGGATCACTCCATGTTCCCACGTCCAGTGGCAGCATTTAGTCCTCATCTGACCTCATCGACCACACCCTCTTGAAATGTGCTTTCCTGGGCTTGCAGGGCCTCATTCTCTCCGGGTTCCCTCCAGTCCTGGCCACTCATTTACACTTGACCTTTAAGGGCAGAGCCCCAGGGCTCTCTCCTTCACCCTCTCCTCACTCTACGTGGGTGGCTCCAGCTCTATCACCTCCTGTCTACTGATGACCCCACCGATGACCCCACCACTATGTCTCGCCCAGATAGTTAACCTGGCACCTAGGTGCTGCAAATGCCCCCAAACTCAACATCCACTGAAACTTGCCATTTACACCGTCACCCTTCACCCCAACTTAGTCTTCCTTCATGCGCCCTGTTTCAGTAAATGGCAGCCTCAGGAGCCACTTAGGTGCCGAGTCCCATGGATTTCCTTGGACTTCCTTGACTGTCTCATGCCCCACATCCAGCCCATAACCAAGTCCTGCTGACGTTACTTTCTATTTCTCCAGTCTGACCATTAGCCCCTCTGTCCTATCACCACCACCCCAGGCCCACCTGCCCACGGTCATCCAGCCTAGAGCGCAAATCCCTTTCCAACACCTTACTAAGACTGATCTCTCTGAGATGTCAATCTCATTGTGCCCACTGCTCCCCCTGCAGTGGGCTTCCAGCACTGGCAGGGTAAAGATGAGCCCCTGGTACAGCCCCAAGGCCCCTGATGCCTGGCTCCTGCCCATGCTTCTAGCTGACATCTCTCTCCCTCGCTTGCTGCCCTCCAGCCACATCAGTGTCTCTGCTGGCCGTGGCCCCCCAGCTGCCAGGGCACTGAGACACTGTCCTCACCCTCTTGGCCTGGATTACTCTGTCATCTCAGATCACAGCTCAAACATCACCCCACCAGAGAGTCTTCCCTGAGCTCAGGGGTCAGGATGGCCCCCAAAGAATCCTTCTAGCATCATCTACCTCTCCTTAAGGCCCTTTCCACTACCGTGTGTTTATATTAACTCGAATCAAGAGCTGGCAAACTTCCTATAAATGGCAGATATTCTGGGCTTGGCGAGCTGGGCAGGCTGTGATGCAGTTACTACTCTCTGCCACCGTGGGCTGAGCAGACCAACAGAAGCGAGCGCAAAGCCTGCTGGTGTTCCAGAAAACTCCATTTATGGGCACGGAAGTTTGAAGATCATGTTATTTGCAGATTGCAGAAGATCTTTTGAATTTTCCCTATTAAAAAAATGTGAAAACTGGGCCACCCTGGTGGCCAAGGGGTTAAGTCTCAGCATTATCACCCCTATGGCCTGAGTTTGTTTGATCCCCAGCCAGGGAGCTGACCCACATGGCCCGAAGACCTCTCCTGTCTCCCCGCTGCTCCCCTCAGCAGTGTATTTCAGTCACTCCACCAGTTCTGCTCCCCACTCTCTCTGGTCAATCCTCTCACCCCACTTCTGGCCTGCACCCCAGTTCTTCTGTTACAGGGCAGCCCCGATATAAAATGGGTTGCCTGGCTGTGGGTCCTCACCTGCACGCTTCAAAGGGACTTATGAATACTCCACTGCAGGCACACACACAAGGTTCATAAAAGGTTTATTTACAAGGGAAGGGGAAATGAGAAAATGGACAACTCAGGGAGAAAAAAGGGAAATAAAGTCTTAAATGCGTCCTACCGGATCCGCTGACCTGGGAACCCAATGGCACTCTGAGAGCTGGCCGAGAGCCAAGAGCTGGTGGAGAGTCAAAAGGAGACCCCCCAAGGCCCACGTGTCTGGTTTTTATACCAAACCTGGCTGCTGAACCCCACCCTCAGGTCCCAGCCACCTTCCCTTTGGTGGTGATGGGATTTGGGATTTGTCTTTCCCAATGTCCTGACGGCTGTGGTCTGGAGTGGGGGTGGAGTCCACAAAGCCTACATGGGATTAGCTCAGGACATCCTCTCCCCCTAACACTTCTACTCACGCAAGAGATAGGAATTGGTGCTTGCTGCAGGGAAGCCCCTCTCCCAATCTGTGTCCAAAGGCAGGGCAGGCTCAGAGGAGCCCCAGGGCACCCCGCCCTTGCAAGACCTTCTGAGCACACCCTACCCCCTCTGCTCTGCCCCTGACTCAAAATGACTGCTTTTTAAGGAGAAACTGGGGTTACTAATTCCTCAGAGAACGTGCCAGGCAGTTGGAATTCGGGAACACCCAGTGGGGACTCCACCGATTGGCTGGTTCTGGACCACCTTGCCCCAGGGATTTCCCCTTGGTGACTTTTATCTTTCCTCTTCAGAGCCAATCATTAACCTTACTGCCCCCACTCCCTCCCGGCCCCCAGGATTCACCGGAGTGGGTGGTGGTTGAGACTGGAGTCGCCAGGGCTGAGTTCCCCAGCTCTGCTCCCAAGGTCGTTGGACTGTGACCAGGTGGGGCCTAGCCTCGCTGCTGAATTGCACGCATCTGGCCTGGCAAGGTCAGATGGCAGATGACTGGATGCAGGGGGAGTCTCTTTGAGGACAGTGCTACTACCCTCTGGGGGTTGAGTCGGGTGGGTCTATGGTCAAAGGGCTGGGAAGCAGCTTTCCAGAACACTGCGGAGGGGGTAGAGTGCTTTAAGGTTTCCCCACTCGGGAGGGCCTCAGGGCGACTCTCTCCCAGTGGAAAACACCAGCCAGCCGTGACAGCTCTGCTCTGTGCAGCGGGCCAGCAGCCTCCGCCTGCCTGGACCCCGGTCCTCACCCCTTTCCTGTCTGGATCTGAGATAGGATCATTTCCTTCAGCGCCATTCGGTGCCACAGAACCCCTACCCCATGGGACAAGTGCCCCTTCTCAGCCAGGCCACCTGAGGCTAAGAGGCAGACAGGTCACAGGTGGGCTAGGCTTGCCCCTGCGCCCCTGGTACTGAGTAGCCAGATTCCCGCCTGGAGAACCCTCTAATGGGATCTCTTATAGGGCCTGGGAAGGTAGGGGTCAGGAATCCCCCCTCTGGGGGTGTGCGGGCTGTCCCCAATTCCACGGGGCACTCTGGCCTGTTTCCGAGCCCTGCAGTGGGTGGGTTCTGGGAAGCCGGGGGTCCACTGCGTGGCGTCTGTGGGTGCCACCCAGGCAGCAGCAGGTGGGCAGGGAGGTCTCCGCCCCCTCCCCCGCGGGGCCGCGCGCCCCCCCCCCGCCCCCCGCGGCTCCCCTCCCGCTGCAGCCAGCGCTCCAGTCCAGCTTTATTGCCGCCCTACGCCTCCGGGCGCTGCTTGAGCGTGACCGAGGCGCCGCTGCTGACCATGACGGCGGGGTAGAGCGGCTCGGGGAAGGCGGCGAGGAAGCGGTAGAGCAGGCTCACGCCGCCCGCCACGCCGTAGAAGGACAGGCAGCCCGCGCCGCAGTCGAGCGCCACGCCCAGCGTGCGGTGGTAGCCGCCGTGCAGCACCGTCTGCGTGTTGTTGTGCCACACCGAGAACCGCAGCGAGTCCCACTCCAGGCACCACGAGTAGGGGTTGCGGCCCAGCAGGTAGACGATGCTGCGGCGCGGGCGGCCGCCGAGCGGGGGGCCGCGGCGGTAGGAGACGCCCAGGCACACCCACGAGTTGGACACCTCGGCCTCCCAGTAGTGGCGGCCCTCGGACAGGCCGTGCGAGCACAGCACCTGCGGCCACTGCTTGAAGCCCGGGGAGGGGCCGCCCGCCGCCAGGGGCTCCAGCAGGATGCCCAGGTTCAGCACTGAGTGCGTCTCCTTGAAGAGGAACAGCTCCTCGCTCGCCGTGGTGGGGTCGAAGTTGAGGTTGCAGTAATCTGTGGGAAGCGGGAGGGCGTGGGAGCCGGGTCAGTGGCCTCCAGGGGAGAGCCCTGGAGCAGGGAGGGTGAGGAAGGTGTTCCCTTGAGTGCCATTTGCAAGGAAGTCGCCCAGGGCTGGCACCCAAGCTCCCCCTCTTCCTTGCCCCCACCGCTGGCCCTCAGGTGCCCCTGACTTAGCCGGAGGAAGGATTAGCTGCCATCCAAGGCCCGCCTTTCTAAAGACGCAGAGAACCAAGAGACCCCTGCCCTGCCCCCCCAGACCCAGCCCTCCTCTCCCTTTTTGTTGGTTCAGGAGGCAGGACCCAGTGAAATGGAGGCTGCGTCAAGGGCAACTTGACGGTGTGACTCAGAGGGGCTTACCAAGGACTTTCACCTTGGCCTCTGAGATGTCAGAGACGTCAGTGGGATTTGGCCTGCAGCCCAGCCTGCAAGAGGCACTTCAGGAATGTCAAGTGAAAAGGGAGGTTGTCCAGGAAGAAATGCACAGGGTCATCCAAGCAGCCTGGCTGACTGGGAGGGTGGGGGGTTGTTCCGCAGGCACACAGTTGAGGAAACAACGTTGTGCCACGCAGGCCCGAGAGGGCTGGAGAGCCCCACCCGCAGGGGAGAGGAAGGGGGGACAGGATGGAGCCTTCTCCCCTTCCTGTTAGGGCCTGGGAGCCTCAGCCTGATTCCTTCTCAGGTCTCCAGCCCTGCGCGGGCGATTAGGGCATAAGAGAGCAGGCTTCCCCTGGAACCTTGGCCTGTATGGCGGTGGGGCTGGGGAAGATGGGGCACCCCAGGGCTCTTTTCCCCTTCCTCTCCCTGCCCCCCACCCCCCGTGGGCCAGACCCCAGTGTTGAGGACTCACACTGGAGAAGAGCTTTCCTGTCCATAACTGTGGGCAGCACCTCGTAGGAGTTCATCTTAATGCCTGGGAGAGATGGGGGGGCTTTGCTGAGGACCCTCTCACAGCCCAGCATCCTTCTGGGGCGAGGCATGGGCTTCCAGGAGGCTGACACCTGGGGGGGATGCACATGGGCAGGCAGGGCTCTTTCCAAGTGCCTGGAACCTCAACTGCTGCCCTGTAGGGCAGTGCAGCCCCCCAAATGCAGGGAGACCTCTGGTGGCCCCAGGCCACCAGGTACTGACCCTTCAGGAGGAGCTGGCTGATGAAGCTGAGACCCACGTCCCGCAGCCGGGTCCTGAGCTCTGCCAGGGTCTCTGGCAGCTGGAGGAAGCTCTGCTTCTCATCGCAGTTGGTGCCCATCAGGGATTCCGTGCAGGCCGGGAAGTGCTTCAGCCTGGGGAGCTCCTGTGGGTAGGGAGGGACAGGGCCACCACCTGTGAGCCAGGACCCAGGCAGATGCCAGAAGTCCTGCTTCTGCGTGGTGGTCCCTAGAACCTCGGGGCTGGTAGAGAAGTTGCCCATTCCAAACCCCAACATCTCTATTTCCTGCTTGGTCAGATGCGGTAGGTTAGGGCCGCCGCTGGGCCTAGTGCATTAAGCCAAGTGGCTCTTCAGAAAGGCATGGAAGGGAACTCATGAGCTCCCATTGCTTACTGAAAAATCTTGCCAAACACTGTTATGCATGGGGACAAGGTGGGCATCTCCTCGGGGTGTGATGGCCTCTGAAGTGAGGGGGACTGCTGTAGGAGCTTCTGGGCATAGGGTTTGTTGGGGGCAATTCTGGGTCCTGCCCAGACCAGGCTGCAGAGGCCTGGGCCCGGGAAAGAAAAGGGATTTCCATGTAGGCTATGCAGGTTGTTGTGGTCTCCTTCTGGCCCTCATCTGAGGGTGTCTGGAGAAACTCAGGGGTCAGATGCCATGGATATACCCCCATCTCCAGGGAAATGCAGGCTGGAAGTTAGTGGAGGAAGATACCAAGGGTGTTGGTGTGACCCCAGATGGGGAGGCTCTGCAGAAGGGCATGGGCCAAGGATGCTGCCACAGACACTGACACTCTCTAAGGTCTGGGCAGATCTGGTGTGCTGGGTGGAGGGTGTGAAGGGGCCCGGGCTAGAGGTGGGGGCGGCCTGCCTGCAGAAACTGCTGGTCGCTCCGGTTGGTGAGCAGCGTGCGCAGCCAGATGCTGTCTCCCTCCAGCTTCAGCAGCCGCTCGTGGCTCTGCTGGATGGAGCTGCCCAGCTTTCCTAGGGCGGTCGCCTCCTCTTTCTCCACAAAATCCAAGACCTTTGCCTGCAGCTGTTTGACCTCCTGGATGATCTCCGAGAAGCAAGTGTTGACCTCATCACGAGTTGTCCGTATCAGTTTCTGGGGGGCGGGAGAGTGCCTTGAGAGGCTTTTCTGAGCCCCAGTCCGTGCCCCCACTGCCATGGCCCAGAGCTGGCTTAGGAGTCCTTTCTCTGCCTGGTCCCACACTCTCCACGGTAAGCCCCATGTGTTCCCCTCCAGCCTGCGCGGGGTGGGGGGGGGGCGGGGCGGAGTTTACCGAGAGAAAGGCCACCTGCCCCCGATGCTTCTGGCTGTCGGAGGTGATCATCAGCATCTGGTTCTCCACGTTGGCTTGAATCTTCTTAACCTCGACCTAGGAGGTAAGGGAAGAGGCAGAGGCCCCTGATTCAGAGAGATGGCCTAAGAGAGCCCCTTCTGCAAGCAGCCCCAGTCAAAACCCAGAAGAGATAGCTGGGAGAGAGCAGAGCTGGAGGGCTGGCGGCGTGGGCACCCTCATGCCTGCCTCTCACTCCCGAGGGCCTCTCTTCCCATTCTTAGGAACTGGGTTCTTGCTCCTGGCAGATGAGCAGGGGGTTCAGGTCATGGGCAGGGGTTGTGGAGGGTTCAATGACTTGGGAAGCTGTGGGGTGAAGCTGTGGGGTGGGCGTTGCTGCCGGTGCAGGTGGGACTGTGTCCCCCCAGCCCTACACAAGCCTTCTGTCTCCTCCGAGCAGTGGACATTGCTTCCTCTCTTCTCCAACAGCTGCTCCAAACACCTGCCCGCAGCCTCTGCAGACCCCACAACAAAGCCTAAGCTCATGCTGGGCGACACTACACTTGATTTGGCCACGAGGCTGAGAAGCCCTCCACGCTGGACTGTCCACCAACACAGCACTTCCTGCCCTGAGGGTCTTGCCGTGAAAAAAAGCGTGGGCCGAGCCGAACAGTGTGACGAACTTACACTCCGGCACACGCTCCTGGCCTGGCGTGGACCATCTCGGGGCGCTGCGCGGTCACTGTACTATTGCAGAACAGTACGAGTGTCTGAGATACACTATCTGCTGAAAACAGCAGTGCAAAGAGAGTAAACAAAATTTGGAAAGAGAAAAGGATGGCTTCGTGTTTTGATGTTTCCTTTCCGCCTTCCCTTTTTCCATGCACACTATTAACATAGATTCATCCAGATCATCTGGGATCCTGATTTGCTGAACTCAGGGTGAGTTCACATCAGGCGTGACCCTGCTGATCATCTTTTTTAAAAAATTTATTTATTTATGCATACAAGAGCTGGGGTGCAGGCCAGAGATGTGGGGGGTGAGAGGATTCACCAGAGACAGAGTGGGGAGCAGGACAGGCAATGTACTGAAATACACTGCTGAGGGGAACAGCGGGGAGACAGGAGAGGTCTGTTGTGCCATGTGGGTACCTCCCTGGATTGGGATCGAACTTGTGCAGTGGCTTCAGACAGCTTCATAGTGCTGAGACTGACCCCTGCACCACCAGGGAGGCCCACCTACTGACCATCTTGGCCTACTTAGGCTGGTGCCTGCCGCAGTGACCCTGCCCCGTCTGGCCCCTGACCTCCTTGCGGGCGCGCTCCTCCTCCAGGGGGATGGTGTCGTGGTTCTTGTGCTCCTCCAGCAGACACGCCCCGCACACGCAGCAGCCCTCTGTGCGGCAGTACAGCCGCTGCAGCTTGCGGTGCTTTGGGCACAGGTGACTCTTGAGATCCCACACGGGTTCCAGCAGCTTGTGGTCCTGGAAGACCCGGTCCTCGTAGTGGCTGCGCAGGTGCTTCTCGCACAGGGACGCCATGCACTGCAGGCACGACTTGACTGACTTGAGTTTCTGGGGGGAACAGAAGTCACAGGGCACGTCCGTGGGCCCGGCCAAGCTCCACGAGGACCCCGAGCTCTGGCCCTGGGTCTGCGTGAAGCAGGCCACCATCTCCTCCAGGGTGACGTTCTTGCAGAGGTTCGGCCTGGAGGGGAAGTGCTCCCGGCACTGGGGACAATAGAGGGCCTCGCCCACGGTGGCCTGGTGGTCCCAGAAACTCTGGAGGCAGGCCATGCAGAAGTTGTGTCCGCAGGCCGTGGTGACCGGGTTGCAGAACACCTCCAGGCAAATGGGACAGAGGGCTTGGTCCTCAAAGGTACGGCTGTTGCTGTTGTTATTCATCAGGGACTGATTCTGGGAAAGCCTGGCAGGCAGCTGCGGGGCTGGGACTTGGTCCTGGCTTGGTCCTGGGGAGACAGAGCAAAGTCAAGGGACTGGAGCAGTGGCAGGGACTAAGGGGCACGCCCGGGACTGTGTCATCGGTCAAGCCACATGGGGAGCACGGACTGGGGACTGTGGTCTCGTCCTGGTCCTAACTCCTTGAACAAATCCTGGACAAGGGGGTGGATGGGCAGGAAGAAGCCACATGGTGACAAGGAAAGGGGCCGCTTCCTTGGCCCTGCAGAAGAAAGGCCACACAAGCACTTACGGGAAATCCTTGCGTGTGAGGGAGAACCAGAGGTTTGGCTGACCGTGACAGAAGGGAAAAGAGCTGTTGGCACATGGGAGAGAGGATCTCACCCCAGGTCTCATGTCCCCAACTGCTGACGTGGGGGTCCCCATCAGCCCGGTGTGCTCCCAGCCCAGCCCCTTCCATCTCTTGGGGTCTGTGACCACCTTCTCAGCTTTCCCTTGGCGCTGTTTAGCGGTCTCCCTGTGACGGCGGCCCTCTCCTCAAAGCCTGCCCGCAATTTTGATCCCTGACGTCACAATTCTAGTGTGACCAGCCCCGGCTGTTGTGATGTCAACAGGGCAAAAGGTGTGCGCTGGGCATGCTGTGGTGCCCACACGGCCTCTCTGCAGGAGGCCTTACCCCACAGACTTCACCCGGGAGGGAAGTGGGGGCCACACATCACCCTCAGAGAGGAAAACTAGCCACTGAGCCGCGGTGGGATCTCGGGCAGGCAGCTCGTTTAATTCTCTGAGAGGCTTGCATCCATTTTTTTTTTTTAAGATTTATTTATTTATTTATACAAGCACTGGGTGCAGTCAGAAGCACGGGAGGGTGGGAGAATTCACCAGAGCCAGAGCGGGGAGCAGAACAGGCAGAAGGACCGAAGTACACTGCTGAGGGGCGCAGCGGGAGGCAGGAGGGGTCTGCGCGCCATGTGGGACCCTCCTCCGGTGGCCGGGGAGCAGCCGGGGATTGAACCGGCGCTGCAGAGGCTGCGGGCAGCTTCGCGACCCAGCGCTCAACCGCTGCGCCACCGGGGAGGCCCTCGTTTAATTCTCTGGACCGCAGTTCTCTGGTATGGACAGGGCTTGTTGTAGGACATGATATTTCAGGGTCCTTTCTTGGTTTAAAGCTGGACAAGGCAAATGTTATTCCATTGGTGGTCCCGAGGATTATGGCTTCCACTCTGGCTCTGATTCTTTTGTTTGCCGGTTTGGGGGTGATTTTATTTTTTCCAGCTCTGATTCTTGGAAGAAGAAAAAAGCAGTGAAAAAAGCTGAACTTTTGTCACCCTATAATAGCTCCTTGGCAATCTGTTTCTCAATCTGCCTCCAACTGGATGAATTCCCTGAAAATTTTGTAACACATCACTCTCTCGCTTCAAAAAGTGAGTTGGCCCCTGATGTAGGATAGAAACAATAAATAGAAGGTCTCCTTCCCTCCTCTCTCTGCCTCAGAGGAATATTTCCAACATTTCTGCATTAAGTATGATTTTTGCAATAGGTGTTTTATAGATATCTCCTGTCAGATTAAAAGACTCCCTTAGGGCCTCCCTGGTGGTGCAAGGGGTTAAGTCTCTGACTATGAAGCAATCTACAGCCTCTGCAGCATGAGTTCCCCTGGATCCCCTGCCAGGGAGCTACCCACACAGCGCAGCAGACCTCTCCTGCCTCCCCGCTGTCCCCTCAGCAGTGGATTTCAGTCAGTCTGTCTGCTCTACTCCCCACTCTGTCTCTGGTGAATCCTCACACCGACCCCGCTGCCCCGTCACACCTCTGGCCTACACCCCAGCTCTTGTATCCATACATAAATAAATCTTAAAAAAAAAGAAGACTCCCTTGGATTCTTAGTTTGCTAAGCATTTTTATCTGCAATGGATGTTAAGTTTTATCAGATTTCTTTCTGCATGTTTTGAGATGGTCATAAATTTGGCCATTTTGATTCTGCTAACATGGCAAATGAATTGGTACCTATGAAGTGTCAGCTATGAAACCAACCTGGCTTCTGCAGGTATCTGACTTGAGTTGATGTATGCTTTCTATCAATATATATGCTGGGTGCTGATATTTTCTTAGGATTTCTACATCTATGTTCATGAATGAGATTGACTTCTAATTTTCTTCTTTTTATGCAGCATCTTAGTCAAATTTTGGTATTCAGGTATGCGACCACCTTGAAGTCAGTGGGGAAGAGTTGTTTGGAAGCGTAAGATTTTATTTCTTCCTCAGATGTTCAGTAGAATTCTCTCACACTGCCACGGAGGCCCAGATTTTCTCTGAAAAGGTTATTAATTATATAGTTCACTTCTTTTGGTGATTTAGAATAGTTACAGTGTCTATTCCTTCCTGTATCAGTTTTTTTTTTTTTTTAAAGATTTATTTATTTATTTATACAAGCACTGAGTACAGTCAGAAATGCGGGAGGGTGAGAGAATTCACCAGAGCCAGAGCGGGGAGCAGAGCAGGCAGAAGGACCGAGGTACACTGCTGAGGGGAGCAGCGGGCGGCAGGAGAGGTCTGCGCGCCATGTGGGACCCTCCTCCGGTGGCCGGGGAGCAGCCGGGGATCGAACTGGAGCCGCAGAGGCTGTGGGCCGCTTCCCAACCCAGTGCTCAACCACTGCACCACCAGGGAGGCCCCTTCCTGTATCAGTTTTAGTAAACAGTATTTCCTTAGGAATTTGTCTCCTTCATCTACTTTTTCAGATATTTTTGGTATAGAATAGTTCATAATATTCACTTAGAATTTTAAAAACAAAATTTGCCTTTTAAATCATTTCTGTGTACATACAATTCAGTGGTATTAGGTACCTTTACAATGTTGTGTCACCATCACGTCCATTTATATCCAAAACTTTTTCATTATTCCTAAGGAAAATTTTGTAACCATAAAGGAACAGAATCTTTACTCTCAAGATCCTCCAGCCTGGAACATCTAATCAATTTTCCGTCTCTGAATTTGCCTGTTCGGGACCTTTCACAAGAGTGGAGTCATACAATATCTGTCCTTTTGAGTCCAGCTTATTTCACTTAGATAATGTAGAGAAACAGACCAAACACTGGCGGACCGGGTTGACCCCTGGTGGGTGACACTGCAAGAATTCAGGACTCAAAGCAAGCAAAGGCAGATTCACAGGGAGAAGCAACAATAACAGGGTTATTTACACAGGGCGTGAAGAAAGGAAGAGGAGAGGAGAGAGGTGCAGAGAGATGGGGAGGGGAGGAAAGGAGAAGGAGGATTTACAGGTTGTCACATGGCCAGATGCTGTCCTGCCCCTGGTAGCACACACTGAGCAGAGACCAAGATACAAGCTGAGGCTGCACATGGCAAGCTGGGGGCTTCCCTGAGGCACCCCTCTCATCCGTAGTTAGTTCCACTACCAAAGAGCAGCAGTTTAACTGCCTCAAAGCCCCCATAGCTTAACTGCCCTAAAAACCCAAGTCACTGCTTTTCCCCATCCATGCCCGGTAAGGGAGTGGAGTCTGGAAAGCTCCACCTTCCACCACTCAGTTGGCTGTGAGCGCCACCCACTGGCCCAGAGACTGCTCCTCACTGTTCCTCTTGCAGCATCATGTGCAGGAAATTTGGTCCGACTTATAGTTGAATAATCAATGTCCCACTGTAAGAACAGACCACATTGTTTATCCCCTCATCGGCTGATGGGCGCTTGGCTTGGCTATTGAGAATATGCTGTGATGAACGCTGACAAGTATCTGTTTGAGTCCCTGCTTTTTTTTTTTTTTAACAAAAAGATTTATGCATAGGAGAACTGGAGTGTAGGCCAGAGGTGGGGCGGGGGCGGGGGGGGGCGCAGTTTGAGAGGACTCATCAGCGTGGAGAGCACAATAGGAGGATTGACTGAAATACACTGCTGAAGGGAGCAGTGGGGAGACAGGAGAGGTCTGCAGCGCCCTGTGGGTCAGCTCCCTGGCCGGGGATCAAACTCAAGCTGCAGTGGCTGTGGACAGCTTCATTGTGCTGAGACTTAACCCCTTGTGCCACCAGGCAGGCCCCGAGTCCCTGCATTTTCAGTACCTTGGGGTACATATCTGAGAATGACACTTGTGATGTTTATCAAGACATAGGATCTGCAGTTATGTCTCCCATTTATATTCTTGATATCATTTGTATTTTCTTTTTTTAAAAAAGATTTATTTGTGCATACAAGAACTGGGGTACAGGCCAGAGGTGTGGGGGTGAGAGGATTCACCAGAGACAGTGGGGAGCAGAACAGGCAGATCTACTGAAATACACTGCTGAGGGGAGCAGCAGGTAAGTCAGGAGAGGTCTGCTGCGCCATGTGGGTTGCTCCCTGGCCGGCCAGAGATCAAACTTTTGCTGCAATGGCTGCGGACAGCTTCATAGGTTGCAGCTCAACCCCTTGCACCACCAGGGAGGCCCTGTATTTTCTTTTTTCTTAATGAGTCTCACTAGGAGACTTGGTCCCCACAAGCTGGTAAAGGAGAAGCGTGCTTGGCAGGGTCCCAGCCCCAGCAGCACAGGGCATTCTGGAGGGTGGGTTGGGACTAAGAGGTAACAACCAGAGCTGCCCCCTCTGTGTGTGAGTCTAGGCGTATGTAAGCTTCCTGCAATGGTGAAGTCAACACGAGGATGTGGAGTGGCTTGTGGGGACCGAGAGCGGGACACTACAAGGCTGGAGGGGAGATGCAGGGACATGCTCCTTCCTGTTGTCAGTGGAGCCACAGCAATGCAGCTTCACTCTGGCAGCAACAGCTGATCCGGTGTTTTCCTGTGGCACGGGCCTGTGGTTTCCCGTGCTTCCAGAACCTGCCTCACTGAGCCTGGAGGCAGCAGCCTCCCCTCTCCCAAAGCCCCCTGCACCCACCTGTCTTAAAGACCCCAGCCTCTTCCCTTTACTCCTGTCCCGCAGTCACTACTTTGACATCCAGGCCCTCTCCTTTTGCCATGTCTCCAGCTGCCATGGCCCTGTGTCTCGTGGTGTGCAGGCTGGTCCACCACTTCTGTGCCCACCTCCACGGGCCCTCCAGAAGGGGCTAGCTAATGCCCTGAGGATTCCATGCTCTGCGAGATCCCTTAAGTTACTAAAACCTCACTTGTTACTAGATGCTCACCTTGTATTTCTTTCTCTTCCTTGCTGAGAGAACAGGGGCCCCTAGGAAAGATTCCACGATGACTTTCCCCTTAAAACAACCTCCTCCTCCTTCCCTCATCTTCCCAGCTCTCTGATGGGCTGACCTCTGTTGATCTCTTGGGTCTTGCCGAATTCAGTACAATGAGAGGAGGGGGGCCCCATGCCCCACGGGCAGTTTAGCAGCAGGAGAAAGGGGGAATTCGGAGGCAGCGTCCCCCATCGAGCACTGCTGAGAACCACAAGGGACTGGAAGGCAGGGAGCAGGTGGCGCTGGAGAAGCACCCCAAAGGCTCCGAGACCCAGAGTTTGTTTCATGTCTTTATTGACAAAAAAAGCTACAGCGTTTCAGACTTTTTTCAAACACGCAAACAGAAACAAAGGGCACCCACAAGTGACAGGCATGGTTCTGAACGTCTGGATCAAAGGCCACGCTGCGGGGTGGGTGTCCTCCTGGCCCTACTCCCTCAGCATTTCCATCCTGCCTCCCCTCTGCCTCCCCAGACACCCTGAGATCAGTTAAAGCTTGGAAACAGTCCCTTTACAGGAGGCTGGGCCCCACCTCACAGGCCAGGAACCAGCGCAGGCCCTGAGCACTGACACTCCAGCGTCGTCCTGCGATGCCAGGCGGCTGCTCGGCCCCCCCCAGAGGAGGAAGCAGGGGTCCGCCCCACCTGGCAGCATCAGGCCGCTGGAGAGCGTGGGTGCCTGGTCACGCGACACCACAAACCAGTGACTGGGCCTCTTTCTGAGGTGATCAGCCGGACGTCCCCAGGTGGGAGAAGGCTTTCAAGAAAAAAAATACTGAGACTTGGTTCATAAAGGAAACAGGTGAAATAGTCTTCCACAGGCCTTAAGAAATGAGTCACCTTCACTTCTGGAGCACTGGAACCACTGTCACGGGGCTGCCATGGGTGGCGGGAGCCAGCCCTCAGGAGCGCGAGCGGCCTGGGGGCCCGTAGCTAGGGGGTCAGTGTCTTGCAGGCTCCAGGTGCAATTCTGCAAACCAACCCATGGAGCTGCCGGGCTGAGGGACCTGCCCCGTCTGCCCTCAGGTCCTCCCACTCCTTCCCACTGGCTGGGGATCAGAGGCTGGCTGTGGGGTCCCCAGAAGCAACCTGCGCCCCCATCATTTCATGCCACTCACTGTGGCCCCTCCAAGGCCCTCGCCACTCCCATTGCCCCGACTCCGCCACACGTCCAAGTCTTTCCCCCTTGAAAGCTGACTGGGTAGAGGCCTGTGACCTTTTTTGAAGGGGTGACTGCTTTTGCTGTTGGCAGAAGCTGCGCGAACCTGGCCTGGCTGTGAGACTCATGGGACAGAGCCACGCCTGCCAGCAGACCCCCTGCACCCACCCTGCTCTACACACAGGAATCTGACAAAGTGTGACCCTGGAGAGGAGATGAGCACGGGCAGTGTGTGGGCTCAGGCAACACCGGCACAGTCCATCGTCACTTCTGGAAACTGCCCCAGGCCCCGCTTGGGAGCAGGACCCCACTGTGAAGGAAGCCAGGCTCCAGCCGGTGGGGGGTGGGGGTGGCTTTCAGGTGGAGTGTTCCCCAGAGCAGCTCCCCAGACTCCGGACCACGCGCCACGCTGCTGAAGGTTGTCCAGCACAGGAAGGGTGCTCCGGCCCGTGCTCACCAAGACTGCAAAGTGCGGAGAGAAGTCCAGTCACAGGCCCCAAGGAGGGCTGGCTCCCGGGCCAGGAAGCGTGTCCGCGGCGGCACGGCGCTCCAGAGCAAGCAGCGACAGGGAGGGCATGTGGGGTGGGGGCGCCAGGAGGAGGCAGACTGCCTGGTTCACACAAATGCACTGTGGGCTGGGGGCCACCGCCGCCGCCGTGGGGCCGGTGTGCCAGGTCAGACACAAGAGACACAAATACCACGTACTCTGTCCAGGCGTTTCCAAGAGACAAGCACAGAAATAACGACACTTTGGGATACAACAAGAGAACACATTTGGCAACTTCCAAAGGAACAGCCGTGTCCACCCCACGCCATCAGAGGGGCCAAGGTCCCTTCTATCCCTGGTCCAGTTAGAAAGTCAGGGAAGGAAGACGAGCCAAAGGAAGGTGAGAAAGGGCTGCAGAAGCAGTCACGCCGATGACCAAAGACTCTCCTCTGATGCAGTGCAGGCGCCTCAAACCTCTCCTCGGGGAGAAGGTCAGCCACATGGAGGGTCCAGGCCGCTGCAGACAACCGGGCCAGAGCAGACGTGGCAGCAGCCAAGTGCCCCGAATCCAGAGCAGCGATCCCCAACCACAACCAAGGACACCTCAGGCCCCTTGGAGAAGAGGCTTTGTTCAGAGGAGAGTGGGGTACTTGGCAGCTCTGGCCTTTATCCAGACCCTCCTTGGATAGACTGACGCTTGGGTCCTCTGAGTCTGCTGTGTGGTTCTGGGTACACAGCAGGTGGGGGGAGTGTCACAAAGCGGCTGCCAACACCCCATGTGGCGCATGCACCTGGTGAAAACCTGTCACCATTCAGGGACCATCTCCTGTTTTCTGCTCCAGCTTCCTTGAGGTACAGACACATACAAGGAGCTAGGCCTTCCTCTCCCCTTCCCCCAGGCCCCCAGAAGGGCTCTGCCTGGGAACCCAGCCCTGCGGCTGCTGTAAAGATCTGTTCTGACACCGGCTGAGGAAACAAAAGCAGGTTTCTGCGCTGGAAGGTGCATCTGTCCTTGGGTTCCTGTGGGTGGGTGTGGGGCGCCTTTGGTTTTGACCAAAACACTTCTCGGCTGGGGCCAGGCTCAGCGTTGCTTTGCAGTAGCTCGGTTACTGTACAGGAGCGAGATTGAACTTCAGAGTGGTCTGCAGGGTCACTCTCTTGACCTTCAGGATCCTGGAGTTTACATCCGAGATCCTCTCTCCTGAAGAATCTTAAAAAGGAAGATGGAGGAGGGCTGAGGCTGAGACCCTGGGCGTAGACTGCTTTTAGGCCGAGGGAGCAGAACAGCAAGTCGGGGAGACACCCACAGCTGCTCCTCACCGGCCCCAAGATCCCAGGAAGCCAGGCAGGACCAGAGCCTCAGCCTCCCTGGAAGTGATGCTGACATGCCACATGCTGACCCAGAAGCTGAGTGTGACGTGTGAGCGCGTGTGTTTGAGGAAGAAGTCACAGCTTGCGGCGACTCCCTAGCAGCTTAAGTGGAAAAGTCACAAAAATAACCAAAATACCTTTTCTCGAGACAGAAAACAAAACAAAACAGGTAGTTTCAAAGAACAAAAATACTTCCCAGTTTTTGAGTTTTAGGATTTTCACCTTGCAGCAACTAGCGTCCTAAATAAGCTTTCCTTTTCACTGACAGGAAGGCACTGGGAAGTTCACCTGCCTTCAGTTCATACTTCTCGACGAAAGCCTGTCATGGCTCCATCAGGCCTGCTTTATTATTATTATTATTTTTTTTAATTTTCTAGAGGCATGTTTTATTTATTTATTTATTTGCTTGTTTGTTTTTTTGTTTATACAAGCACTGGGTACAGTCAGAAGCGCGGGAGGGTGAGAGAACTCACCAGAGCCAGAGCGGGGAGCAGAGCAGGCAGAAGGACCGAAGTACACTGCTGAGGGGAGCAGCGGGCGGCAGAGGAGGTCTGCGCGCCATGCAGGACCCTCCTCCGGTGGCCGGGGAGCAGCCGGGGATCAAACCGGCGCCGCAGAGGCTGCGGGCAGCTTTGCAACCCAGCGCTCAACCGCTGCGCCACCGGGGAGGCGCATCATCAGGCCTGCTTTAAATTACGACAATCAAAAGACCATAATGAAGGGGAAACGCAGACGCCCGAGAAGGAAAGCCCAGAAGCAGCGAGCCACAGGGGGCTGCGAGCAGATGCGCCCTGGACGGGCTTCTGGCGAAGGGTTTCTTACCTTTGCCTTTTCACTCGGCTCTATGACGATGCCATTGGTGGAATTATTTAGTTCTCTGGAGACGACACAGAGGAATTCTGCCTGGTCCTCGTTTCCATAGTTATAGGAAGATCCAATACTGATCAGCTGATAAAACAAGAACAGGGCGAACACGTAAAATTCGAAGGTGCCACACTGTCAAACTCTCCGGTCGGAACTATGGTTTCACTTTTCCCAGGCTGAGGAATTCTTTGGGGCTGTCATACCCCCGTGGGCAGCTGGATCTCAGTCTTTCATCAGGGCATCACGGGTAGAACTTCCCCAAAGCAGCAGTGAGTCCTGCAATGTCACTTGCAACAGCCCCAAAGGCGGCAACTAGGATGAACACAATCGTGTCCCTCCAGCTAACACTCCGGGGAAAGAGAATGTTTCTGTGAATGAAAATGGACACTTGATTCACAGTCAAACCACCTACACAGATTGCTCATCCTTTTTTTTTTTTTAATTTTTAAAGATTTATTTATTTATATAAGCACTGGGGTACAGGTCAGAGGCGCAGGAGTGTGAGAGACTCCACCAGAGACAGAGCAGGGAGCAGAACAGGCAGAAGGACCAAAATCCACTGCTGAGGGGAGCAGCGGGCGAGACAGGAGAGGTCTGCTGCGCCATGTGGGAATCTCTCTGGCCGGCAGGGAATCGAACTGGCATCGCGGAGGCTGTGGACAAGCCCACAGCGCTGGGCTCAATCTGCTGTGCCACCAGGGAGGCCCCTACTCATCCTTAACACAGAAGTCCTAAACAAGAGACTGGCACTTGGAAGGCTCTAGACAGCACCAAGCCAATCACTAGATAGTTATACAAGCCACATGCTGCTGGTGCTCCACCCTTTTCGTAGAGCTGAATTCAGGATTCAGTTTTAGCTGGGAAGAGCACATGCGGAGGGAGAAGCTGAGCTCAGGGTGAGGCCATCCTGGTAAAACCCAGAGCCTCACACTGGAGAGCGTGACGGACTCGCCATGGGGCAGGGGTCCACAGCCCAGACCTCCCGTGCTTTACCTCCCTCCGCACAGGACAGAGTCAAGGGAGCATACGTGCCCCTCCCACGGGACATTAAATAGAAATAGACAGTAAATTATTCACTGTATTTCACAAAGTACACTTAAATACTTTACTCTTTGCTTAAACTTTACATTAGGGAAAGCATTTCTGGGGTGCAAGCATGGCAACTTTTTGCATTGCACACCTGAACAAGACCTAAGCCCACACAGGGCCTCCCTGGTGGCGCAGGGGTTAAAGTCTCAGCGCTATCAAGTTATCCACAGCCACTAGGGCACAAGTTCCATCCCTGGCCAGGGAGCTACCCACATGGCGCAGCAGACCTCTCCTGTCTCCCCGCTACTCCTCTCAGCTGCGGATTTCAGTAGATCTGCTTGTTCTGATCCCCACTCTGTCTCTGGCGAATCCTCTCACTCCCTCTCCTACCTCTGGCCTACACCCTAGTTTTTGTATGCATAAATAAATAAAAATAAATCTTTTAAAAAAAAAAAGATCTAAGTCCACACAGCAGCGCCTTACAGTGTGGAGTGGAGAGGGGAGTAATGCGGGCTTGGCTCTGGAGACAGAGGCCCCGTCGTGTTTGACCTACAAGCCAGCACCGTGTAAAATGCAGAGTGAATTTTATTTTAGGTGACAGTTGGACCGACCTCTTAAATGCCACATAAAAATAGCACAATCCGTATCAAATTATAACAAATTCACACGAGGCACGCTCAGTCTCCCTGTGTACTGAGGACAGAGGTGAGCTGAACAATCCTGCCATCTAATGGAAACAAACAGGAAAGCTGATTCTCAGTTGCTTTGTTTTGCCACCTCCCTCTGCCACAGACTGCAGGAACAGAGCTGGAGAGACTGGGGAAGCGCCCACGTCACACCTCGCAGCATGTCTGGCTCCTTCAGTCACGCCAGTTCGTGGAGAGGGTTACAGATATATTCAGAAGACAGAGCTCCGGCCCTGCAGCGGGGAAGGGAGGGCTGCTGAATTCCAATCTTCATTTGGTACTTTTTCTAGAAAGTGTCCACAGAGCACTTTCCCCACGAAATGTCTGTGCTTCAGTGGCAGAACTAGAAGAGCGCCCCGTGGCCATCCCACAACCTCCAGGAGTGGCTTTTTTCTACACCGCTGCTAACTCAGCTGTAGCCATAAAGCACTCCTGAAAGCCTCCCTCTGAGGGAACACCGCCAAGGGGAGGCTCTGTCAGATCTAAACAAGCTGGCGGGCTCCCTCCGGGCACCGTCAAGCTGAAGCTGCGGACTGAAACTGTAGTGGCCTCCGTTTTCCCAGCTTACCGCACGGGCCACACAGCCGTCCCCCTTGAGTTGCTCTCTCTCGCTGTGATTTTGGACAGGCCGACACCTGGCCCAAGGGAACACTCCCGGCTGGCCTGGCTACTGAAACTGGCCTTCGAAGCGTGGACTCGCAGGCTGGGAGGTGAGGCTGCCCCCCGTCAGCGACTTACCTGTTCAAACTTCCAGCCGTCAGACATGGTGGAGACCATCTGCGTGAGCTCCTCCTCCTGGCACTGCAGGACTCTGTACACGTGCTTCACGGGCCCCTGCCGGCACCACATAGACGTTAAAGTACAGTGTCAAGGACATGACAGCCCGCAGAGGCCTCGGCGAGGCTCTTCAAAAGAATAAACCCCGAAAAGCCCTGTGCTCAGGTGTTTTTCCTTGGTAGCCCTCCACTTTTGCAAGCAGCACAGTAGTCTTTCTATGAAAAGATTACCCAGGAAAGAAAGAGAAAAAAAAAGGCTAAGAGCACAGATCAGTGATAGAACAGTTCTGAACTTCAGAGGGCTGGATCAGGTGAGCATGATTCTGAGAGACTTAGATTTCATCATCTATTTTCCTATGGAGAAAACAGTGGAATTACTTTGAACAAGAAATCCACTTTTTTTTTTTTTTTTAAATCCTTCACATCCACAAGGTATTTTTACCCCGCTGATGCTACTTGAAAGCGAAAGTGACACCATACTGAAGGGCACCTCTCTTGTTACAGAAATGTGGTGAGTAAAACATATCTGGTCTTTGTACCAGGTTCCTGGCACAGAAAACCTGAGACCCTGGGACTCTCCAGAGCAATAAATGTGTCCCGAGTATGCTAATGAGCTGGTCCCCAGAAAGACCAGGCTTGAGGGTGAGGACTTCCAGCCACAACCCCGACCTGCAGAGGGGGTAGGGGTTCCAGTCACCAACGATCAACATGTTTAGATTTGATCAACCATGCTTCTGTAATGACACCTTAAAACCCCCTAAACAATGGGGTTCAGGCAGCTTCCAGTTTGCAAGCACTCGGGCACACCCTGCCTGCCCTCCTACCCAAGGGCCCTTCAGGACCTCGCCCAGACCAGGAAACCACCTGGTGGTTCATTTGCATCCTTCGTAATGAACAACAGTGAGGATACCATTTTCCTGAGTTCTAGCAACTTATCAAACCTGAAGCAGGGAGCCCTCTGATTTGTAGTCAAGTTGGACAGAAGTTGTCAGCCTGGGACGATGCGGGACTCGTGAGTGGCGCCTTGAGTGAGCGCACCTGTGGCCTGAGCCCCGAGGAGGGGCGGGAGGGCCTCATGTAGAGTCGTCCACAGGTTCTTGAAAACTGTGACTTTAAGCCAAACAACATATATTGAAACCAATTTACCACAGGCCAACTGACATAAACAAGAGTTAAATTACGATGGCAGAGGCCTCCCTGGTGGCGCAAGGGGTTAAGACGCAACCTATGAAGCTGTCCACGGCCACTGTAGCACGAGTTTCATTCCCGGCCAGCCAGGGAGCTACCCACATGGCGCAGCAGACCTCTCCTGTGTCACCCACTGCTCCCCTCAGCAGTGGATTTCAGTAGATCTGCCTATTTTACTCCCTACTCTGTCTCTGGTGAATCTTCTCACCCCTGACACCTCTGGCCTGTACCCCAGCTCTTGCATGCACAAATAAATAAATCTTTAAAATAAATTACTATGGCATATTTCTTTTTTTTTTTTTTTTTTATAAAGATGTATTTTATGTATACAAGAGCTGGGGCACAGGCCAGAGGTGTGGGAGGATGAGAGAATTCACCAGAGACACAGTGGGGAGAAGAACAGGCAGACGACTGAAGACACTGCTGAGGGGAGCAGCGGGTGAGTCAGGAGAGGTCTGCCATGCCATGTGGGTTGCTTCCTGGCTGGCTGGGCACTGCAGAGGCTGTGGACAGCTTCACAGCACTGCACTCAACCACTGTGCCACCGGGGAGGCCCCTGGAATATTTCTGGTCACAAAAACATCACCAAACTTCTGATATTAAACAAGAATTTGTATTCATTCATTCACCTTTCTAACCTGCTTATTTCGGTACAGGGTCAGCTGTTGTTGGCAGCCCGAGGTGGGCCCCACGCTGGACAGCACGTCCGCCCACAGCAGGTGCACTCCCACCTGCACCCCTCAGACGGGGACTGAGACGCACTAATGAACCTGCTGTGCAATCTCTGGGATGTGGGAGGTAACCAGAGTCCCCGGAGGAAACCCACACAGATGTGGGGAGGACGTGCAGGGAACCATTTTTTCCCTCTCATTGTTGTAACTAAACGTTGTAGGGCCCAAAGCAGTTACGACTTCTGTGTAGTTAGAATCAGGATTGAGACCAGGTGGTGCCAGAGGAACCATTTGCTGCTGGCTTGACTCCAGCACACGGGGCCCAGGCAGAAACTGAAAGGGTGAGAACTGGAAGTGACACCCCTGACCACTGACACTTCAGGTTTGGTGACAGGGGGTGAAAAGTCAAAGTTAGCGAGGGTGTGGGTGGTCCTGGGCAGCAGGTGCCCCTCATAGAATTTCCTGCTCATGGAAGGGAGGCCCAGGAGGGCTCAGTGTTTAGCCATCTGGGTTCCTCGGAGTTGGGGCCGACAGCTGCACCCCTGCAGCCTACGAGGTAGGCATGGAAGCACAAACAGCAACAGGGCTGCAGCAAGGATGCCCAGTCACAGGGGTGGGGGGGAAGGCCAGCTATGCGCTGTAAGATTGAAAGAAAATACGGACCGTTTCCTTAAGAGTAATGAAAACTTACACTCAGGACTTTTTCCAAAGGATGGGAGGGCTGCAGAAGAGCAGTTTTAGACCAGCTCACTACGTGGGAACGTGGACAAGCAAAAGCAACCACTGATCACTGAGTTCCACAAGCCCACAGTGCTACCCACTTCTCTTGGCTCCACTGCGGCCCTGAAAGGCAGGTTTTGGCTCCTGTCTACACTTGGGCGTCTATACTGGGTGCTGATGTTCAGATGCAGCCTTAGCCCCGCTGCACAGCTGACGTGGATGAAGGTAGAGCTGGGACTTGGGCCCACATCTGCCTGATGTAACTGTATTCTTTTTTCTACACTTTCTCCTAAGTGATGAACAGTTACCATCAACCAAGTTACCAACATTAAAAAAAAATAAAAACTTCCTGGGCCTCCCCGGTGGCGCAGCGGTTGAGCGCTGGGTTGCGAAGCTGCCCACAGCCTCTGCGGCGCCGGTTCGATCCCCGGCTGCTCCCCGGCCACTGGAGGAGGGTCCCACACGGCGCGCAGACCTCTCCTGCCGCCCGCTGCTCCCCTCAGCAGTGTACTTCGGTCCTTCTGCCTGCTCTGCTCCCCGTTCTGGCTCTGGTGAATTCTCTCACCCTCCTGCGCTTCTGACTGTACCCAGTGCTTGTATAAACAAAACAAACAAACAAACAAATAAATAAATAAATAAAAATAAAAACTTCCTTCCCTATAAAATCTAGGACAAATCTTCCAAGGATTTCAATAGCTCTAAACCACACATTCTGGAAACAACCAGGTGTTTTATATTACAAACTCAGAGCATCACAAAAGGTCTATGGTTCTACCAAAGTCCCAGCCAGCGGAGATGTCTTTATTGCCTTGTTTTCACTTTTCTCTTCCAAAGTAAACCACTGGTGGTCAAGCGAACCAAGGTCAAGCACCTAGCAAAGAATGTCCTCAGAGACAGCAAAGCACAAGCTGGTGGCCACCACTAAAGAAGATGAGGGGGTCACTATAAAGAGGGCAGGACCCCCACATTTTGGGCCTCACCCTAATGTCTGCCCCATATACTTCCTTTAAATGCGAACCCGTAAAAGGTCTGAATGTGAAGGGGCAGCTGTGGAAATCCACACGAGGCTGAGCCCATCTTAGAGCCATGTGCCCTCAAGTGCAGAAGAGAACATCTCTGAGCAGCAGCACACCCAGTGCTGAGTTTCACCAAGTAAAAAGGACAGATGGAAAGATCAATTAACATAAAAAATGCTTTGACATTCTTAGAATAAAAAAGCTTCCAACTGGGTATAAATCCATGAGCCTTGAGAATCTAGAGGACTAATTAGCTTAACTGCTGTCATCAGATAGAAACCTCATGGTGCTCGAGGACTCAGCTGGTGGCACGCCCAGGTGTGACGACCTGAATGGTCTCCAATCATACAGGTCATAGGGCCATTAAAACCGATCCTAAGCAATCCAGAAGTTTTTTGGTATGTGGAAAATTGAGGATCAAGCTGTCACAGTGTACGATGCCACGTAAATACAACATGAGGCGACAAAAAATTTGGCGACACTAGGTAGTATTTTCGATCTGTAAACCAACTGCACGTTCATCTTTGAATCTTAGCAAGGAGTCTTTCAACTGCTGGTCAGATGAAAGAGAATGCGAAGAGTAAGTCCTGCTTCCCACCTCTGCAAGTGGGGAGAAGGAGGGTAAGAGAATTTATTTTTTGTCATTGATTCAGTTATTCAACCAGATAATTCCATTTAGAGCCAGGAAACTTTGACACATGAAGCCTAACACAGAAAGGGGATGGAACCATTTTTTGTGAAAAGAAATAGAGGCTTCCCCAGTGGCGCAAGGAGTTAAGCACCAGCACTATGAAGCTATCTGCAGCTTCTGCAGCTACTGCAGCACAAGTTCGATCCCGGCCAAGGAGCTGACCCACGTGGCACAGCAGACCTCTCCTGTCTCCCTGCTGCTCCCCGCAGCAGTGTATTTCAGTACCTCCACCTGCTCTGCTCCCTACCGTCTCTGGTGAATCCTCTCACCCCCTGCCCCCTGCCCAACACCTCTGGCCTATACCCTAGCTCTTGTATGCATAAATAAATAAAAATAAATCTTAAAAAAAAAAAAAAAAAAAAAGAGTTCAAAACCCATTACTTGTGATGTTCTGTTCTCATTGTCCCGTATCCTTTCCTTAACCAGGCGCACCAGAGATGCGATGTTGTAGAACTCTGCTTCTTCCAGCACACCTAGAACAAGGACCAAACCAGAGTTAGAGATGAGTGTGAACTTCCCAGAAAAACAGCAAGAACAGACTGGGGTCTACATGCTTGCTTGCTAAGAATTGCTTTTGCAAGTCTGGGCTCACTCTTTCAGCCTTAGGGGCATTTCTTTGGTGTTTAGGGTATACCTGTTGCAGTCCCCAACATAAATGATCAAGCACAAGGTTCTGCCCAGCTCCCTCTGTGGCACTCCTGTGATGCCCCACCTGGCACCTGGCACCTTCCCATTAGCAGTAGGACACGTTTCCCATCTGTCACCTAGTTTCTGGAACTGGTCACACTGGACAACTCTGGAGCTTGCAATTTTTACCCAGTTTGTCCTAAAGATGACTGAGGGTAGGGGCGAATGTACAAATTTATGTGAACCAAATTTAACAGGATGCTTATTATTTGAACAATATAAAAGCAATCAGTGTAAGATTTTCATGTTAAATGAAATCAAAGGACTTAGACAGGACGACTAAATGGGATATGTGATCCTGTGCCAGGAAAATAATTTGCTATTCAGGTCATTATGGGAACAACTTAAAAAACTATAAAGTTATTTATCCACACACACACAAATATATTTATCAATATTAAACCTCCCACATCTGATGAATACATTGTATTTATGTAAATCACACTGAAGTATTCAGGGATAAAGTCTCTATCCTCAAATGGTTCAGAAATAAAAGCTATGGGGAGGCAGGCAAATGAATGAATGATAATGCAAATATGACCAAAAAAGTTAAAAATCAGTGAATCTGGATAAGGGAATTCTTTGCACTATTCCTACTCTTATACTCTAAGTTTGAAATTATCTCAAGATAAAACTTTTTTTTAAGGTAATAGGAACATATATAAGATTCTTCTTTGCAAGAAATAAGATTACCCATGAGTCTGCATTGTCCAAGCTGAATGGTGAACACATGGAATTTCCAGTACTATTACCATTACTTTTCCATGCATTTAAAATGTTTCTCTTTTTAAGGGGGCATTAAAAAGAACTAGAGAGAGAGAGAGAGAGAGAGAGAGAGAGAGAGAGAGAGAGAGAGTAGAGTAGGGAGGGAGAAAGACTGGTTCTTCTTTTTACTGTAACAGAGGTTTTGCAGACACTTCATTAACAGGTGCAGCCATTACAGCTGTCTTACTCAGAGCTAAAGCTCTGAGATCAGGGTGCTCTGGATTTAAGGACATGGCCCAATCTTCTTCAACTGAACACCTTCAGGGAGACCAAACCGAGCCTTTCAGAGAGATGTCTAGACCCACCTACACTCCAAATGCCCTACAAACCAAAAAGATGAGGCAACAGATGATGTACTCGACAATGAGCTGCAGAATGAATTAGGTCAGCTGCAAAAATTTACAAGGAAGCATGAGACCAGTCTTAAAAGAAATGAGGCCAAGCCTTTATTATTTTTTTTTTTTTTACAGCTGCAAGTTCAAACAAAAACTTAAAATATAAATATCTAAATGTCAGAGATGTGTTACTTCAGGCTACGGACATTCGCAGCTCTCACATTAGCAGATGCAAAAAGAGATCCTGAGAATTCTGCAAAAAAACCCCTGAAGCTGTCTGCAAAGCTGAGCTACCTGTTTTCCTTCGCACTGAGGAGGCTGAACTGAGCCCGCTGGGCTCCCTTAAACAAGACGCCCTTGGAGGAGACGAGGTAACTGCAGGCTGCCTGCTTACTGTCATAACCCTTCACATACCTGCACATTAAGTCGATGAATGTCGCATACAAAATTCAAATCTATGAGTGTTACAGATTTGACCTAAATCCTGAAAATGCCCAGTGCAGACATGGTTCCTACCTTCTTCAGCCAGCTCCTTGGTAATGATGAGCTTCCCGTGGCGGAGGTAGTTTAGGATAGGACCAAAGTAGGTGGGGTCCCTGTCAATCAGATAGGCCCCTGTTTCATCCTGTCAACCAAACACAAGGGTATCCAACAGTAAGGATGGGGTTTCAACCCCCCTCTCACAATAATTACTCAGAGGGCAAGTTTTGCTAGAGGTTTGCTTACTACAAACTACTGGCAAGAAGGCCAGCTTTAGGTATCCTGTCCTTGAAGATCATTTCAGGGAGGGTGTTACGGATGTACACATGTAGGGTTTACTTTAACTTCTAAAATCTTTACTTGGACCCAATCACCAACATCCTTTTGTGGAATATTTGTTAGAAAGGAAGAAAATGCCATAGTTGCATGACTAATTTTTTGCTTGAGATGGACAATCCGACTTTTCTATTGTCCCTGAAATCACATTCCTAAATCTAAGAAAACCTCTGTTTGGTTGGCAACGCTTGGGATCTCAAGGCCAACACCAGTGGGAGTCTGCATTGCCAGCTGTAACACACCCCAGCACTGTGCCCAGAGGAAACTTGGCACTGCCCAGGACTTGGCTGTGAACAGCTTTAATCCTCTTCATCTTTACAGTAAAAGGAATGAGAAGAGATGCTTCTATTACAACAAGGAAGATTAGGGTAGAGAAAAACAATTCCTTTATAAGCAAGGGATCTGGGAACTCTTTAAAGTTAGGGCAGGACAGGCTGCCATCAATCCGAGATTTACTAGATAGATAGGAGATGAATAAATGAAACCAACAAAAGTTTAATCCACCCAACTCTTGCAAGGTAAGAGCTGAGTACTGCGTGGATAGAAAGTGGGGTACTCAATGGTCAATGCCTGTTAGGAACTGATACAAGTTAGGAACTGAAACTATATATGAATAAATATATAGTGTAAAAATAAAGTCAAAGAACAGCTCAAACAGGAAATGGGTTAAGTGTCTTGTCACCTCTCAACCCTTGGGTTAACAGCCATGCATCTTGTCCTACAACATTCTTCGCTTTGCAGTTTCCCTCAGTCTGAACCTGTTGGTTTAGATTTGCACTGGCAAGGGGCAACCTCTTTCCAAGGAATGTAGATCGTGATCTCCAACATGGACCGAGATCCAAGTTCAGGGACACAGACCAGTGTCATCCCAGCAGCGGCCCTTCCCGCAGCCTCAATCAGGGTCAGACTCAGGCTTTGCCCCACTTGGCAGAGGGGTCCGAAAGGAAGTATGAGAAAGCTACAAAGATGCCTAAGCTCACCCTGACCCAGTTCTGGAGGCATCTGGCACAGGCAGTGAGAGGCTGAGGAAGAGCCAGGGAGAAACTCATGCCGATCTCAGGGGCTGGGAAGAGGCGTGGGGGAGAACACGGAGAAGGGGTGTGGAGCAGGTGCTCGTCGGTGCGGGTGGGCACAAAGTGTGGGGAAGGAGTAGCTGAGAGCCAAGGGCGGGGTCAGAGAGAAAGCGGGGTGCGCCCGAGGATGCGGGAGAAGCGTCCCCGGGGCGAGCCTGGCCGGGAGGGGGGCGGGAAGGGGTCCCGGCGCGGGGCCTCCGCCGGCGAGGAGCGTGTGGCGGGGGTCTGGGGCCGGCTGCGGCGGAGCGCGGGGCTCCGCAGGCCAGGGGCGCGCCCGAGGGCGGGGCGCACCTTGTCCGAGTCGAGCTCCGGGTCCTCCTGGCAGCAGAGGCGGCAGAGGAACGACTTGGGCTCCCGGCCCAGGGTCTGTCTGGTGGTCACGAAGTAGGTGCCGCCCACGTTCAGCCGGACCCAGCGGGCCGCGCCGCCGCCCCCCGCCCGCTCGGGCGGCCCGGGACCCGGCTCCAGCGGCTGCGCGGCGGCGGGCGGGCGGCTGTGCGCGCGGGCCGCGGGGCCGGCGGGGCGAGGGCTGGGGGGGCCGCGCCCCGGGCCGCCCGCGTCGCCCAGCGCACCCCCGCCGCCCCCACCCAGCCCCGCCATCGCCGGGTCCAGCTGCAGCTCCGCCATCTTGGGCCGCCGCCGCCGCTGCCCGCGCGCCGCCGGGCCGGCCCATCCCGCGGCAGGGAGAGCCGGGCCGGCCCATCGGCGGGGGCGGGGCCGGGGGAGAGGGACGCGAGCGCCCCCAACCAGCGCCCGGAGACCCGCGAGGCGGCGGCGCTGTGCCCGCCCCCGGGGGCGGGACGTCCGGGGCCGGCCCGCGTCCCCATTGGTTGTCCCGCGATGCCAGGCCCGCCCCCTAGCGCTGTGGTTGGCTGAGGGGAGGACTTCCGGCAACCCGCTTCCGTCGCTTCCTGAGGTGGACTCCGGGCCGTCGGGGTCGCTGAAGGTGAGTGGAGCTGGGGGCGTCGGAGCCTCGGCCCTGCCGCCTCCGACACTCGCGCGCCGACCCAGGTCGCACCCCAGAGCGGGGCGCCGGGCCCTGCGGCTGCCCCGCCGGCCGAGTGCTGCGCTCGGCCCTGCCTTCCCCCCTTGCCCCGCGCGCGAGGACGCGGGACCCGGCGGTGAGCGGCCGCCGCGGGCCGGCTTGGGCGGGGGGAGCGGCAGCTGACGGCTTGGTCGGGGAAACGGCGGGCGGGGCGGGATTCCGGGGTTCCGGCTCCCGCGAGGGGGGCGTCCAGCGCCCAAGGGCAGGACCCCAGCAGGTGTCCGGCCGGCGCCTCTCGCGGCTTGTCCAGTCTGGGCTCCCGCTGCGGGCGGCGCACCCCTTCGTCGCCGAAGCCCGGTTCCTGCCGTGTTTTGAAAAGTCCCTGTGAGCGCCCTGGTATCCCCGGCGTCTCGAGAGGACCAGGACATAACAGCTTTCCCGAGAAGGAAAGAAACAGCAGGTGTTGGACAGGTGTTTCTTGAAGACCCCGGGAAGATTTCTTCCACTTCCCTTGTGGGTCGGGCCCATCCAGCCCACAGTCTGGTAAAGACCTAGGGCTTTTCAAGTCTTTCTCCTGCTGTCTGATCCTGATCTCATTTCGTTGAAGTTGACTATTTAACTACTTTGCCACGTTCTATCTGGGTTTTTTTTTTTTTAGAAAAAGGCCTGTGACCACTTTGCATCTGTTGTCACGTTCACTAGGTAGTGAATACCTCTTAGGAGGGTGTTACTAGTACGTGTAGGGAATGCGTTAATGCCGCAGGGCATAATCAGGCACGAATAGGAAGGTGTTGGTTGTGCACCTTGAATTTGTAAAGCTAAACTGTCCTTACCTGTCCTGATTTCTTTAATTGATAACACACACACACACACACACACACACACACACACACACCTTAAATAGAGCGGACTGTAGGCCAGAATTTCTTCATCTGTAAATGGAGATAATATCAGCCCTGCTTATTTCAGGCTGTTGAAATTGTCAAATGAAATTGGGCAGGTCGTTGGCTCTACAGTTTTATCCAGACTTAAGGGGGCTTTCTGCCCCCTCCCTGTCAGATTGTGATATTCCTGCACCTTAAAGACTTGCTTGAGCCTAAGATGCCCTTTCGGGAACTCCAAGAACACTGTTTTGTTCTGACCTATTTTATTTTTCCAGGATCTCAAGATGGCTGGGCGAAAACTTGCTCTAAAAGCCATTGACTGGGTAGCTTTTGGAGAGATCATTCCCCGAAACCAAAAGGCTATTGCCAACTCCCTGAAATCCTGGAATGAGACCCTTACCTCCAGGTCAGTGCCTTTCTGGGAGAGCTTCTTGCCACTGGATATGGAATTACATGCCTGATAGTCTCCTGAAAAGGAACATAAAGAAATCCAGTCATTTTACAGATCCTTTTGTATGCGTCTGCTCTCCCTCCTAGAGAAAGGTGGGATGGTAGCTCCAGGTCAGGAATGAGGAGCTGGGGAATGACTGTGTGGGACTTTTGTTGGTCATGGGGCAATTGCTGACTTGGCTTTTCCGTGTGAGCAGGTTGGCTACTCTCCCTGAGAATCCCCCTGCTATCGACTGGGCTTACTACAAGGCCAATGTGAAGAAGGCTGGCTTGGTAGATGACTTTGAGAAGCAGGTGAGACCACACAATTTGTAATGTGGCTTTTGGGGGGAGCAGGAAGGTAGATAATTACAAACATAAGATGACAGTGAGGAAAGAAGGGTGGTGTTAAGACTCAGACCCCAAAAGAAGCTCAGGAGATGGGTTTGGCCAGAGGTCATGCGGTGGTAGCTTGAAATGGTGAATCAGAGAACTCAGGGGCTCTCCATTTCAGCAGGCTTCTTATCCAAAGAAACAGTCTGTGTGGCCTGAGCTGTGGGGCCGGACGGCGGTCACCTTAAATATTTCTGCTCATTTTGTCTCCCATTTAAACAAAATAACATCTTTTTCTACCTTTTTACTATTTTCGTCCTTTCTCTGCTCTTTTTCACTGTTCCTTATAGCTATGATTTCTTATCCCCTTATCCTCTTCCCATATTACGCATTGAACCTCCGTATCTAAAGTTTGTTTGTTCATTCAATAGATGCTCGTTGAGGGCCTGCTCAGTGCCAGGTATAGTGCCGCGTGCCAGGCCGTCACACCGAGCACTTTCTTAGGAGACCGTCTCTTTCTCCCTTACGAACCCCATACTTTTGCCAATAAGTCCACTGGGGTTTGGTTTAAAAGAGAGATCAGAATTCCTTTAGAACTGCAAGGTTCTAAGAAACCAATTTCAAGCTCCTCAGTTCCAGCTGACCTTTCAGATGAAGAAACTCAGGCTCATAATAAAGCATTTTCCAGTTAGTGACAGTGGAAAAGAACCTCGAGCCCCCATTCCCGGCCTGCTTATTGTCCCCCGAAACACCCAGGTGCACACTGGTGTCCTCTTGAACGGGGAATGCGTTTCTATACGATTTGGAAGGGTTCGCAGCTTTGAGCCCTTTCTTTTGGCTCCTAAGTAAACTGATAACAACTCCCTACCCCTGTGTTTGTAGTTTAAGGCCCTGAAGGTTCCTGTGCCAGAGGATAAATATACTGCCCTGGTGGATGCTGAAGAAAAAGAAGATGTAAGTCATTTGCTTGTTCTCGCTTTTGTTTATTCTCAATTCATTCTCTTCATCCTGACGGCTCTGTATTCCATAACAGTTATGTTAAGGTCAAGTGAATTTTTTTAAAGATTTATTTATTTATGCATACAGGAACTAGGGTGTAGACAGAGGTGTGGGGTGTGAGAGGATTCACCAGAGACAAAGTGGGGGGGCAGAACAGACGGATCTACTGAGATACACGGCTGAGGGGAGCAGCGGGGGGACAGGCAAGGTCTGCTGTGCCCTGTGGGTCAGCTCCCTGGCTGGGGATCAAACCTCAGGCTGCAGTGGCTGCCAATAGCTTGATTATGCCATGACTTAACCCCCGCACCACCAGGGTGGCCTAAGGTCGAGTGAATTTTAAAAAAGGAGCATGAAAAGAAGTCAGCTTCTAAGCAGTGCAGTAACAGGGATGAACCTCAGAATAATGATGCTGAGTGAAAGAAACCAGCAGAGATGTGCATAGCACATGATTCCATTTCTCTAAGCTCTTGAAGTACTCCGAATCCATGGAAAATCCACACAAGTAGCTACCTGGAGGGGCTGATACATTTGTTGGCCATTTTGATGGTGGTGGATGGTTTCCTGATGGACGCTTAGCAAATGGTCCTCTTTCCACATCGCATTTTATTGTGCATCAGTGACACCTCAGCAAAGCTGTGAAAAATCATGAGGGAGTTAGAATGAGGCAGGAAAATTATCCAACATAGTATTTAGATACCTGACTATTTGCTGGCAGATAGTTGGAACGCGGTGCTCCACCAAAAAGAAATGATTTTGAAAACAGAAATTTTTCCCTTCTCTTAAAGGTGAAAAGTTGTGCTGAGTTTTTGAACCTCTCAAAGGTCAGGATTGAAGAGTACCAGAAAGAGGTAAGGATGAGCCTTGGCCTTTGCCTGTGATATGTTTCCTTTCATGGCCACACCTTTCACCTAGCAGTCACCTGCCTTGGCTGCCTTTTTTTTTTTTTTTTTTTTTTTTAAAGGATTTATTTATTTATTTATTTTTACAAGCACTGGGTACAGTCAGAAGCGCGGGAGGGTGAGAGAATTCACCAGAGCCAGAGCAGGGAACAGAAAAGGCAGACTGACGAAATACACTGCTGAGGGGAGCAATGGGCGTGGCAGGAGAGGTCTCCACGCTATGTGGGACTCTCGCCGGTGGCCGGGGATGGAACAGGCGCTGCAGAGGCTGCGGGCAGCTTCGCAGCCCAGCGCTCAACTGCTGCGCCACCAGGGTCGGCCCTGTTTATTTTTATTAAAGATTTATTTATCTATATATTTATTTATTTATTTATACAAGCACTGGGTACAGTCAGAAGCCCAGGAGGGTGAGAGAAGGTGAGAGAATTCACCAGAGTCAGAGTGGAGAGCAGAGCAGGCAGACTGACGAAGTACACTGCTGAGGGGAGCAGCGGGCGGCAGGAGAGGTCTGCGCGCTATGTGGGACCCTCACCCAGCGGCTGGGAATCGAACAGAGGCTGCGGGCAGCTTCGCAACCCAGCACTAAACCGCTGCGCCACCGGGGAGACCCAGTTTATTTATTTTAAAGATTTTTTTTTTTTTAAAGATTGATTTATGCATACAAGAACTGGCGTACAGGGCAGAGGTGTGTGGGGTGAGTGGATTCACCAGAGACAGAGTAGGGAGCAGAACAGGAGATCTACTGAAATAAACTGCTGAGAGGAGCAGCGGGCAAGACAGGAGAAATTTGCTGCTCCATGTGGGTTGCTCCCTGGCCGGCCAGGGATCGAACTCTTGCTGTAGAGTTTGCTGATAGCTTCATCGTGCTGTGCTTAACCCCTTGCTCCACCAGGGAGGCCCCTGGCTTGGATTCCTTTTGTGTCTCTGCTTCCCTTAACACATTTTCCCGTCTTTCCAGCTGGAGAAGATAAAGAACATAATTCCTTTTGATCAGATGACCATCGAGGACTTGAATGAAGTCTTCCCAGAAACCAAGTTAGACAAGAAGAAGTATCCCTACTGGCCGCACAAGCCCATTGAGAATATGTAAACTTGAGTCCAGGAGAAAGTTCTGGTTCTCCTAATTCTGAATATTAAAAGTAATTATTATAGTGCTAGGTATGCCTGCTCCTTTGTGGTTGAGGCAGTTACAGCTCTAAGGTGGCCTCATGAGAAGCTGGTTCTTGCTGAAATGGAAAGGTGAGGCGACAGGTGTGTGCTGGGCCACTTGGCTGAGGGTCAGGATATGTGGGTGCCAATTACTGTGCCCCCAGGGCTGTTGAAATGGTAAGGAATAACAGTGGGGGCGATGACAGTGGATTTCCCTGGAATATGAAAAAGAAGGATCATTATCTGCTGATTCCCTTGAACTTCCTCTTTGCTTTCAACCTCCGTTCCCTGGGGAGTGTGCTTCTCCGTTAGCAGATGGGCCGGGCCTGGCCGCAGCCGTAGTGCTAGGTGAATCATGGTGAGCTCCAGCGGGGACCTGCTGTTTTGTACTTTAGCTCTTGCGCATAAATGTGCTGCAAAAGGGACTTTTATTGCAGAGTCAAAACCTGTTAGAGCTTTGTGTTTGAACCTGGAAAGTTATTCTAGTTCCATTATTTCACTAAAAAGAAAAATTGCTGCTGTTTATCACAGCAGGATCCTGTGCAATGCCAGGAAATACAGGTGGGGTGAAGTTGGGGAGGCGTAATGAGCACTAATGGGGGGCACTGTAATTGAGTCACCTGGATACATCGTGCTTAAAATTCAGTCAGGAATTCGCCAGGGAGTCATCGAGAGGAGGCTGGATGAATCAAAGTGATTCATCTATAACTTTTCAAATCTATTTGTCTTGACATTGACTATGTTAACTTTATTGTGCTGTCGTTTGTTAGTGTCTTTGTTATACACATAAAAATAATTGTATTTTAAGGCAAAAGAAGAATAAAGCAGGGGAGGGGGTGGAGGCCAGAGGACCTGGGATACCCACTGCTCACTCCCCTGACGTTTAGTTGCTGGCTTTAGGCTAATGTTCACAGTGGTGCCACCTCCTTTTTCTCAGAAAAATAACAGGACTGTAGTGGGAATAAAAAGGTAACCTGGAAAGCCTCTAGGGTAGAAAGTGATATATAAGCAAAGGGGACAGAAGGGTAGCATGCCCAGGCCAACAGTTTTGTGACGTCGCTAGCAAGGGTCACAGCTGGGCTCTCTGGAGGAGGGCACGGTGACTGATGCTCCCCAGTATAAGCCCATAAGCAAGTAGAGCCTGGCAGCATCACCCCTGATGTGTGGGGGCAGGGAAAGTGCAACTGAGGGGCAGGGTGTGCCCCACTTAGAGCTGCTTTAGTCATAACACAATCTGCCATGTTCCTGGCAGCTGCCACAGAAGGCTTTCATGCACAAAACAAAACAGACAAGCTCCCCATCCCTCCCCCCCAAGGCTGTGAGTCACTAACTGGCACTGCCTGGAAGCTGAAAGCCTAGGACCCAGAGGAGCGAAAACATGGAGACTCTAAAACAAGCCATTCGGTTTACTTGGGGAACGAGATTAGAACTCACGTTCTATGGAAAAGACCCTCTGAGTCCTGGGAAAGGTTTGTGACGTAAAGGGGGAGGGCTCCTGGCAGTGAGGACACCTGCTCTCAGTCAAAAGCATTTGGATAGGATTGGGGCACATTTAAGTTTTATACCCTCCTGGATTGTTTGAAATGTTTGCATGGTGCACACTGGTTTTACTTTTAAGATAATCACTAATAAAACAGGATGTTGCTTTTCCGATCCCTAGAGAAAGAAGTACATCCTCTATAGCAAAAGGTAAAGATAGAAATCAAAAACAAAGGCCTGAATACAGAACCAAATGTGCCTGGGGGGGAGAGGAGGGGCAAACCATGTGCTTGAGGACCCTGCAGGCATTTTCCACATGAGTCCTGAACTCATCTGCCATCCTGGGGTGCAGCACCATGGTCCACAGTGCCCCCCAATTTTGGGACCGATTTTGCACTTCTTAGCTCCCATTCCGCAGCTGTCTGTCACCACATCCCACAGACTCCATTTCCTGAACATCTGTTTTCCTTCTCTTTGTGTTCCTGCCATTGCCTGTGTTCAGGGTTTGGTAATTGCTCCAGAACATTCACTTTCTCTCCCTAAATGATCTGTCCGCCTGTCCTTTCACCCACCCCCAACCCATCCTTTACATTGCTGCCCAGCAGATCTTTTCAAAATGCAAAGGGGGTTTTCACTCCTTTGCTTAAAACCCTCCTCTGGGTTCCCACAACTCAGGAGATCAAACACAGTCTCCTTACCCCTGACCCCCTTCTCTCTTGAAATACTGTTCTCCTTTCCCCACTATAGCCACAGCAAACTGAACTGTACTGCCCTCTCCAGCCTTACCACCAGGCACCTGCTATTTCTGCTAATCCTAGAAGATTAGAAAGATCTAGAAAATTCTAGAAGGTTCTTTGTTGCCTGTCAGGCAGTATACCTAAGTCATATTTATATTTCCCAGGGCTTAACACTATGCTTGGCTTTTGAGAGTGTTACAGGGTTTTCCATATTTCCTGCCAGTTTTTCCCAAAGGAGACTCATTCCAAATACTATTCTGAGGTCTTAGAAAAATAGAATTCTGCTTTATACTATGTCCCCGGTAACCTCAGGACTTTAATGTGCTCACTTTCAAATTCAATAAAAGACATGATTTTACTGTGTTGGTAATACTTCTACAAAATACCTGAATTCTTAACACGGTTATGTTTCAGTATAAGTGGTGGCTTTATTTTTTTTCATTTAGTTTTGTTCCTTTAATCCAACCACCCGATTTTGTGAGAAGGAAACAATGTAAGGTTTTCGTAAATTAAAAAAACAAACAACACCAAGACCAAAAAAACAAAACTTACATGAATTCATTATAATCACAAGAGAAAAAAGAAAGGTGAATGAGATCCTTTGGGGGTTCACCCTAGGTGGGCGAGCATCACACAGACCTGGAATAATGGGGTGAGCTAGTATATTAGCAAATGAGGGTGGTAACAATTTACAGAGCAGCTCAGGGTGTTCTACTGACTTGACATAAAGATCTCATTCCTCCTCACCACTGCCTGTGAGGTAGGCCACGGATCAGCTAAGACCTTCGTCTCTGGGTGTGACTCTCCCCTGTGCCCCATCCTGCAAGCTTTTTTTTTCCCCTAAAGATTTATTTATGCATACAAGAACTGGGGTACAGGCCAGTACCCCAGTGTGGGGGGTGAGAGGACTCACCAGAGACAGAGTGGGGAGCAGAACAGGCAGATTGGCGGAAGTACACTGCTGAGGGGAGCAGCGAGACAGGAGCGGTCTGCTGCGCCATGTGGGTAGCTCTCTGGCTGGGGATCAAACTCGTGCTGCAGTGGCTGCGGATAGCTTCATGGTGCTGAGACTTAACCCCTTGGGCCACCAGGGAGGCCCCCTGCGAGCTGTTTTTTAAAACGTGATTTCTCAATGGGCCCAGCCCCATCCCATAATCTAGGATGGGGGTAAGTGGGAAGGCGGCTCCACGGTGCAGGCCTGGCCGCTGCTGCAGCCCCCACGGGAGCAGCAGCATTGAAAACAGCGGCCTAAGACCCGGTGAGAGTAGAGAGAATAAAAGGATCCTTTCTGGGTGACCCTGGAGAAGGGACAGGAGGACTCTGCACTTCTGGTTCACTTGTGTTTGTTGTTTCTTTGACAAAAGTACCGCCGAACAGTGGTTTTAACAACTTTTTTTGAGTCAAGGACTTGAGAAAATCTGATGAAGGATACAGCCTCTCCCTGAGTAAATGCGGCAGCTCCAAAATGTGTGTGAAGTATTCAACCTGTGAAGTCCTCAGGAGCTTGGATTTTCTCTCTCTCTCTCTCTCTCTCTCTCTCTCTCTCTCTCTCTCTCTCTCTCTCTCTCTCTCTCTCTCTCTCTCACACACACACACACACACACACAATATGATAACACATATAGGAGAATGTGAAGACCCAGTATTATTTACATCTCTGATTTTCCAATGGGACACACCTGTTCAGATAAAAAAAGCAGAACATTCCCAGGACCCAGGAAGCCCCCCTTTAAGCTACACCCCCACCCACGTTATCCTTCTAATGGCAGAGATTTGTTTTGTCTGCTTTTCCCCTTTCCTTCAGCTTCTGCTCTCCTTAGAGGGGCGTTGTGAGGCTGCAGGTGTCCGAAAGCGCTTTTGGGAGCCCTAAATGCCAGGTCAGCTTAAGGGATGGGCCATGTGTCTTCCCTTTGACCCTCCAGACCAATCACCATCTTTCTCCCATCCTCAGCCTGGGGACACCGACCTGTTTTGGGGACACCGATCTGTTTAGGGGATACCACTGACTCCGTGATCTCGGGTTTCTGCTTGTGTGGGGTTAGAGGGGGTCCTAGCAGGAGAGTGGTGAGAAAGAGGGTGGCTGGTGTGTTTATTCCCCGGCTGCCTTCCTGCGGTGTCCAGGTTGACCTGAAGTCTAACCCTAACCCACCAGGCAACCCTCTCTGTGAACCTGTCTTTCTCTTCTTTCTAGAGCCTTCTTCCTCTTGCCCCTTCAAGCCCAGGAAGGGACTCTTCATTAGGGTGCATCCTGGAGTACTGGTCGCACGTGGTTTCCTTGCACCTGCCCTGGGTCCCTCTGATTGGAGAGTGCCCTCCTTTTCCTGGGCTGGACTGGGGTCCATGCAAGCGATGGGCATATTACCCCACTGTCCAGTGCGCGTGCACTTGCACTTGTGCGTGCCCCTCCTCCTCCAGACCCAGGGCAGTGGCTGGTGGGTGCCCCCTGGACTGGCGGCTTGGATCTGGGTAGCACTTCATGCCCCTACCCTTGTCTCCAGTGGGAGGCTTGGGAACAGGGAGGCGCTGTGGGCGCAGTTGTGCCTGCTCTTAACTTTATAGAGATGGGCTTGCCTCATTTGCAGGGTTTGCAGAGCACTCTCAGGAGGGGTTTGGTTGTCAGAAAGGCAAGGGGAGGAGGAGCCTCATTTACACTCATGTTGGTTTCATCAAAAAGAAAAGATAAATTCATTGCAACTGAGCATCGCACACACAAAACTGCGATCAGAAAGAAAACGTCTCATGGATTTGTTTTTTACCATGTAGATGGTTTAGGGAAAAAAAAACATACGCGAACAAAAACGATTGTGGCAGTAAATCAGCTCACCCCAGATGGGACTCGAACCCACAATCCCTGGCTTAGGAGGCCAGTGCCTTATCCATTAGGCCACTGGGGCTTCTCGCAAGCGGCGCGCGATCATATGGCTCTTGAACTGTGACGCCATGGGCGCCGTGTAATGACGTCAAACCGGAAGTTTCCTGGAGGAAACCGTTTGTCCGCGAGCTGTAAGTGCCAACTTCCAGAAACGAGGGCAGCAGGGCGCGGCGGGGCCTGAGCGCTTCCCGAGTCTAAAACGAGGGCGCGGGTGGAATCCGCAGGCGGCGCCCGGAGGCAGCACAGTTGAGTTACCCAAAACGTTTCGACCACGAAGGGACTCGAACCCTCAATCTTCTGATCCGAAGTCAGACGCCTTATCCATTAGGCCACGCGGTCTCTCCACCCAGCCAGCCACCTCGTGCTGCTTATTTAGTGACCTGTGGCCGCAGCGGCTCTGACGCAAGCCGCGAGCACCCCTGGGCTTCGGACCCTCTGCACCCGTGTGCCGCGCCGCGCGGCAAAGACACCCCCGCGCCGCCGCTCCCGAGGGGCACGCCCCTGGCCGGCACGCCGCGTGGCCTTGCGAGTCGGGCGTCTGACTCCGGATCAGAAGTCAGGGTTCGAGTCCCGGCGCGTCGGGCTCCCCCAGGTAAGCAGCCCCCGCCCCCGCGGCTCTGGGGGCGGCACGCCCACCTCCCTCGGCCCTCGCTTTCGGGGCGCTGGCCCCCTCGCCCAGACTCGAGCTGTTCCCGCGGGCGCGGGTGCCCCGTCCCCGGCCGCGCGGCCCGGCGGGTGTCTCGCCCGCCCCGGAGCTGCGCCCGCGCGCTGGCGCGCTACCACGCACCACGTGGAGCAGCGCCCTGTCGCGCCCCAGTGGCCTAATGGATAAGGCACTGGCCTCCTAAGCCAGGGATTGTGGGTTCGAGTCCCACCTGGGGTGGTGCTAGCGCCTCGCACCGGGTTCTTTTGGTGCCTGGAGCGCGCGCGGCCCCGGGACGCCGGGGCCCTCTCGTGAGGCGGCCGGCGCGCGCCTCGGACAGACCCCGCGGGACCTCGTCCGGGCTGCCCAGAAACTGGGAACACCTCGAACCAGAGTCGTCGGGCCGCGGCGGGCTGACACCAAAACAGAACAGGTGAAGAGAAAAGATAACTCTTACCCCAGGTGGGACTCGAACCCACAATCCCTGGCTTAGGAGGCCAGTGCCTTATCCATTAGGCCACTGGGGCTTGCGGCGCGGGGCTGCTGCCTCTCGGCCCCTAGTCGGTGCCCGGCCTCGGGACGGCGCGGGGCCCCACGGGCGCTCCCCGCCCCGCCCCCAGACTCCTGCACCCCGGGGGGGAGACCCGGGCCGGCGGGCGCGCCCACTCGGCGCCGGAACCATCTCGTCCAGCTCCAGAAACGGCAGAATGAGGAGAGGAGCGTCCCCCACGCGGCCTGAGCCTCAGTCGTTGCAAACCTCCCCATCTTGAGAACATGTCCAAGTGGGAGAAATAAATCCTTCCAGCCGCAGCAGCGGAAACAGCACGTCTCCGGAGCGGGGAAGCGGATCAGCCACACGGGCTTCCTTCCAGGGTTTCCCGTCTTTGAAACCACGACACACACACACGACAGAGAAGCGCACGGTAAAGCATCACGGTTGCCATCCCGGGCGGAGGCGCCCGCCCTCTGCAAGGCGAGACGGCGCGGCCAAGCGGCCTTTATTGCCCAGGCAGCCTGCCCAGGCCTCCCTCCCCGGCCCAGCCTCGGGGTGGAGCGAGCTGAGGCGCCGGTGTCTCTCCCCACGGGCTGCAGAAACCCTCGGCCTCGCTCCGGCAGGCCCCGAGGCAGCGCCTGCCTGGCCTGGCCTGGGGGAGGCCCCCCCTTAAGTCAGTGTTTGTTGATGACAAAGCGTCCAGATGTGAAGGTCACAGCCCATGACCCTGTCCATGCAGGTGGACTCATTAACCGTGGCTCAGATGAAGAAGCATCACCAGCACCCCAGAAAGCCGCTTTGTGCCTCTGTCCCTTACCGCTTCCCCCAAACTGGTTCCTGATTTTCCTCACCATAAAGCAGTTTCAGCTTGTCAGGAACTCGGGTACCTCTGGCCTCTTGGGCCCAGGATTGGGCCTACCTGCCGCCCACGTTCATTTTGCCCCCGCCGTTTGTAAGGAGCAGTCCCAGCCCTATGCTCCACTGTCCCCCCGCCCGTTTTATTTCTCTTCACTTCTCTGTCCCCTCCTGAGTGTCTCTGACGCTTTCTCAGGCCCCCTCACATGCATCCAGTCTCTTCTGAGGGCCTCGTGGGAACAGCGCTTGGCTCCAGAGTCAACCCTCAGGGATGCCCCTGCCCCCACCCAACCAAGCATCTCCCTCCTGTCTTGTATCCCCAGCTCTCCAGGGCTCCGGGGCCCATTCCCTAAGACCCCCCTCCCCCAGGGTATACCAAGTCAGCTCCTTACAGGCAAAACCAGGGGCATCACCAACCATCCTCCAAAGCCTCCCCTTGTGACTCCTGTCTGGCTGCACAGCAGCTCCCACGTCACACACCTGCTCCCACTCCAACTTTCCACCCCAGAGGCCTTTTGCTCACCCTATTCCCCCCCTCCACCCTCTTTGCTGTGGTTCCAGGAGGGGTCCCTGGCTGTTCACATGGGGGGCCCACCCACCTGTGCTCACTCGCCTGCAGTCCAGGTCAGCTTCCCTTCCCCCACAGCCTCAGCGAGGGCACAGTCTGGATGTCCTGCTCATCATGCTGAAGGCCTTTCTGGACCAGGCGCCCACTCAGCGTAGCACATGTGCCTTCTCCGGCGGCTCGTTCCCTGGTTTCCAGCCAAACTAGGTTATTCATCCTAACGTTCCCCAAACACATTCTCGGGATCACTCACCATTTACTTATTCACTTAAATGTCCCACTAACTCTCTGAGGGGATCACTGCAATCACCCCTATTTATGGCTGGGGACACTGAGGTTTTCAGAGAGGCTCAGCCCCTGCCCGCCCTCCCTTTCGGCTCCGCCCCAGCACCTCAAGTACAGCTTCTCTGCCCTCCACCAGGACCGTCATTCCTCTGCCCCCTCCCCACCTGCTAGGCCTTTCTTATGTCTACCTTGTGGGTCATGACAGGAGTTCATTTTTCTTCTCAGCTTTTGTCACCACCTGGTGGGATGTAAATTCTCCGAAGGGACTGCGTTGTCCCCATCATTGGGAGTCACCCCAGTGCCTGGGATTCACTCAACACTGTTGATAGTGAAGGAGCCAATGGAGGCTGAGCTTCCTGCACATGCTCCTTGGCTCCCCAGAGGCTCCGGTGCCTTGAGGGCAGGACCGTGGCTCCACACCGTCTCTAAGTCAATGGCTTTCTTGCCCAGTGACTCTGCGATAGCAGCTGGTTATTTTGCATTTAGGCCATCACAAAAGTCACACGAGCAACTAGGTGAAAATAAAAGAGCAGGGCCTCCCCTGGTAGCACAGCGGTTGAGCTCTGGGCTGCAAAGCTGCCTGCAGCCTCTGTAGCGCCAGTTCGATCCCTGGCCACTGGGCGAGGGTCCCACATAGCGTGCAGACCTCTCCTGCCGCCCGTTGCTCCTCTCAGCAGTTATTTCGTCACTCTGCCTGTTCTGTTCCCCGCTCTGGCTCTGGTGAATTCTCTCACCTTCCTGCACTTCTGACTGTACCCAGTGCTTGAATAAAAATAAATAAATAAATCTTAAAAAAATAAAAAAATAAAAAATAAATAAAACAGCGTTCACACAGCAGTCACCAGCACGCAGCCGGCCTGGCACTCCCCCAGCCCCACAGGATGGCAGAAACCTCCGCAGTTCCCACTCACTCTCCCCTTGCCTCCCCAACCCTGAACCCCGACAGCACCTAATGCTGTCCCCTCCCTCTCCACACCTTCAGCAGCTCCCTATTAAGAGCATCGGTGGACCCTCCTCCACCCATGCTCTTAAAATCGAAGCTCCTCACCTGAGGTTGGAGACTGCAGACTGCGCTTCTGCCTCCCACTCCCCCCTCACCTCCCCCAAGGCCCTGTGCCAACTCCCCATTCAGATGGCTCCCTTGTCACCCCCACCCCAGCTTTTTTCTTTTGGTTTCCTCTAGTCAAGCTCTTCCATTCCAGGGACATGCTCCCTCCATTCTACTGGTTGAGTCTCGGCCTTTCCCGAGGCCTAGTGGATGCCCACTCACCTGCTTCAGCTCTTCTGCCCCACCTGTGCCTGCCCCACGACTCAGCCGTTTCCTCTGGGCTGTGACGACCAGGCAGGCCAGTCAATCACTGCTCGCAGATTTCAATGGGGAGAACGGCGTGGATTCTGCTCTGAAGTGTTCCAAAGAGAAGGGAAGCCACGTGAGTTCAGAATTTTATTGCAACTAATACATAAAATGGATGGCAAAGGTCTGACCACATGTGACTGCCCAGTAAGCACCCACATTCCGACACGCCTGTGGTGGTGGCCCCAGGAGCTAGTCTACCCAGGAGCCTCTCGCCGCCGCCGCTGGAAGTGCTGGGAGGTCTGTGTGCTGCAGAGCCGGCTTCAGTCCACCTCCGCCCTCCTGTTTGTCTTTGTGACGGCATTTATTCTCTTCTGTCTCAGCCTTTCCCGGTTCATGTTTTCCACCCTGAAACAGGAAGACTGTCAGGCCCCGCTGCCCACTCAGGGCTTTTCAACATAGTGGAGGAGCTGGCGCTCCTGGGAGCAGCAGAGGGCAGCAACCCGATTCCTCCCCGTCTGTCTCTCTGGCTCCCGAGTCTTCCAGCTGCCTGCCCGGAAGGCCTGGACTTCACCTTGCCTCTCTTCCCAGGCCTCCCCTCCTCCACAAGTCTCAGTTTACAGACACCCGGGCATTCTCTGGTACCTGGTCCTGTGAAGAGCAGCATCTTCTCTGGACGGCTCCTTGACTGGCTGGCTGGCCTCAGCAATCATGTCTCGAATTTTCTGCAGGCAATCCGCCAGATTTCTGAACTGATAGCGGCTGCATTCAGAGGTGAGTATCAACTCTCCTGACCTGTTGATCTTATTTTTATGCTGTGGAGAACAAGGGCAAACTCAGAGCTGTAGAGAGGAAAGCCTTAAAAGCGACTGAGGACTAAAGGCAGCAAAGGGGCCGTTACCGTGATGGCCATCTTCTGCCTCACGGGCTCTGCAATCCAGTCAGCAGTTGCCAAGTGGAACCTGACTTCAGCCTTGGAATTCACTGTCAATAAAGGGAGCGGGGTCACCGACACTCTCGGGAGCCTCAGCAGCCCCCGGGGGACTGGCGACTGTCCCCAAACACAGGGAGGCGAGACCCCTAGCCAGGCCCGTTTCTATCCTGTGTCAACATGGGGGCAAAGGTGGCCATGGAATCAACCTGCAGCCTGGGAGACACTTGTAGACAAAAATAGGCTGCCTGGGCTTCTCTTACATTTGTCTTAGGTCCTGAAAAGACCGTGGGGGCTGGGCTCCCGAGAATGAAGGAAACCTGTTCTCGGAGCGGCTGCCAACTCGCACTGTGATTTCCCTTTGTTTAGGCCCACAGCCGATCCTAGTCCTAGCAACCCGCAGCTGAGAGGCTGAGCATCAGACCACACTGAGAAGAATAAAGAGGATTATAAGCTGGCAATGTTTAAGCTCCTACTAAAAAAAAAAAAAATCCCTTTAGTCCACGTGACTGGAAGCCCAGAACAACTCGAGTCTGCCTCCCAGCTAAGTTTTAATGGGAAAGAAAACACAAAGGCCCCCTACCTTTGTTAACATTCTGGCCGCCGGGACCGCTGCTCCGGCAGTAAGATATCGTCAGGCGATCTGCAAAGTAGCACGCACCAGAGGAAAGATTACCCACGGCTGTTGGTTTACTGCCACCAGCTGTCCTCATCACACCTCTCTCTCCTTCAGTGACTTAGTATGTAAGGTCAGAGATTATTTACAGATGTCAAAGTTAAAATCCTGAGTAAGTGACCTCCCCAAGGCCCCACAGACAGCAGCGGATGTGAAATGATGACCTGGACTGTCTGCTCTTGGTCCCGCTCACGCCGCCAGGTCTGGCTGCCTGGCTTTCTGCTGTCTGCTTGTTTGCTTTAAAGCAAGGACTCCTTCAAAAATTCAGACCAAGGGACACAGTTTAATATCGTATTGCAAAATGTGCTGGAGGCGGAATCCCAACAGACTGTCAGTTTCTTTTAAATCCTTTAAGAGCTCTGTGAATGGCGAGATATGTACATTTCAGATATATCTGTAAAATGCAAATGGTGGCTTACGATATACACTCTTCTGCACCACACTTTTCTCTAATAATGACCAACCCATTGACTGTAAAGGTTGCTTCATGTCACAAGAACATCGAGAGCTCGTCACCCGTGCTGAGTGCTGCAGCTTTTATTTTGGTTACTCTAACAATGCAGAAATGACTCCACCATTGCACACTCACTGGGCTGGAGAGACCTGGAAGGAATGTGCGAGGAGGAAATGAATCAAAGTGACTCACCTAGAGGGATGTCACTGCTGGCTCTCCGCACATCATCCTGCAAGGGAACAGACACAGTGTCACCTAAATGCTACCAGCTGGGTGACTGGGGGGGAGTCACAATGCAAAGGTAAGGCAACTATTTTCAGGCCCCCAGCATGCTCCTAATTAAAGTGAGAATGACAGAGACATCTTCCCCCAACTCAGACCTCTCCTGCCTTACCACCTCCACCTGAGTGTGTCAGGCACCATCAGACACCTGGCTCCTGGGAGGGAAGGAAAATGCCACAGTACACCTGCAGGAGGGAGACCCAAAGGCACACCTGATGCCAACCTGGAGCAACAAACCTGTCACACGTGAGGCTGTCTGCTTGATGTGATGGGCACATCTGTTTTCAGGGTTTGTGTCAAACCGAACTGTGCACTCTACGATTGTCGCCTCTGTCTCTCCTTGAGCTGCCCATCTCTAGCAAGCCCTTTCAGCCTCGACTGACGGCCACAAGCCTGGTGCAAATGCTTTGGAAGCTTTCTGGCCATCCAAGCTCAAAGTATCCTCCTCTGACTCCTTCTGGTCGCCTTCATCCCTTTTCATCTTAAAATTATTTGGGGGGGTCTCATCCTACCCCACCTCTCCGCACCACTTAAGACCACAGAGCATGCTCCACGAGTGCCCTCCGTGAAGCACATTTTCCCCGCCTTCTGAGCGACCCCGCTGAGTTCACCCCCACTCTTCTCCTTTGGTTGCTCTTGGCAACCTTTCCACACAGATGTGCCCCATAAAATCCTTTCTCTTTTCTAACCCGTTCTTTTTTTTTTTTTTTTTTAATAGAGGCATGTTTTCTTTCCTTCCTTCCTCCCTTCCTCCCTCCCTCCCTCCCTCCCTTCCTTCCTTCCTGTCAGAAGCGCGGGAGGGTGAGAGAATTCACCAGAGCCAGAGCGGGGAGCAGAGCAGGCAGAAGGACCGAACTACACTGCTGAGGGGAGCAGCGGGCGGCAGGAGAGGTCTGCGCGCCATGTGGCACCCTCCTCCGGTGGCTGGGGAGCAGCCAGGGATCGAACCGGCGCCGCAGAGGCCGCGGGCAGCTTCGCAACCCAGCGCTCAACCGCTGCGCCACTGGGGAGGCCCTCTAACCCGTTCTTTCCCTAGAACATTCCATCCATCTCTGCCAACAGAAATGCCATCTCTGTTGGTTGATGACTCCCAACTTTCTGGCTCAAACTCAAATCTCTTTCTTCAACTCCAGGCCCAGAGAGCCAACTGCTACTCAGTGTCTCCTCTCAGAGGCCTAGCTCAAACCTCCTCACAGGACTTCCTCTACTAACAGCCTCCAGGGGCCTCCCAGCACTCTATCTCGGCACCCTCGTTATTCGTTACTTCTCACTGTCTGGAATGTTTTTCCTCTTCATTCTGGCTACTCCTTCTACCACAAGAAACCTACACTCTGTGAAGTAAGTCCTCTTTTGTTTAGCCTGTCTGACCTTAAGGCTTGACACAGGGTCTGCCACAATAAACTTTTTATTGAATGAATGCACAAATGGATGTTACCACCATTTCCTCTCTCAATGGCAACTCCAGTCTTCCATTGCTCAAGGGCCCAGATTCCAATTCCTCTTATATCACTTGTCGCAGAAAATCTGTTAGCAAATCACGTAGGCTTTTCCTTCAGGAAAGATCTAGAATCTGACCAACTCCCATGACTCCCATGCTTCTATTCTCTACATCATCTCTTTCGTGTGTTACTGCAATCTCCTTACTGGTCTTCCTGTTCTTGCCATTCAACAGTCAATTCTCCATAAGGCTCTGTAAAAGTGATCCTTGTATGATGAAGTGGGGTCATTTTACTCTGCCTCAAACCCTCCAATAGGTCCTCACTGTATTCAGAATAAAGTTGAAGGCCTGTAAGCCCTATGAACAGCCCCCATACAGCCCTCTCCCTTCCAGTTCCATCTCTTCTGACTCCACTGCTCAGTCACATTGGCCTGCTTGCTGTTCCTTGGACGAATCCAGCATGTTCACATCCTTGCTGGGGTGCTTATCTCCTTGCTATTCTCAAGGATCACGGCCTTGTTTCTTCCAGGTCTCTACCCGACTGTCACCTTCTCAGGAGGCCTTTCCACACAATCTCACTTAAAACTACAACCCCATCCCCACATTAGCACGGCTTCTTCCCTCCAGGCTCTGTTTTCTTAATGCACTTACCCCCTCTCACTCTACTTATTTATCGCCTGCCTTCCTACATTAGAATATAAGCTCTACAAGCATTAGGGTTTTTGTGCTTTGTTCACTACTCCAGCCCCCAGCCTGGTACAGGGCATACAATGTGCTTTCAAGAGAAGTTTGTTTAATGAATGGATGACTGCATGAACGTCCTCTTTCAGCTGCAGGTGGAAGTGCCATAAAACTGGGTGGGTCCTAGCTCTTGGGCTCCAGGGCCTGAAAGAGCGCCTGCCTGCACCCTTCGAGTTGTTAATAAATGCACCCTGAAAACACGGACGAGAAGCCACTTCCTCGGGCGTGCTGGGATTGCTCGCGGCTACGGACAGGGTAACTGTCCAAAGGAGAACAAGCCCCTTGGCGGTCTTCTGCCTTTACTGTCCACCGTGGAGGGCTGGAAGGTGCATTTTCCCTTGGGACAAGATTTGGGCCTAAGGGCCGGGGAACGTAAAAGGCGCCCCCAAGTGTTCTCCCGGCGCCCCCACACCTCACAGTCACGCAGGACCCCACGGAGCACGCGGAGACACGGGTTTCCCCGGTTGCTCCGACAACCACCCCACCCCTGCGGCGACCGCCCAGTCCGGCGCGCCCCGCCCCTTGGACTGTACTCCACGCCCGGCCCAGGGGCGCCGGCTTTCTGACGTCACCCACACGCGTCAAAGAAACGCCCCTTCCGTCCAGCCCTCCCGGCTCACCGGGACCCTCCAGGCGGTGTCCCGGCCCCGGGACTCGGGGTAGAGCTTGTCCAAGCTGTAGATGCTCTGAAATTCCGTGCCGTCTCCCTGCTTGTGCAGAGTCCGGCGGGGACAGCGCGGCGGGAGGAGACAGGCTCGGGCTCGGCACAGACCCCAGCGCACGCAGCGGGCGGCCGCCATGTTCGGGCGTCGGGCTGCTTCCGGGAGCACTTTCTTCCGCGGTCCGCCGGCGCCCGCTTCCCCCCGAGCTTTGGTTCCGCGCCGCTTTTAGCGCTCGCGCGGGGGAGGCGGGATGGGGGAGCCGGGGCTGGGGAGTCGGGGTGCTCCCGGCGGCGCCCCTCTCAGAGCTCCCGTCACGGCCTCCGAGACGCCTGCGGGTGCCCTGCGGTCGGCTGCCGCGTGGGGAAGATGCCGGCCAAACGCGAGCTCTCAAGGGAGGCTCCTGGCGCAAAGAACCTAAATCCCTTCTAGAAACCCTTTCCCTGGCGGTCTGCTCCGTGCCCCCCGCCCCGCGACAGCGGAGCTCCCCGAAGATCCCCGCCGGCGGTGATGCCGGCCCTGCCCGGGCGGTTCTTCTCCACCCCCTGTCCTCTCGCTTTTCCTCTCACGTCTCTTAACCTTATTTTCCTAGCTTATTGCCTGGCCCCAGTGCCATACACCCCACTGGCTCCCTGCGGGATCCCAGCTCCCGAGCCCCGCGCTTTCTAGGCGCTCAATAAATATTGATAAGATGAATTTTTTTTTTAATGGGTCGAGTTCAGCTGGAGCTGAATTTTAGTGATTTGAGACTCTGACAAGGCATCCCATAAGCAAATCCGAGCTAAGCAGGGTGCAGGACAAACACCTGATGGAAGGAGAGGAAGGCAGCTCACAGAAATGTTCTCAAAAGCAGACATCCCCGCTCCAGGGGGTGGAGGAAACAGTTTTGTGCAACAGGGGTAGGAGTGATTTCCTAGCTAGAAGGGAGGTAAGGGGCGCCAGGGGGGAGGAGGTAGAGATTAACAGAGCCACAGGCTAAGCAGAGGCCTTTTACAGGGCTGTGAGGACATGAGCTCCAAAATGGAGATGTTCTAGCTCTGAGAAGGGTTGGAGGTGGAGCAAGCAGTATTTGAAAGCAGCTCAATAAATGTTAGTGATTATTAGGAATGCTAGTGGCTGTTTCTTAATGAAGAGTTCTATTTTTAGGAAAAGCATAATTACCTAGAAAAGCATGCCCTTGGGGATGCTGACTGTTTGAAACGGAAGATCATGAAATCAAGGCTTTACCATCTTCGTCTCACTGACGCCGGCAAAGTGTTTAGGAGGGAATAAATCACTTCCCAGTCACTGGCTTCTTAAATCCAAATTAGGAATGGCAATGGACATGTCTTTTGGGTCCTAGGCTGGCAGGGGAAGTCTTCTGAGCCCCTCCTTGACTGAGTTAGTGCTAAGACCTCAGAGGGAAGAGTCGTCTCCATGGTGACTGAATAAGCTGCTCAGGGGAACAGAGCCAGGCACTCACCCAGGTCGTTAGCTCTGGGGTTATGAATAATAAAGTCAGCACCATTCCGTGGCATCACGGCTGCAGGCCTGGGCTCCAGTTCTGGGCCTGACCCAGAGTGATAGGAAAAAGAAACTGCAGGTTCCCATGGCCCCAAATAAACACAGCCTGCTCACACCATCTGGTGGCCTGGATTCTGGGAGGAGGGGATAAAGAGAATGAGACGGCTGTGCCTGGGGCTGAGGGAAGAGCAGCTGGCACGCTCTTCACCTGGTGCTGCTGAGAACCATTCAGAATAGAGACCTTTCTGGGAGAAACAGACCTGAGAGATGCCACCTGTTTCCATCCTGAAGGCCCAGGATGGCCTTTTCCTTCCCTCCCTGGTCCTCCAGGGGCTGAGATGGTGCTTCAGGCAAGGAATATTCACAGGGGAAAGGAGAAAGAGGGAGGGAAAAGGCACCTTAGCAGCGAGGAGCTTGCAGACACCGTTGCTTCTGAGTGGCCGGGGTTGGGGTACCACTTCCACGTAGGGGTCCATAGGTCTTTCCTTCCTTTGTTCTCTGATGTGCCCGGGGTCAGATCAGCTCTTAAAACTCAAGCTCATGTTGAGAGAGGGAATGTGTGGCATCCAATAGTGAATCGGTCAGGGTTCAGATATTTCTATGTGACTTTGAACGACTGGCAGCTTTGCGCAGTGGCAGTATCGTAGCCAATGAGGTTTATCCGAGGCGCGATTATTGCTAATTGAAAACTTTGAACGACTGGCTTAGCCCTAAGCTGGTCTATCCCTATCAGTAAAATAGAGATTTTATAGCTGCCTCATAATGGTACTGGGGGTATTAAATACCTGCAAAGCGCTTAGCACTGCCTGGCACAGAGGCAGCAGGCAATAAAGCGAGCTGCCTCCAGGGGATGCTAAGGGCACCTGGGGTCCTAGAAGGAACTTGACTGCTGATGACATCTCTTTCCTCTGCAGCCCCGGGGTTGGGGGAGATCCAGACTGCATGTGTCCAGCTGGTCTCTCCTTTCCCCAGGGGCTGGACTGGTGCACAGACAACCTGATGTGAGTGGGCAAAGCTGCCTTCTTCTTCCTAGAGACACTTCCTGCCCCTGAAAATGAGCCACCCCAGACTTTCGGCTCATGGTTTCCCCGGGCAGGGGAGGCAGGCTTTTTCTAGGGTGGTGGGCGGCTGGACCAAATGCCTCACCACAGAGATTCTTGTGTTTGGCCTTGGGGTGGGGAAGGGCGGGTCAGTCTCCGGAAGGAGGAGGGAAGCAGGGGATGGGGAGGGGCGAGTAGGGACCACGTGGTGACAGGAAGGCAGAAGGTGGGAAAAGTACTGCCAGAGGGCAGAGAGGTGGCTGGACATGGGCCATGGGAGCATCCTGATCCTCCCGGCCACTGTGCCAGGTGTCCCCCCGCCATGCTCTCCATCCACTGGAGAGGGGTGACAGCAGATGGAAAAACCCAACCGCCATTTGTGCAGGGCACACAGAAAACCCCCACACAGTCCAGTTGATGTAAAAAGCATAAAAACCACTAGTTTGCCAGCTCTGGGCTTGCCACTGCCTCAGGGTCCAGAAAAAGTGGCTCCTTCAGGAGTGGGGGAGGAGGGATGTTGGTGGGCCCCAGACCCCCCCCAAGGTAAGACTTGGGGAGCTTTTCCAAGAATGTAAGCAGGGCCTGTGGGCTGCGGGGGAGGGCCGGGAGAGGGGAGAAGGCTGAGAAAAAACTGACCCTTCCCCCAGAGGTTCGGGAACATGTAATCTTCTCTGACTCCCGAGGTCACCTGTGCTGCTGGCAGGTGCGGGCTGAGGGGATGGGAAATTCAACACAGGAGAGTGAGTAGCCCGGCAGGGGGGGCACGGTATGGGCAGAGGGGCAGTGTGGGCTGAAGACTTATCCCCTGAGGAGCTTCTTGGGCCCAAGCCTGCAGGGACCTTCCGGGTGGGCCTCTGCCGCCTGAGCTTGGACAGCAGTGCCTGAGGTCCAGGGGGACGGCACAGAGGTGGGGGGCTGACACAGGACTGAAAAGCACACTATTACTGGGTGTTGAAGAAATCAGGAAACCCTACCGTATAAGTGACATTTGCGGGCCGAGAGCCGTGGTCTTGGTGAAGGCAAGCCCACCCAGCTTGACGAGTTAGTCTTTACTGAACGTGGGGAGAGCTGGGTATTCTCGCGTCGCCTGGGGGTATGGCTGTTGCCGGGATTTCCTGGTACATGGAAAAGATGTTCAGGGTTTGCAGGTCTGAAGAACAGCAGTGCCTGGCCCTCACGTCTTGTCAGTGGCTGACTGGTCACCCAGTGTGCAGTTCCCTGAGGACGTACCTGTATGAGGATCCCTCAGAGCTCCTGGGCCTCAGCCTCCTTCCCTCCAGCTCTCTCCCTCTCACAATTCAGCCTCCGCGGGGCAGCCTGACAAAGATTTTAAAAACGACCAGGTGGTGAAAACATGCCTTCCAGGGCCTGGTGTACCCTTGGGGGGCCTGGCCTCCACCCTCACCTCAGCCCCAGAGCCTCCACCCACCCTTGCTGCTCTCTGGGTTCCCCTCCTTGATCTTCCCTCAGGTCCCCCTTCCAGGGCTGCCCCTCACCACCCTCACTGTGATTCTCAACCATATTTTTCTGTAACGGTTCCCTGTAGAAGCTTATTCAGAGAGTTGTTTTTCTAGTTGCTCTTTCAGGAAATCTTCATATCAAAGATATACTGAATATTTCTATGTACTGGACATGTCCCGCTGGACATAAGGTTTTCTTTTTTTTTTTTTTTAATTTTCTTAGGATTTATTTATTTATTTATACAAGCACTGGGTACGGTCAGAAGCGCGGGAGGGTGAGAGGATTCACCAGAGCCAGAGCGGGGAGCAGAGCAGGCAGAGTGACGAAATACACTGCTGAGGGGAGCAGTGGGCGGCAGGAGAGGTCTGTCGCGTCATGTGGGACCCTCGCCGGCGGCTGGGGATCGAACCAGCACTGCAGAGGCTGTGGGCAGCTTTGCAGCCCAGCGCTCAACTGCTGCGCCACCAGAGAGGCCCTGGACATAAGCTTTTCTATAAGATTTTCAAAACCTCCGCTCATTGGGCCTCCCTGGTGACGCAACCTATGAAGCTGTCCGCGGACTCTGCAGCACGAGTTCGATCCCCAGCCAGGGAGCTACCCCACATGGCGCGGTAGACCTCTCCTGACTCACCTGCTGCTGCATGTTCTGTTCCCCACTCTGGTGAATCCTCTCACCCCCCACATCTCTGGCCTGTACCCCAGTTCTTGTATGTATAAATAAATCTTAGAAAAAAAAACAAAACAAAACTCCTCTCATTCCTGTGGCTCAGGGCTCCCTCATGCAGCACCACTTGCCCCAGGGTATAAATTGCAGCGCAGTCGGGGACCTTCTGTCTCCTTCACCATCATTTCCCCTGCATGACTGGGGCAGTTGGCACTCAGAAAATATGGACAGTTTCAAGCTACTATTTAGAGCTGTTTGGCTGCAGATGCAGTGAAATGAGGGGGGCAGGGCTGAGGGCTCAGGCCTCAGAGGACAGAGTAGGGGTGACGTGGGAGAGGTGGGAGATACACAGACACAGGACCTTGGCTCAAGGGCCATTTCAACTTTTAGAATAGTGATGTATTTTTTATTAAAGAAGAGAATAAAGCATTTGTAAATATATTTCTCTCATGTATACTTCAAAGGTGACGTTGGTTGGCGCTACAGAACTGGGGAGCAAACAGGCAGAAGCCCTTCCCTCCCCCACCCCACCCCCTCCACCCCAGATGACAGAGACACACGGAGGGCTGGCAGCTGCCCAGCTCCAAAGTACAGGAGGGTTCACGATGTGTGAACAAGGGGCCGGCTGCCAGCTCTCTTCACAGTGTGGCCTGGAGAGCTAGGTGGGGCTCCAGGAAGGTCCGGCATGCTTGTTAAGAAAACCCATTTACCCATTAGGAAGGAATAAGGCATGAAGGTTCCCCACTGGGCCCTAGCACTGAGGCCAGGGCCTCGCACCGGACTGGATGGTTCCTGTGATTTCTGGGGTCTCAGGATGGGCAGCAGGAGAAACTGGAAACCCGGAAGAATTGCTCAGGGCAGACTGGGGACCTGGGCATCTCTTGCTGTGGCCGGTCTTATTGAAGCCTTAAACCACTGACTCGGCTGGGTCCTCAGAAGTCCCCCCACAGAGGTGGGAGGTTAAGAGCAGGCAGGGAGAGACCTGGTGTTCATCCCATTGCATTTCAATACTGTTCAGTGTGGGGAGAGAATCTTGGGCAGTCCCCAGTGAAGGGGGGCAGGGGAGACCTGGGACTGCTGGCTGGTGGCACATGCCCAGGGTGCTGGGGGTGGCAGCGGGTGTGGCTGGCGGGGGGTGGGCCTGTAGGGGGCTTGGGAGTGAATGAGACGTCATGGTCCCTGAGATGGGGCAGGCAGAGGTCAAGTGGGGTGAGTCAGAAGCCACTCAGTGGTTTGCAGAGATGGGGGCTCCCCAGTACCCAGACCCCTAGAAGGCTTAACGCCCAGAAGGCATTTCCAGGGACAACTGGTACTGGAGAAGGCTGGTTCTGAGGAAAACTGGGTGTACGGCTTGTGTATGGCTGCGGAGGGGCTCCCTGTTCCCCTCCTCTGATTGGCTACAGTTCTGGCCTGAGGGTTCAGGGGAGAAGCTGGTCCTCACCAGGACCTGGCTGAGTCTCCCTGCTCTGAGTGGCAGGGCCCGTCTCTGACCTGGTCAGGACACTGGGGGTCGGACAGCTGGTGCTAAGGGACTAGCCCATTGAGGTTGGGCAGAAGCAGTGGGTGGTCCGGGGGACCCTGGAACCTGCAACAGCTGACTCTGGGGTCCCCTTTCAAGTGTTTCCAGTGGTGGCAAGGGGTCAGGGAGACCTTGCATTGCAAATCTCTCAAATGCCAGCTCTCTTCACAGTGTGGCCTGGAGAGCTGGGTGGGGCTCCAGGAAGGTACCCCCTAAACCTAAACTTTAACAAAAAAATCCAACTGGTCCAGGATGGCTTCCAGAGGCCTGGCCACAAAGTTGGGAGCAAGGTCCAGGGGCAGGAAGCCAGGGCTGGAGGAGCTGGGGTTGGGGGCGTTTGGCTTTGAAACTAGAAGCTGCGCCTCTGGGCTGACTGGGGATGGTGGAGGCTCCTGGGTGGGGGCCTGTTGACCACCTCCATGTTAGCAGGGAACAGGGTGCGCCCCCACACGCTGCTGCTCCTTGGGTGGGAGTGGTGGCCATGGGGATATATTGCTGCCAAAGGGCCCCTCACTTAGAGGCTGTGAGGCCTGGGCTTGAGAGACCCAGGCCTGACCCCAGGGCTGGGGCGGGAGAGGGTCACTTGCTACTGTGTGTCTTCACTTTGGTGGCATTGATGTCCGCCTTGGTCTTCTGGATCCTGGAGAAGATCTCCTTGAAGAGCGCCTTGTACTCAGGCTGGCTCTGCTCCAACCGCTTGTCCACTGCCTCCACATGCAGGCTCAGGGTCTTCTCTCCTGCCTTGGCCTCCCCCTGGCCCTCCTCGCCCCCCAGCAGGTCCTTCCACGAGCTGTCCCGGGAGATGGGCCTGGAGGTCTGCACGCCGGCGTGCCTCACCCCAGCCCCGTGCTGCCGGCACTTGCTCAGCAGCTCCTCGTACTTCTCCAGCAGCGCATGGTACTGCTCGTCCACCTCGCGCAGGATGGACATGCCGCGCCGGCGCACGCTGTTGGCATGCAGTGTGAGGTTACCCGCGTGCCGGCTGGCAGGGTCCTTGGCCACGATGGCATTGAGTGCCGTGTCGCTGCAGCTCTTGCGCACGGCGTGGCTGGGGGAGGTGGCTGGAGAAGAGACACAGTCCTGGATGCCTGAGTCATCCCCACTGCCGGGTTGGGGGTCGTCAGCCTCAGGGGCCTGGGTGAGGGGTGCCAGCAGGGCCTCGGCCAGGTGGTCCTCCCGGCCCAGCAGGTAGGTCTTCGCCTGCTTCATCTGCTGCAGCTCCAGCAGCTCGGCCTCCAGCTCCTGCACGCGCAGGCGGCAGCCCTCCATCTGGCAGAGCTGCCGCTCCAGCTCCGAGCACTCCTGCAGCACCACTGTGTACTCGTGCTCCGCCCGCTCCTTGCGCTGGCGCTCCTGGCTCACCTGGGAACGCAGCACACCCACCAGCGTCTGCAGCCGCTCGTTCTCCTGCTCCAGGGGCTGCGGGCCCAGCTCCAGGGAGGAGCTATGCAAGCGGAAGGCATCCTCACACCTGGCAGGGAGCGGGGACAGGGGTGGTGGTCACTGCCAAGGCCCCCACACCCAGCCCTGACATTTCATCTGTCTCTAGGGCCGGAAATCCTGTTCATCCCTCTAGTCCACTCTCTGGCCCTCTCCCTGGGCTCCGCCCTGGGAGGCTGACCTCAATGGGTTGCTCCAGCCAGGCTTCCCGGCTCTCTCCCCAGGCAAGGGGAGGGCCCTTGAACCAGGAGATCACAGGCAGGAGCAGAAGGAGGTCTTGGGAGTGTCTTCCTCAAGCGCCAGACCTCCTCCTGACTCCTTTAGGCTCGGTCACAGCCCCTTTCCCTTTGCAGCCCCGGGGTGCTGCAGTGTCCCCTCGCCCAAACCTCTCTACGAAGCACCCCTCCCTTTCTCTGTGCAAGGCGCTGCCTGTCTCCTGCCAGGCCTTCCCGAGACTCCTACTACATACACAGCACGGACGCGACATGGAGTCTGCCCAGCACCAAGATACAATGCGAACCGAAAGGTTAACCCTCCTGGGTTCAAATTCTGGCTCACTAAACAGGAGACCGGGGTGAGACACAGAACCTCTGAGTTTTGGCTTCTCACCTGAGTAGTGGGGATGAAGTGCAGGCAACCAAATCACTAAGCAGAGCGGTGGGCACGGGGCCAGCACCTTGTAAGCCCCGGCTGGCTGACTGTTGTTGGCAGCGGCCGTCTCCCCGGGCCGGGACAGCGGGACAGCGCACTGAGCCTCAGTGCCCACCCTACCCTACCCTTCCTCCCGGGGCTGGCCGTGGCGGGAACTTGAAACTGCGCCCAGGGTCCCGGCTGCTCCCCCGACCCCCACCCCCGGGCCTCGCCTACCTGGGGCTGGTGCACAGCTCCTTGAGGCAGGGGAAGGTGTGGATGGTGCGCCTGCGCTCCCGCTTCTCCCGGCGCACCCGCAGCTGCTCCAGGCCCCGCAGCTGCTCCACCTGAGCCTGCAGCTCCTCCACCTGGGCCTGGAGGCGCTCAATGGTCTCTGATAGCCTGAGGTTAGAGTGGGGGACACGCACGGGAGGGACTTCAGGGGACAGGGCCAGCCCTCCTCGCGGCAGCCCCGGAGAGACGGAGGGTTAGGGAAGGTGGGTGATCTTCAGGCGGTGCCCGGACACACCCTTCTCCTGCACCTCCCAGGCCCAGCGGACACTTCCTCCCATGCCAGCTTGGTTCCTCGTACATCCTCTGTCACTTATCACCCTGCACGGCAATAAAATATTTACACGCCCGCCTTCCCTCCCAGGCTGTGCGCTCCGAGCCCGGGGCCCTGTCTTTGTATTCCCGTCACTGTATCCCTAATGCCGGAAACAGCTGGCGCGTGGCCGAAGCTTGAGGGATCGTGGCCTGTATGTTAAACCTTGCAAAACCGACAAGGGCAAACCACTGTCCTCCCAGGCTCTCGCCTGGGCTCTCGCCGGAAGCCTGAGTCACACCCAATGGGCCTGCCGCCTGCGAGCGCGCACACCCAGCCCCGGCCTCCCCAGCCTCTGCCTGGTCCTCACCCGTGGATCTTCTGCTGGGCAGCCTTGCTCTCCAGCACCAGCTTCTGGTTGGTCAGCTCCAGGTCTCGGGCCGTCAGGTCCAGCTGCTCATACACTTTGGCGTGCTGCTCGTTCACACACCGCAGAGTGTCCAGCTGCTTGGTCAGGTACTGAGGAGCCCGGAGTAGGGTGGGGTGAGTAACTTCCAGAACAAGACTTGGGCTAATGTTTACCTCCCTCCCCCCGCCCAGGCCTTCTTGCCACTTCGGTGGTGTGGTGGGTGGGGTATAAGACACTGGTACTGCCTGGGACAGTTGTGCAGGTTGTGAACTGCACAAGGGGCCCTTGACTGGTGTGTGTGTGTGTGTGGGGGAGGTGCTGGGAAGGTCTGTGTGGCCCCTCACCTCGATCTCCTGCACTTGCTCCTCGTTGGTGGAGTACATCTGCTGCAGGGACTCCTCCAGCTCCTTGTTCCTCTCCAGCAGTGTCTTCCCCAGCTCTGCGGCCAAGTGCAAGTCTGTGGGCAGGGGCAGAGGTGGAAGAAACGTGAGCAGCATGAGGAGGCCAGAGGACCCCCATCAGTGCCCTGTGAATACACGAAGGACCAACGAGCTGCTGGGCACTTGTTCTGAACATTCATTCTGGGCTGGGAGCGGGGACCCCAAGGCAACCAGGACACAGGGGCCGCTCTCCCATTGGGAGCTGGGCCTTTGCACTGCCTGGAAGGCCTGGAAGGCCTTTCCCCAGACACTCCCCGCTCATCTCTCTCCTCTTTTAAGTCTGTGCTCAATGGCCACCTTGTCGAGGAGGCCTTTCCCCAAGCACTTGATTCAAAACCTTACCCTCCCCCACTTAATTTTCCCCCTTAGCACTCATCACCATCCACCTTACCAGCCGACTTGCTCATTTATGTTGCTCATCTCCCCCCAGCTAGCTGTAAGCTCGCAGGACAGGGATTTCTGCCTGTTTCATTCACTGATATCCCCGTTCCTAGGCTGGTCCCCGGCACAGAGTAGGTGTGAAGGAATCTTTTTGAAAGAGTGTGATAGGAGCGTCCACTTGGGATGACAGATAAGGCAGAGTGAACTCCTGCTGGGCACGGTGGGAGGTGCAGGCAGCGGCAGCCTTGGGGGGGTACTTGGAAGGGTGACTTGGGGTTCACTGAGAGGCAGCGCGACAGAAAGCCGGTGGACTGTGAGAATGCGGTGGGGCCTTGGAGCTCTTCAGCCCAAGCTCTTGTCCTGTGGATGGTGGACGGGAGAGCAGGAGGGAAGAATGACCTGTGGGTCACGGGCTGGGGTACGGCTGTGCCGGGAGAATTCAGGACTCCTTTGGCCTGGCCGGCAGGGTACTGCTTGGTCCTAGTGCCATGTCTTCTTTCCTTAGGCAGCAAAACCACCCTCTACCCCCAGCAACTCTGGTTCTTGTATCCTCTGGGACAGGAACCTCCTCCCGCCCAGCGCAGCCAAAGGTAAGGAGCAGCTATCAGAGAGGCATGGAGGGGATCTGGCCTGCTTGAGGGGGGCTGTGTGGCAAGGAGGGGGCGGGGCCAGAAGGAACTGGCCAGTACAGGAATCCCTAAGAATTCTCTCTAGTATGGGTGGAGTCGTGTGAGGGTACCGAGACATTTGGGGTGGCTATTCCCCCATATATCAACACATGCCTGATCCTTCTTAGAAACCCAGGGAATAACATATTTGTACATAAAAAAAAATAAAATAACATAAGTGTGAACTGTTTATAATCTGTCATTCCCTGGGTTTCTAAGCGTTCGGCAGTGATAGGAATGCCCTCAAGTGGCCATGGTGGTGGCTGCGAGCCTGTGAATATGCAAATGACCACTGAGCGGCAGGGCACTTTAAAGGAATGAATGATACAGGGTGCAAATAATATCTCAATAAAGCTGTTTTTGTGTTTTTTTTTTAAATGGTTGGTGGGTTGGACCTCCCTGGTGGCACAAGGTGTTAGGACGCAACATATGAAGCTGTCTGCAGTCTCTGCAGCATGAGTTTGATCCCTGGCCGGCCAGGGAGCTACCCACATGGTGCAGCAGACCTCTCTTGACTCGCCCGCTGCTCCCCTCAGCAGTGTATTTCAGTCAGTCTGTCTGTTCTGCTCCCCACTCTGTCTCTGGTGAATCCTCACCCCCTGCATTTCTGGTCTGTACCCCAGCTCTTGTATGTATAAATAATAAATCTTTAAAAAAATAAAATTCCGCCTATACACCCACATGCACAAATGGACGCACGTGTAGATGTAGTGCTGAATGCAGACTCCAAGGCCAGCGGAAGGGAGCAGTGCCCTAGATGGGTCCTCAGACAGGGCGCCTTGTCTGCTTGGGCTGAATTCACAAGTTTGGCTTCTTTTTAAAACAGCTTTAAGGTGTGTGTGAAGGAGCACTTGATGTGAAAACTCAGGCAGTACAGAAAGATTAAAAAACGGTGACAGGGCCTCCCTGGTGACTCGAGGGGTTAAGTCGCAGCACTATGAAGCTACCCGCAGCCACTGCAGCATGAGTTCGATCCCCAGCTAGGAAGCTACTCACATGGCGCAGCAGACCTCTCCTGACTCGCCCACTACTCCCCTCAGCAGTGTATTTCAGCCAGTCTGTCTGTTCTGCTCCCCACTCCGTCTCTGGAGAATCCTCTCACCCTCCCACGCCTCTGGTGTGCACCCCAGCTCTTGCATACTTAAATAAATCTTTAAAAAAAAAGAAGTGATAAAAACTTACTTGAAAGCATCTCAGGTGCGCGCGCCTGTCTATAGCTCTGTAGCCATAAATGAACGGACGGGACCCAACGTGTAGTATTAAAACTACACTGGGGGGGCCTCCCCGGTGGCGCAGCGGTTGAGCGCTGGGTTGCGAAGCTGCCGGCAGCCTCTGCGGCGCCGGTTCGATCCCCGGCTGCTCCCCGGCCACCGGAGGGGGGTCCCACATGGCGTGCAGACCTCTCCTGCCGCCCGCTGCTCCCCTCAGCAGTGTACTTCGGTCCTTCTGCCTGCTCTGCTCCCCGCTCTGGCTCTGGTGAATTCTCTCACCCTCCCGCACTTCTGACTGTACCCAGTGCATGTATAAACAAAGACCAAACAAACAAATAAATAAATGAACAAACATGCCTCTATTAAAAAAAAAAAAAAAAAAAAAAAGATTTAAAAAAAAAAAAAAAAAAAAACTACACTGGGGGGAGAGGGAGAGGGGGAGGCATGGGAGGGGCGGGGAGAGAGGAAGCAGAAGACAACACCTCACCTAGAGAAAGGTGAGGCAGGGTGCAGGTAACCCCCTTCCCGACAGCTCTCTGGGCATCAAGCACCTAGAGATGCTCGAGGCGACCGTGTTTCCCACACCCGCTCCTCCCGTGCAGTGACCCGCAGGGCCGGCTTTCTGTGTCAGCAGCCACAGGGTCGTTGCTAGATGAGCATTCTGTGGCACACAGGTCCCTAAATACAGTCGCAGGCCCTGGGAAGCTATTTTTATGGGCGGCGCTGGGCCACCTATGACCTGCTCCAGTTTTCCACTGCTGAGAGGGGCGGCTGTTGCGCCCGCGGCAGCGCCCGTGACTCCTTTTGACTGAGCCCCTGGACAGCGCCCTCTCCCCTGCGCTTGGCCCACTTGGTGTGGGGCTCCCCATGGCCCCGGGGGTGGGAAACCCGCCAGGTGTGAGTGCACAGCTGGAAATCGGTATTCCCTTCATCAGGTGGTACCTGACTTTATACCTTATTGTTGGACTTTTTAGGGTGTTTTCCATTTCCTCTCTATTAAAAACAAAACTCTAAGTTCATGATACAAACACCTTCATGCAAAGCACTGCCTGTGTCCTGAGGATACTTTCAAAGAAATGATGATTGGGCAAAGGCAGGTCTATTTTTTTTTTTAAAAGATTTATTTATTTATGCATACATGAACTGGGGTACAGGCCAGAGGTGTGCAGGGTGAGAGGATTCACCAGAGACAGAGTGGGGAACAGAACAGGTGGATCTACTGAAATACACTGCTGAGGGGAGCAGCAGGCGAGAGAGGAGAGGTCTGCTGCGCCATGTGGGTAGCTCCCTGGCCAGCCAGCGCTGGGGATCGAACTTGTGCTGCAGTGGCTGCAGATAGCTTCATAGGTTGCGTCTTAATCCCTTGCGCCACCAGGGCAGTCCAGGCCTATTTGATTCACTCTGCCAAAAGGCTGTCCAGGAAAGCTTGGGGGGTTCTCCCACCTTGGTTTCTTAAAACAGCCCCCCAACATTGTTTAAATCCAGATCAAAGCAATCGGAGGCAGCTCTGCCAGAGAGGGGTGGAGGGCAGTGTGATGCAGACCAGGAATTCAGCCCTTTGTCTCTTTTCAGACAGGGATAGTTCCAGGTTCCCAGGGGATGGGCAACCTCTGCACTCTCTCCCGCAGAGCATTATAGAGTGGTTCCAGCTGATGACATGGTAGGCCTGGAGTGGGGAGTTTCCTTTTGAAGAGCTCTGACTGGGGGGGAGGGGCACTGGAGAGCAGAGGCCCAGGCTTCTTTCAGCCAAGCTGGACATAGGGTGGACCAGAGGAGCCTGGTCAACCACCTGGCCTGGACAAAAAGCCAAGTCGCTGGTCAGGCAAGCACCTGGAATCTGCTCCTATACCCAGAAGTGAGGTGTTGAAATGACCAGAGTGGAGCCTTCAGGCTGGGCTTATGTCAGGGGAAGAAGGGGGCTGTGACCAGATGTCACCCCGAGGAGTTCCTGGCTGAGAAGCAGCGCCAAACTATTCTAGAGCAAGGCTATCTAACAGCCTGCAGAAACAAAAGCAGTTTTCCAAATACCTACCGCAGCTATTAAAAAACCCATTAAATCATACACATGACACACAAGAACTTGTAACCCTGAGCAATTAATTTTCTGCTGAGGATGCCAAGAAAAACTAGTCAGTCACCTAATACAAACCCGTGGTGGGGGGAGGGGGATGGAGACACTCGCAGATGAGTTTATTAGCCAGAAGTTGTGCAAAAGTCTGGAGCTGTCTGTCGATAAAGTGCGACGTCTGCACTGCAGCCCCACGTGATGCTGTGTGCGTGGCAGACATTTGGCCACCCCAGCTCCTGACGAGGGAGTGACATCGTCTGCCCACACTTCATGATGGGATGGCGGGTGTCCCCGGACACTCTCAAAGGATTCAGGTCTAAGAAAAAAACACACTCCCCGGGACAGTCAGCTGGTCGAGGAAGAGGCCAGTGCTACTAACGCTGCCTCCTGTGTTGGCATGGGGGGTAGGCCCCATGGGTGGCCTGCGTGGTGCCTCGAAGCTTAACCTACAGAGCCAAGGTCAGAGGCGGAGGAAGGAGAAGTCAGGGACAACTGCACTCTGTTCTTCCTCCCCAACGAGCGCCTGGGGGTGTGCATTCCTGCTGCGGGGGACTGGGCAGCTGCAGGTCACGCTGTAAACCAGGAACACTGAAGCTGGCCCTGTACACAGGCCGCGAGAGTGGCCTGGGCTGCCCAGTGGCTCAGAAACGGGAAGGGAAACAGTGGAAGCTCTTTGGGGTGGGGAGACTCCGGGAGGCCATGGCAGGGAAGCTGGATCAGAAAGCTAAGCTGGCCCGAGTTGCCAGGAGGGATCACGAATGAAGTTTAGAAGCTGCAGAGCAGGGGACTGGGTGAAACCAGGGCTGGGGAGAGGACACCAGCCGGGCGGTGTCCTTCAGTCTTCCAGGAAGGTGCAGCTGCCCCGTGGACACAGGGGCGGGGAGGCCTGGGAGTGGGAGAATGGGGGAACTGGCCACAGCAGAAGGGGAAGTCGGAGCAATAAAAAGCTTATCACAACCAAGTGAATGGTCGCCCACGCCAGCGTGGGCACTGATTGAACTGGCACATTCCAGGCCCTGGAGTTTTCTGGGGTCTCCTGCAGTGGCCTTCAGCAGTTCTGTCCTCTGAGTGCCTGTTGAGAAGCTGGCCCCGCGCGATGCCCCAGAGGCCTCAGAGAGAGAAAGTGATAGGGCGCAGGCGCAGCGAAGAAGAGACAAAGATAAAGGGGGCGGGAAGAGGGAAGTCAGCACCTGGCAGGCCTGCGGGGAGACACTGCCTCCAAGACACAAATGTGAGGAACTCTGGGTTCTCAGAATTGGGATTCTGTCGCCTCTCTCCACTCAGCGCGTCAGAGCTCTCCCCCTGAGGCGGAGACTCAAGGTCAGGCGTCCAGGATTTCAGATCTGACTCAGCAGTCATCTCTCAGTCTGGGAAGAGGGACCCTGGTCCAGGGTGGGGAGGGAGGAGCAGAGCGCGGTGCTTAATAATTAATGGCTTTTTCTATTTTTACAAGCGCTTCTGGCCACAGGCAGAGGGAACAGTGAGACTCGAGGCCCTGGCTCGTCCCTGTCGCTTCCGTCCATGGGGACAGAACAGCATCAAAGTCACGCAGGAGCTTGATGGCCAAGTGGAGCGAGCTCAGGGCATGGGAAAGAGGCACAGCGGGGACCAGGCTGGCTGAGCTAAGTCACTTTCTGGACCACTCGGAGGCAACCAGGGAGCAGCTGGGCAGGAGGGCGTGGGGATCAGGTGTGGGAAGGAGGACGCGACAGGCACCTCACCCCCAGTGTGGCTGGTCCTTGGCCCAGGCTCACCCCACCCAGCCCTCCATGTCAGACAGAGGGGATGGTGCCACAGAAGCTGCACCCAGCACTCTCGGTAACTCCCACTCTCCAGCCCTAGCAGTCATTCCCACTGCTCCCCACCTCGGCACCAGCGCCCCCTTCACTAGACGCCTGCCCCAGAGCCCCTATTCTTCCTCCAGCTCAGACAGGGTCTGCATCAACCTTCCCGAGTCTCTGCTCACTGCGGCTGGTGAGGGCTGCTGCAAACTCCCTGTGGCTCTGTCATGGTTGCTAGTTGGACCCCATTTCTGCCTTCCCTGCTGGAAGGTAGAGTTCCCTGGGGACAAGAGATGGTGTCCCAGGCTCAGCACAGCGCTGAGTGTTTGGATTTTGGTGAAAGCTCTGGTTTCTCCTGAGATGGTCTCATTCCTGGTTTTCCTCCTTGTTTCTGAGCTCTGGCCCTGCTGGGTTTTGCAGTGCAGCCGACAGCTACAAGTCAGTAAGGGCCAGAGAAGCAGGGTGCTGAGCCCACCCCCCACCCTAACCCCAGAGCCGGAACCCCCAGCCCAGCTGGAATCTCCACACCTCCTCTCTCATCCCAGGAAGCAGTGCATCTCCCACCCCCACTCCAGCGCCATCCTCCCACATCTGGGGCGGGCATGGTGCCAGAGACATGTTAGGGGTGCGGGAATGAAATGAGACAGCAACAATGTCAGCATCTGCCTCTCCGGAGGCCATCTTCTCAGGAACTCAGCCTCCAGTCGTTCCTTCTAGGCCTGCCTCCTCCTTGAAGCCCTATCACTGCATCCCACTATGCACACTCAGCTATAGACTCACGTCCATCTGGGTGCGGGGGGTGCTGTCAGGGGGCCAGGGCTGATTCCCAGCTCTGACACTTCAGTGGACCCCGCGTGTTTGTGGAATGCAAAGTTTGGGGGTTGTTGCAGCCAGTTTTGGGCATCTCACTCCAGGCCAGGAGGCTCAGGAGACTCCAGCGCATGGAGTACAGCAGCACCCCCCACCCCAGGCTCTGATTAACCCACAGTCCTGAGCACAAGGACAGAACCTCATCTGCCAGCTGCACCGGGAGGGGGGTCAGGGTCAAGAAACAGGCTCCAGGATCTGGTAGGTGCCTCCCTTGAGGGCAAAGCCAGGCCTCGGGGGCCCTGAGGATGGACTCTGGGAGCGGTGGCTGCTGGCACACTCGCTGGGTGACCGGTTCCCTCTCCCTGCCCCTGTTTCCTCGCCCCTGCAGCTCTGCCCATCCAAGATGGAGCGGCTTTCGGCTTTCGGGGGCAAGAGACTCCACTCCCCCAGGCCCGGGCCTGACCCTCTCAGGCCTGCTCCTTCCTCTCCAAACAGCCCCACCCTGCTCAGAGTGATGTCACTTCGGCCACCTCACCGCCCGCTCTGACCCCGTCCAGCCACCCCCTCTGCTCTCAGATGGGCGGTGGGGGTTGATTCCTTCTTCATTCAGGCTCCGCTGCGTCTCAGAATCTCCTCCAAGTCCCCCGCCATCCGGGAGGGGCAGGGAGGGGCAGGGCCCGGGACCCCCCCTCATGAGGGCCGCCAGGAGACTCCAGTCTGAGTCCCCCCGCGCGCCCCGCGCGCCATCCCTCCCCGGGGAGAGGAGAGAGGAGTTGGGAAACTTTCTGGGAGACTTGAAAGTCGGGGAGTCAGGAATCCGGGCAGGGGCGGGCGCCCCGGGTGTGGCTGGGATAACGTCCCCCTCGCGCAGCCACCGGCCAGCGGGGCGCAGAGGGGGGGGCGCGTCCCGCCCCCAGAAACTTCCTGCGGCGCGCAGGCCCCACAACACCGGGCGCCTCCAAGAACCGGGCGGGCGAGCTGGACGAAGAACGCCGGGTTGTCGGGGAGAGGGGGGCTGCTCCCCCACTTCCGCAGGTGTCGGGGGTCGGGCCGGGCCTCCCGGACAGCGCCCGCGACCGCGGGTCCCCACTCCTCGGGCGCATCGCCCCCCCCGCCCCCCGGGGACGGCGCGGGGTCCAGCCCGGCCCCTCCCGGGGGTTGTCGCCCAACAATGGAGCGGCGGACGAGGGTCTCGGGGCGCCCCCCCCCCGCCTTCCCGCCCCGCGCTCACCCTGCTCCAGGTCCTGCGGGTCGTACCAGGGCTCCTCGTCCTCCGCGAGGTCCTCCATGCCCGCGGCTCTCCGCATGGCGCGCGGCGGGCGGCTCAGGGCCGGGGCGCGGGCCGCGGGGCGCGGCGGCGGGGGCGGGGGCGGGCCGGGGCTCCCGCGTCGCGGCCTCGGGCTGCAGCGCCCCCGCGCCCCCTCGCCATCGATTCCCCCCGCGCGGGCCGCCCCGGGTCCTGCGGGGCCGGGCGCGCCGGGCGGCGGCGGCACAAAGGCCGAGGGCGGGGACCGGCGGCACCGCGGCGAGGCGGCTCGGGCCCGCCGGCCGGTCTGCGGGTCTCGGGGCGCCCCTGCCCGGCTCCGGCCCGCGCTGCCCCGCCCGCCGCGCGACCCCCCGCGCCGCCGCCGCGTCTCCGCCCGCCCGCCCCGCGCTTCCCGGCGACCCGCTCCGGGGGCGGGGCCGGCCGCCGCCGGCCACTCAGGAGGCGTATGCAAAACAGGGGGCGTGGCCGGGGCTGGGGGCGGGACTGGGGCCGGGGCGGGGCCGGGGCGGGCCGGGGGCGGGGCCTCTGGTGTCCCCGACAGGCTGTTGTGGACCCACCCCCCCTTCTCTCCACGCCCGACTGCAGTTTAGGGCTCGCTGAGATTATTTTATTTTGTTCACCTATCGTTGTGGCTCTCTCTCCAGGTCGCCGGGAAGCAAGGATCTCGTCTCTCTCGTTCACAGTTGGCTCCTCAGTGGCAAGAACTGGCTGGTTCATTACTACCTTCTCTGTGTGCTCTTTGAAGAAATGGATATTGATTTACAATTTCCTTTATTGAAGAAGTTGTGTTTAGATGCCTTTGGCAGGAAACCTTAGGTCAAGAGTGGCGAAGGCGTGTTGCCGGTATTCTGTCTCCCTTTAAGGTCCTGTTTCCCTCTCCTTGGGATTCCTGTCCTATATCCAATTATATCCATAAATAGTCTAACCTACCCAGGCATTCTTTCCCTAAAGGAGTTTTTAGACCCGAATATTCACATGAGTGGTTTTTATTTGGACCTATCATGTGGGTACTGTGGAGACATCCTGAATATATCCAAGTCTTAACAGATGTGCCAAGTAACTCCAAGACAGGACTAATACCCAGAATGTAGTAAGGACACCTGCAAATCCACAGGAGAAAAATAGCCCAGTAGAAAAGTGGGTGAGAGATTCACCAGACACTTCACAAACGAGCAAGTGACCCAATAAACATGTAAGATGCTCATCTTTAGAAGGATCAATACCTACAGGGGAAGGAAAGGAAGCAGGGGTGGGCAGAGGGAGGAACTGGATCGGGATGTGGCTTCAACAAAAGCCTCCCCCATTCTTGGAGACCTTTGAATCTGGGGTGACCCTTCAAAGCTATTTCAAGCAGCAGTGGGGAGTGGGCTTTTACATCCCCAATACATGTCAATCAGTCGTTGTATGGATTGCAGGCTGTCCCTGGGAAGTAGGCGCCACCATGGGCAAAGGGGTCTTCCTCTCTTCTCAGAGAGGGGGGCAGCAGAGTAGAGCCTGCAGCCCTCCCAGCTGCCCAGGAAACACCAAGCAGAGGGAGGAGTCTGGGGGATGCATCATAGCATCCACCACAGCTGTATACCCTATAACCGGCACTTCTCCTTTGTTGTGGGACAGACACAGATACACATGTTAAACACGGCTTGCACGAGACTGTTCACTGCTACTCTGTTGACAGTAGCCCAAATTAGAAATAATCCAAATGTCCATCAATAATTGTATTGTATTGAATAATTGTATGAATATGAATAATTGTATTGTTAGAATTTAATGCTAACTGCAAATTAATATTGATTCATGACACACATGTTCGTGTATAATAACTGTGGGGTATTTGTGCAATGGAATATTATACAGCACAAAGGAAATGTTGAGTGAAAGACACCAGACACAAGAGTAAATACTTGTATTGGTTTGCCTATTGTTTCTGTGACGCATCACCCAAAATTTAGCAGTTTGAGACAACGCAAGCTTGAGACTATCTTCTGAAGGTTACAAGTCTGACATGTGTCTCCATGGGGACAGCCAGATGTTGGTAAGGCGGTGTTCTTTCTAGAGGCTCCGGGGGGAAAGTCTGTTTCTTGCTATTTCTGCTTTCTAGAGGTTGCTCACATTCCTTGGGTCATGGCCACTTTCCGCCTTCTAAGCCATCAGTCAGCTGACTCCTCACGCTGCAGGGCTGACTCTGCCTCCCTCTTCCACTTTTAAAGACCCTTGTGATGACACTGGACCCACTAGACCAGCCCAGCATAATCTCTCATTGTAAGGTCCTCAACTTCATCACATCTGCAAAGTCCTTTTGCCAAGTAAGGTGACATATCTGAAGAATCTGAAACAAAATAACAAAAAGGACCTGGGGGTTAGAATGGGGACACTTTTGGGGTTCATGATTCCGTTTACATGAAGTTTAAACCTAGCAAAAACAAACAAACACAAAACAATGTTACTCTAATCAGGATAGCATAGGGGCTTGGGGAGATACCGCAGAAACCCTGACGGACTGGGAGTGTTTTATTTCCTGAACTGGGGGCTAGTTACTGGTGTGCTCATTTGTGAAAATCATCAACTGCAAACTTGTGTGACATGTGCACTTTCCCCAAATACAGGTTATACTTCAATAAAATCATTTACTTAAGAAGAGGGAAAAAACTACCCCATGACTGAAACTCAGGCAGCCTCTGCCCTTGAACAGCTTCCCTTCTAGGGGATAAATAAATGGTTGCAACGAGCACCATGAGGAAAATGAACAGGGAACTGTGAGAGAGTCTGAGGGAAGGCTGCGATTTGGTGTTTGGGAAAGTCTCCCTCAACAGAGGACAGAGGATGGAGACTCAGGTGACCTACAGTGCTGGGCGCTTGGCCTGACTTGGTTCATGAGAACCCGAGGTTCCTGGCCTATGGGCCCACTTCCTGTGCGTTCAGGCTATTCCCAGAGGAGGAAATTCAGATGGGCCTTTGCAGGACATTCCTCAGCCTCCCCGGCAGCCAACAAGCCCTGGCGTCCATTTCTGGCCTTTTCTTCTAACTGGGTCAAAGCTGGGTAGAGAGCCGTGCCCAGATGGAGAGCTTAACCTACCTGACCTAGGTCCCCTCCAGGCTGGCACCTGGTCTGCATGTCAGGCGCACCTATGGTGTTCCCTGTCCGGGGCATCAGCAGTGGGCACTGATATCAGGCCAGAGCCCCTGGGGGCGCCATGTCCTCCGGGCCTGGGATACTCTGACCCCCCTGAGCTTGGCTTCCCACCCCGGGAAGCAGGAACGCTCCCCTAATCCCTGGACACGCGAGCCCACCTCCAGATGCACCGAGGCTGGGGGCGGGGGAGGAGAGACGCGCCCTCCCCGGGAGCGCCGAGCTGGCAGGGCGGGACCGGGGCCGCGATGTGACCGATGTGCCCGCCGAGGTCTGTCGCCGGTGCCCACCCCAGCCTGGCCCCGACCCGCCCAGCCCGCCGGAAGTGACGCGCGCGGGCAGCGCTGACGTTGGAGGGTCTTGGAGGCTCGGGGAGGCGCAGGGGCCCCGCCCCGCCCCGCCCCGCCCCGCCCCGCCCGGGAACCCTCACCACCCCAAGCGCACCCCAAGTGCACCGCGCTTCTTGGGGTGAGGTCAAGGGACCCAGCGACAGCAGGACACCCCCGCAGACCTCGCAGCCCTCCTGGTCCCCAGACCCTTCCTTCCAGCGCTGGACACGCTGACCTCGCCCCAGCTGGGCCCCCACCAGCCTGAGGTCAGCGCCTGGCGCGGTAAGGCGCTCAGTATATCTGAATGAGTGAGGTCATCTGGTGTCCACCCCACCCTCCCAGAGCCCGGTGAGAACAGCTGCCTGCTCTGGAAGGGAGCTTGCTGCAGACGCTCAGGGCCTTGGGTCAGGAAGTGTACACCACAGAGTGATCTTTAGGACCTAGTGTTGACCCCCCTCCCCGTGGCCTCACCTCATTCCTTCAACCTCCTCCAGGGGTGTTGGGAGGAGGCCAGGAGTCCATACTTGCCAGGTGCTCAGTCCACTGGGCCCCGAGCGCCCTGCACCTCGCCAGCATCACCTGCATCCTTCCTCTCCACCCAACCTGTGGCCGCCTGGGTTCAACCCTTGTCATCCCTTATCTCCCAGCGGATTCCCTGTTTCCAGGTCACTTGATCTCCCCTGCAGCGGCCAGAATCACTTTGTTAAGACCCAAGATAGAAGCTCTTCCACTTTGGGGAGCTCTGCACCTGGTCTGCCGCTCAAGGTTTACCCCTTGTCCTGCACTCAGTCTGGACCCGTGATCCTGTTCTCCAGATGAACCGGGTCCTGTTCCAGGCCCTGTACACTTTGGGGTCTGCCTTCTGCTCGCTGCTCTTACCCGCATGTGAAGCAGCACCCATGGGTCCTTCCAGACCGATTTCACTCTTCTCCATCTGTTCCGTGCTCAGGAGGCTGAAGCTTTGTGGGCTGGACCAGTGGGCTCTCTTGTTGTCTATGGGTCCACCGATGGGAAGCGCCAGCAGGAACTTGGGGGGCAGGAGAAGAGTTAAGGTGGGGTATCTACCCCACAGCTCCCTCTTTCCAGGTGCCTGTCTGCCCTCTGCTGCAGCTGGCTCTTTCTCTGGGTTCTGATGACCATGCCGCCCCTCGAGGATGGCTGAGGCTCCCCACTGCTTCCAGCCCCAGGTGCTGCCAGGCCTCTGTTGGTTTCCTTTCTCCGTGAACATCACCCCTTGATTAAACTCTCTTGGTTACTCTGCCCGCAGTTGCGTCTGTTTCCTGTTGGGACCCTGATAGATGCCTGTGGTCAGCCTCCCGGCATTAGCCCCACCTCCCACTCCCTGGGGAATCCCGCTCCCTGTCCCTCCAGGGTCCTGACCAAACTCCCACTCTTGACTCCATAACTCCGCATGCTTTCTTCTGTCGGCAGGGGACACTGTCTTTGTGCTCAGGCCTTAGCACCGGCAAAGCACCTGGTTTAATACGTGCTGAGCCATGTTTGTTGCTGATTGCTGGTTGAGCCCAAACAATGGGGCTCAGTGAGGCTATGGCCGTCACAGACCAGTGAATCTTGCTTCATGCTGAGCCCAAAAGTAAGACAAGGAAGACACGACATGTTTCCCTATGGGCAAATCATAGATAGCTAAGCGCCTACTAGAGAAACATTAACTGAATAGTGTAAGTATCTTCTTTCAACTTTCAAAAGCTGTGTTTAACGACATATTTTTTCTGTCTACATCCAGTCCTTGTTCTTTTTTTTTTTCTGTTTTTTTTTTTTTCCCCGAGGCCACCTGCCCAGTCCGTTCTTAAACATTTTTACAACATTCATATTCCAGCACACACAAAGGTAGAGAGAATACAATGACTCTATCCCTTCCCAGTGCAGACGCAACATTGGCCAAGATCAAGATGCCGGCACTTTAGCTGCATCTGACCTGCCTGTTCTTAGCTGCAGTATTTTAAAAGCAATCCTGGTCATTAGGTCATCTCTCTCTGCACGCTTCTGCAGGCATCATTAAAAAAATAACCAGAGCATTTTTTTTTAATTTTTAAATTTTTTTAAGATTTATTTAATCATACAAGAGCTGGGGTATAGGCCAGAGATGTGACGGGGAGATGTGAGAGGATTCACCAGAGACAGAGTGGGGAGCAGAACAGGCAGACTGACTGAAATACACTGCTGAGGGGAGCAGTGGGCGAGTCAGGAGAGGTTTGCTGTGCCCTGTGGGTAGCTCCCTGGCCGGCCGGGGATTGAACTCGTGCTGCAGTGGCTACGGATAGCTTCATAGGTTGCATCTTAACCCCTTGTGCCACCAGGGAGGCCCAATCAGAGCATTTTAAAGACACCACCCTGGTGGAGCTAGGGCGGATGTTAAGTTTAATTTGAACACAGTGAACAATGGGGGGAATGAACAGGTTTGTTTTTTTTTTTTTTTTTGACCTGGCTGTGTTCGTGGTCATGTACCTAAAACAATGTTAACATTTTTTCCATACCAATGGGGTGAGAGTGCATAGGGATGGCACAGATTTCCTAGCCATCACACAAGATTTTTCCGATGTGCTGAATACCCACAGAATGGGAGCAGTCCTGTGCATGGACTTCTCCCATTGGAGGGAGAAGATGGATAAGAGAAACAGATGCCTTTAATCCATCCATGAAGGCTGATGGGAAGGGAGAAATCTATGGGTGGCCAGTAATATTTTGGTGCAACTTGGAATTCCTGGTTGCAGATCACAACAATGTGACTGAGAGATGGGCAAGACCAAAGGGTTCCCAGTGACTCCCCCAGTAGCAGTTACTTCCTGCTGCTGCTAGTCATTTTTTAAAAATTGAGTTTATTAAATATTATTTACATGAAGTAAAAGCCAACTCCCTCCTCCTGCTCCCAGTCCAGGACAACCACTGATCTGTTTTCTGTTCCAGTGTTTTGCTCTTTCTGGAAAGTCACGTAATGATATAAAATAGTACTTGCTTCCGGTGGCTCCCATAATGCAGTTGAGGCTCATCCACACTATCGCTGCAGGCATCAGCAGCTGGTCCCTTTGTATTACTGAGTGCCAGTTCCCGAAATGGATGAGCCACTATCTATCCACCGGATGATGGACATTTGAGTTCTTTTCAGTTTTTAGTGATCATGAATCGAATTGCTATGAGCATTTGCCTATAGACTTTTGGTGTGGTGATCTGGCTTCGTTCTGAGTAAAATACCTCTCATGAGATTATGGAGTTATATAGTAATTGCACATTCAACTTTACAAGAAAATATAAATATTTGGAGTCCTTGCCAGTTCTTGATATTGTCAGGTTCTGCTCCTCTCCCCCCAATTGTCATAGCTATATATTCCTTGTCAAATTGTGGTTTCAATTTGTATTTCCCTAATTTCTAAGATTAAGAATTGTAAATGTCCCTCTGGCCTGAAATGGGGTTGACTATCTTGTAGAGTTGACTGGATTAAAAAAAAAAAAATAACAAAGCACGATTTCTTCCTTATCTTGGAGTGATTAGAAAAGCTATGAGGCCTGCCCAGGATTTCTCACAGGGCAGGGAAAACCCACCTCTGCTTGGAGAACAGAGCTCTCCTGTGGAGTCTGCTTCCTTGCTGATGGTGTCACCCCCACCCTGCCCCTGCCTCCACACCTGTCCTGCCTCTGTGCCACCCTTTCACTGCCCAGATGGTGCACCCTCATTTTCACCTGCTGAATTCTTACTTTAATGAATTTTCACTTAGGATTTCCCAGGTGTAGCATGCAAGGTCATATGGGGAAAGTGCACCCTCTTTTGGGGCCAGGGTTGGATTTTCTGTTTTGACTTTTATTCCACATAGTTGTCTGATTTGACATTTTCTCACATGTAAAGCGGGGATGATCCCTACCTCAGAGGTAGGTGGTTGTCAGCGAGACTGTCCTCACGTTATTGTTGCTGTTCGTTTGCCTCTATCAAAGGTTCACTGGGCGGATCATGGCTAATGTTTTCCTTGTTTCCCCGGGAGCTAAATGGTAGCCAGCAGTCCATCAACACATGTGTTGAAATGGATGGATCTAAAAGGATTTTCAGGGAAGGCAGGTGGCCAGAAAGGAGTTAGGGGGTGGGGGTGGGGGTGGGGGTGGGAGGGTTGGGGGGTAACTTTCGCTCTCATCATTCCTGGGAAGTTGCTTTTCTGGAGGGGTCTGCGTAGGGCTTGGGGCTGGAAGAAACTGGGCTGCCTGGACACCGGGTTTGAGAGGCCAGAAAAGGGGGACCAGGATGCTCAGGAGGCAGCAGGCCGAGGACCGGCTGAGAGGCAGCGGCCGGGTGATGGCGCCGGGATGCGGGCGGGAGGGGGCGGGAGGCGGGGCCGGCTGCGGGCCCCGAGGACGGGGTGGAGACCGGAGAGCCGGGGCCCGACCCCGTCCCGGCGCAGAAGGGGGCGCCGGGCCCGGGGCCGGGAGCAGGACGCGGGCGCGGGGCCCCGCGGGTGGGAGGGGGCGGCCGGGGCGCGGCGGGCGCGCGCGGCAGGTGCGGGGGGCGGGCGCGGCAGGTGCGGGGGGCGGGCCGGGGCGGGCCGGGGCGGGGCCGGCGCGGGCTCGCGGGCGGGGCGCGCCCTCGGCTCCGGCGACAGCAGCGCGGGCGGCGGCGCGGGCGCGGGACCCCGGCCGGGCGGGGGCCGAGCGGGCCGGCGCGATGGGGTCGGCCGACTCCAAGCTGAGCTTCCGGAAGGCGGTGATCCAGCTCACCACCAAGACGCAGGTGCGCGGGCGGCTCCCCGGGCCGGGGGCGGCGCGAACTCGGCTGGCGGGGACCGGGGGGCACCCGCGGCCTCCGAGGGCGACGCAGACGCCGGGCCCGAAGCGGGGCCCCTGGCCCTGTGCCCCGGGCTCCATCCGCTACCCTCCGCGCGCCCGGCCTGCGCTCCGGAGCGTCCCGGCCCCGCGGCCGCGGCTCCCCCAGGCTGACGTGTGCCTCCTCCCGAGCCGCCGCCCCCAGCCCCCGCGCCCGGCTCAGCCTGGCAGCTCCGGCCTCCCTCCGGCACCCCCGCCCCCCCAGCCCCCCACCCTCCAGCCCCCCTCCCGGCCCCTCGGTGCCGGTGGGTCGCGGGCGCACAGACTCGGCGGCTGACTCAACGCAAACAAAGCCGGGCCGGGGAGACAGCTGGTGCGCGGTGCCGGCGCCTCCCGGGGCCCAGGTCGATGCTCGCGGCCAAGAAGGCCCAGATCTCCCTGGGAACACGCACTGAGAGGCCGGCGGGGAGGCAGCCTGGCAAGGGGACCTGTTTCCCGGCCCTTGGAGTCGAGTTTCCTGTCTGGGGACCACCGCTTTAGGGGGCCCCTCTTCCGAGGCCCAGGGGTGAGGATGACGGTACCTGAGGGTACCCTCTAGGCTGGGCATGAGGCTCCTCCTTATGGGCCTTGACTGGCTGGTACAGGGCCTGAGGGGGTGTCTTTCAGCCTGGTCCACACTCTCACAACCCCCTGAGTCCACAAGGGTGGCACAGAGGCCCCTCCTGCCCCCAGCACACAGGACCTGACCCCAGCGAGGCCCACCCCTTCTCACCTCACCCCTGAACCAAGCTGCTCTGGGCATAGAGATGCCCCATCCTGACTCCCCCAGACCCACACCTTCAAGGGAGTCAGGACCTGCTGTTGTCTGGGATTTTCCTGCCCCGCTCCCCAGGGCCTGCTCTTTGCAATTAGAGCGGGTTCAGGGCACCCCTCTCCAAAGCCAGGCTCTGGTGTCTCATCCCCATGAGAGAAGGGGCAGGTGCCGCACATGCCCAGGGCTCCCGGAGAGTCCAGCCCCAGATGAGAAGCGTGATATAAACCAGACCTCACTTCTCGCCACTCGCCATGGCTCTTGGTTCATTCTGGCACTTTCTTAGGGCAGGGCTTCTTGGTCGTGAGTAGCAGGTGGGCCAGGCCCTCTTTGTGGGCCCCCAGGAGCAGAGGGAGGGAGGGAGGCTCCTATGTTTACCGAGTGCGGAGGGAAACGCCTTGTTGGAGGAACGCCTTGTGGGTTGTTGGCTCAGAGCTGGGGTCCTTTGCCTGGCCAGCACGACTAGCTCAGCCAGGCCCCAAAGGACCAGAGTGTCCTAGATTCCTATCTGTCCTGGCCCCCTCCCCAAAGTCCTCTGTTGTCCCGGGGTTCTGCCCTAGAACGGAGCTGACTGAGACAATACCACCCCGTTTCCCAGCCAAGGGCTATGAGTTGGCTTGGGACAAGCGTGAAGCTGCAGACAGCCTGGGTTTCCCCATTAAGTCCCCGGAGAGTACTGGGGCCCTGGTGGGGGGCAGAGGGGAGACTGGGCTGCCCGGAGGGAGAAAGTCAGGTGTGGAGAGCTGACTTGAGGAGCTGGAGAGTGAGGTCTAGATCCCAGATGATCCTTCCAGATCTTGCCCCTTTGTGTCCCCATGGAGATTCAGGCCTGCTGTCCAAGGTGTCCTCTGACCCCAGAGCCTCAGAGCAGAGAAGCCCACCCAGCACCTTCTTGCATGGCCTGTGCCTGGCCCAGGCTGCCCTGCTCGCCTTCCTCACAGCCTTCCTGCCCTGCATCCTGTTTTCTTCCTGCCCTGGGCCAGCCTGACCCAGGTCCGGGCGGCCGGCAGCTTTGCCTGTGCTTCCTGACTCTTTCCCAGCTTGAGTGGGGCCCAGATCCCAACTCTTGGAAATTCTCTGCCATAGGCATGGAACCCTAAGGGGACCCTGTTTCCATGGGAATGCCGTGGCGTCCCACAGAGCAGGTGACTCCTAGCAGGCTAAGCCCCTGCTGGTTCTGCACGCCTTTCCTCAGAGAGGTTCCAAAGAAGCAGCCGGTCCCCAGGCTGTGGGGAGTCTGCCCCCAGCCCCAGCAGGTGCTGGCAAAGCTACCAGAAAATGCCTGCTTTCCCCCCAGGGTAGCTCTGTCCCTGTGCACATGACCCAAAGGCCTGCCTCCCTCCAGCAAAAATCCTTTATTTAAATTAACTGGATTGGATTTGGGAAGATTCCTTGGGCCCAGCTGCAGTACTACAGGCAGGAGCTAAGTCTTGTCCCTCCCCTCAGAAGCCCACAGGGCCATGGTGGGCCTCGCTAATACCTCTAGCCTCAGGCTAGCCTGGTGGAGCCAGTAATGGCAAACAAACTGAGGTGACAGGGGGACCAGGAGAGGAGGCCCAGCTTGGGGATGGAGGTGGTGAGAGTCCCACTCAAGTTCCAAGTCAGTTCCCATAACTGGGGTCATTCCTCGCTTCTGGGCGAGGTGACCCTGGGGCCTCCTAAGCCTCCACTTTTCACATCCAGTCCCCAGGTGGCACTTGTCTGATAAGACAGGTCAAAAGTCAAGTCTAGCTGCTGTTCAAATGAGTTTCCACCCCTTTAAGGGCGGGTGGCCACCTGGGAAAGTATCAGAGAAGGGGCTTCCTGGAGTGGCTCCCAGATGGGGTGTCAGGTGGCCCTCCTGGCTGAGGGTGTGAGGGCCAGCAAGCCCAGCCCCAGGGCCTTCCTTTGGCCTGTTCCTCCCCCCAGCAAACTCACCTTACCAGTCCTGGGGCCCAGCTGGCACTGCTTGCCAGGTCTGCTCAGAGGGCTTGGCCAAAAGCTGGCGATAGCCTGGAGGGCAGCTTTGGGAGTGGGCCAGGGCTTGCCTGGACCTTGCTCATGCTTGTGACCCTGGTCCTGAGTCTGGACAGCCCACTGGTGCTTGGCTTTGCCCAGAGAGCTCGCTGAAGTCGCCTCCAGGATTAATTACAGCTAAACAAGTATTGCCTGAGCCTTTGCCGTAAGCTTCATCTGCAGGGTCATGGAGAAGGGCTGGTTGGGTGATGGGGCTGGAGGCAAATGCACCAAGACCTGTGGAGTCAGGGACTATGATGAGTGATTGTGGGGGTGAGAGGGGGTGGGAGGGGGTGGGACTCGAGGTTCCAACGTGAGAGCAAGTCTATCCGTCTGGAGTGCTGGGAGAGTCCGTAGAAGGAATGACTTTAGAAAAAATTTAAATGTGATATATGTGTATTACCTGATGGTAAAAGTAACGCATCTTTGCAGATGTGTGGAGGTAGCGTGTCCCTTTAACAGACTTCAGAAAAGGAAAAGGTTAGGATGATTGGAGCAACCCAGAAAGACCTCTTGGAGGAGGTGATAGTCAAAAGGAAAGAGTGCCTTGGACACACTGTGCCCCCATAAAGGAACTTGCAAAAGGGAAAATATAATAATATGTGCACTTATCGCAAAGTACAAAGAAAAATGTAAAAGCCACCGAGAGATAATTACTGTTAACCTTTTGCTTTATTCATTTCTCATCTTTCATTACTATATAACTGAATGCAAAATTATGCTCAGCTGATAGTTTTATATCTTGTCTTTTTCATATAACATTGTATTGTGAGCATTTCCCACTTGTTAATATTCTTTGAAAATGTGATTTTTGATGGCTGCATAGTATTCCCGTACAGGTCTGTGCCCTCTCTTTTGAAGCATTCCTTGATGTCCCTTAGGCTGATCCCAGTGCTTCACTGTTAGCAACAATGTCAGTAAATCAGCACACGTGCTTGCTGGCCATCATTTCCTTAGGAAGTGTTTCTAGGTGAAATGTTTAATTAAAGTGGGCTGCCTCCGTGAAAGCCTGGGTGATTCAGAAGGCATAGGTGTGTGAAAGGCACACGGCCCAAGGAGGGCCGGCAGGTCTTTGATATCTGTTGGAAGGGGTGAGCATTCTAGAAGAGGGACAGTCAGATGGTAGGGTTGGTCCTAAGGATCAGAAATATGTGTGTGTGTGTGCATGTGTGTGTGTGTAGGTGTGTTTGGGTAAGATCTCGGCCACACAGCACACAGTGGTGGTTGCAAAGGTCTCTGTGAGGGGGCAAGTGCCTTCAGCCCTGTACTTTGGGATGTGGATTGGGGGTGACGTGAGGTGGGACACTGGAGGTTGAGCCCTGGCAAGAAGTGGCCGTTGGCTGGTGTTGGGCACCAGGGAGCAGGTGCGAGTCAGAGGGACTTGGAGGCTGACTCCTTCAGCTCGGCATCTGTTGGGCCTTCTGTGGGGAGTCTGGGCTGAGGGGCAGCGGGGGTGAGTGGAAATGAGCACAAGTCCCCTTTGTCTCCTCCCTAGGGCAAGAGGGCACAGCCTGGGTCTGGGACCCTGGACACTTGACCTGGGACATCTCCGGGGGGAGGTTTGGTGCCTTGCTAGGAGAAGCTGTGACTTACCCAGGGTCCCACAGCCCCCCCGGGCACCGGGTTAGGCTTTGACCGCTGAACTCAGGGCCCAGCTGATCTTTGGCTGCCCACACCGAGTGTTCCCAGGGTGCTGGCTGGGGCTTGTAGTGGCTGATAGTGTCCCCCTGCTGGAAGGCTCTTAGGTGTCAGCAGGGATAGAGTAGGGGGCCATGACTTCCCTCTTGGGGGCTCCCTTGGCAACAGTCTGGCCAAACTGTGTGCCTGTGACCAGGGGTCATGTAACTTTGGACACTGGGTCCCCCCACAGCCCGTGGAAGCCACCGATGATGCCTTTTGGGACCAATTCTGGGCGGACACAACCACTTCCGTGCAGGATGTCTTTGCACTGGTACCGGCGGCCGAGATCCGGGCTGTGCGGGAGGAGTCACCCTCCAACCTGGCCACGCTATGCTACAAGGTGAGGCCCTTCCCACCATCCCAGGGGCTGGAGAGGGCAGGCGCCAGGTCCCTCACGCCAGATCCGTGCATTCCCCAGCCCTCCCTTTCCTCCCCCTCTCGCAGGGCTCTGGGGGGACAGGGTCTGACCACCCCATTTGTGGTGCTTCCCTGGGCCACACCCTGCTGAGCACTTTCCACAGAGCACCTCGCGTCGCTCACCCTGTGGTCAACACCGCTCGTGTGGCCATTTACAGACGAGCAAACTGAGGCCTGGCCGGCTCAGCACTAGCCAGGCCGCAGCCAGCAAGGTGGCCCGGTGCTCAGTCCTGGGTGCTCCCGGCTACGCTCTCTCCTGTGGCCTGTCCCGCAGGGCTGGACAGGCCAGTCGGGAGAAGTGACCTCCACCTGCAGCCCTGCTGTCTCTTCCTCTCTGTGGCCAGGGGTACCCACCCTGACCCAGTGCTGGACCCCACTGCTCACCGGCCGGTGTGCCCCTCTGCCCACCCATAGGCCGTGGAGAAGCTGGTGCAGGGCGCCGAGAGCGGCTGCCACTCAGAGAAGGAGAAGCAGATCGTCCTGAACTGCAGCCGGCTCCTCACCCGCGTGCTGCCCTACATCTTCGAGGACCCCGACTGGAGGGGCTTCTTCTGGTCCACAGTGCCCGGTGCAGGGCGAGGCGGGGTCTGTGTCCTTGGCGGGGGCTGGCTGGGAGCTGGGCCACAGGCCTCCAAATCTCTTCCAGGGCTTGGGAAGTACAGGTTGGGGGGCTGCTGCTGAGAGGGGTCAGTGGGTCTCCCACAGGTATGCCCCTACTCCTGGGTTGAGATGGGGGAGCAGGGCTGCAGTGCGTCCTAGAGGGAGAAGCTGTCCTCTCCCCTCCAAGACCCCCCCCCAACACCATGCCGTCTCTGAAAGCTGGCTGAGGGGTGGGGCCTGCTGGTTCCCGGTAGTTTGGGGACACAGCCTTGTCCCTCCCAGTCCGTGGGATGTCTCCTGGCTGCATCCAGCCCCACTTCTCTCTCTGGCCCCCTTTTGCCTTGAGAGCTTTGGGGTGACCATCAGTCCACTTTCTTTTCCTTCTTCCTCTCCCTTCATCCTTTGCCCATGAGTGCCTCGACCCAGTCCCACCTGCCTCCCACCTGGGCCACCTCTCCTTGGCCACCATTGAGGCAACCTGTGGGAATCCTGTCTCGAGCAGGTAGAGGATGATGATGAGAATGCCCGGCCCCTGGCCGAGTCCCTGCTCCTGGCCATCGCCGACCTGCTCTTCTGCCCAGACTTCACGGTCCATAGCCACCGGCGGAGCACTGTGGTGAGAGTCCCTCCCGCCACTCCGGGCCGGGGAGGGCGCTGGTTCTGGATGGGAGCTGGTTGGTGTTCCTGGGGCAGGATTTTCTGAGGGCAGGGGCTGCAGCCAGAGCTGGCTGCCTGGCACGCGTGGTCCCGGGAGGGGCAGTGGCTGGCACAGCTGGAGAAGAGCCAGCTGTGGCCCAGCCCTGCCTCCTGCATCCGGGAGCTGCACACAGAAGCCCATTGTCTTGGTCTGGGTGGTGGGTGCGGGTGTGGGGCTTGGGCACAGGACACCTGGCCCTGTCATTTCCCGTGGTCCCCGGATCTGACCTTGAATATCTTCTACCCTCCCACCCGCCACCCCACCAGGGGCACCCAATTTCATCCTCCTCCTAGTCTCCTTCCGTCCCTCCTTCTCTCTCTGTCTCAAACTGTAAAAGAACTAGACTGAAGAAAAAGCTTTCAAGAGGCCCGAGAACATTCATTTCTTCCCCGTGCACAAGCACCTGGGCCATTGTGAGGTTCTGTCTGAGGAGAATATGAGGGTCTCTGTCTTCAGGGATGGCAGGGGACCTGGCAGGACACCCCCAGGCTGATCTCCCCCTGATTCTGTTGCAGGACTCGGCAGAGGATGTCCATTCCCTGGACAGCTGCGAATACATCTGGGAGGCCGGCGTGGGCTTCGCTCACTCCCCTCAGCCCAACTACATCCACGACATGAACCGGTGAGCTTTGCTCCAGCCGGGGCCCAGGCCCACCCCGCCCGGCTCAGGGGGAGCCACACCTAGGGTCCTCCGGCAGGCCCGTGGCCCACCCTCAGCCTCAGGGATGCAACAGGGTCATTTCTTTCCTTGGACTTGAGCCAGGGCGGGGTCTAGAGAAGTGGGGTCTTTGGGTACTGGACCTTTCCCATAACCCCTTCCCAAGGATGGAGCTGCTGAAGCTGCTGCTGACCTGCTTCTCGGAGGCCATGTACCTGCCCCCCGCTCCGGAGAGTGGCAGCACCAACCCGTGGGTGCAGTTTTTTTGTTCCACGGAGAACAGGTGAGGCCCCATGCCCCCACCTTCCTTTCCTTTCCTTCCTCCTGCTCCAGGCAGCCAGCCGGGCGCTGGACAGCGGGTCTGAGTCGGGAGAGGTGCTGCCCCCTAGTGCCAGTGGCTTGTGCGTCACAGGCGCGCCTGCCCGGCCGTCCATTGTCCCAGTGGCCCCTGGGTGACCCGTTCTGCGTCCCACGCCTGCGGCACGCTGGCCAGTAGGAATATAACGCGGGCCACACATGGGATTGAAATAGCCCCGATAGCGCTATTTGCAAACGCAAAAAAAAAAAAAAACAGGTGAAATGAATTTTACTCAGGTATTTCACTCAGCCCAAGAGCGCGGGGAGCCCTGCGTGTGCAACCCGGATGCAAACGGCCGAGATGTTTCCCAGTCCCTTTGCATGCTAACTTTCCAGAGCTCGGTGTGTAGTTTACACTTACAGCTCAGCTCTGGGGACCCGCCACACTCAGTGTAGCTTGTATTGACTGATACCATCGCGACAGTGGGTTGGGAGGGGGTGTAATGAATACCTACCTGGAAGGATGGGGGAGCCAGCCCGCCATGGGGTGCTCCAGGGCTGTGGGGGCTCATGTGAGGAGATGGAGGAGTCTCCCAGCCCCTTGATGGGATTGAGCGTCTGAGCCGTTACATCCCCTCCAGCTGTGCCCAGAGATTAGGGCCCTGGGGATGGGAGCGCCCAGGGTCGTGGTTCACTCGCTTCTCTCTTACCTGGGGGCCCCCCGCTCAGTTTCCCTGCGGAACGCCCCGTTCCTTCTGCAGGACTTGCTGGCTTCCTGCCCAACTTTTCTTGTTCCAGAAGGGGAGGGAAACCCGACAGCCCCTGCAGCAGCCGTGGCCCAGGGCTGGCCGGTGCTCGCTTTCTCACAGCTTTATCAGGCAGAGAGCCACCCTTTGCCACCCACTTAACCTCTCTGGGGCTCAGTTTCCTCATCTGAAAGATGAGGCGCTTGAACCCTGACATCCAACAATCTCTCAATCGAGTCGTTCTGGGGCGGGGAGCTGGTGACTGAGCGTAGGCTCTGCTGCCTGAGGGAAACAGCCTTCCCTGGGGCCTCCACCCCTGCTCTGAAACCCCGGGGGAGGGTCCCTGCCACTCCTGGGCCTCAGGGGTGTGTCCCTGGATGTTAACCCAGGCCCCCAGATTCTACAACACAAGAACAAACCCCAGGGTGGACTGTGGACTCAGGGTGATACAATGTGTGGGTGCAGGCCCATCAACTGTGATACTGTCCCCCTTGGGTGGGGGATGTTGATAATGGGGGTGACTGTGCATGTGTGGGGGCAGGGGGCATGTGGGAAATTTCTGTACCTTCTTTTCAAATTTGCTCTGAACCTAAAATTACGCTCAAAAATAAAGTCTTTGAGAAAAAAAAAAAAGAATAGGCTTCAGCCCTCCTGGGGCAGGAGGGGAGGGGAATCTGAGGTGCACACACAGTTTCCTACACAGAGCCCCTCATAACTGGCCATCCTACTCTTGGCAGTATATTTCTTCTGCCCTTGGCCTGGCCTGGTCCATGCCAGGTGGGTAAGGAGGAGGAAGGGTCTTTTCTACTCAAAAGGGAGTCCGGCTTTTGGGGACGGGCTTCCAGGGCAGGGCCTGGTGCTGAAACGCTTGCTTTGGTGAGGAAAGAGGTGGCTGGGGGTGGACGGACGGACAGACAGATGGCTGGAGGGAGCCGGGGCTGGGGGCACCTCGGCAGCCTGGCCCTCCTCTCCTGCTGCAGACACGCCCTGCCCCTCTTCACCTCTCTCCTCAACACCGTGTGTGCCTATGACCCTGTGGGCTACGGAATCCCATACAACCACCTGCTCTTCTCCGATTACCGGGAACCCCTGGTGGAGGAGGCTGCCCAGGTGCTCATTGTCACCTTGGACCACGACAGTGCCACCAGCGCCAGCCCCACCGTGGATGGCACCACCACAGGCACTGCCATGGATGATGCTGATGTAAGGATGGGGGTGGCGGGGGTGGCCCTGCCAGGGTGTGAGTGGGTGGCACCCCCTCTAGCAGAAATGGGGTGAGGGGCACCTCGTGGTGAGCCTAGGCTGAGGGGGCACTGCTGCGGTCACCTGGACCTGGGGTAGGGATGGGGGGATGGCACCTGCTCACCCCAGTCTCCATCCTCCGTAGCCCCCAGGGCCTGAGAACCTGTTTGTGAACTACCTGTCCCGCATTCATCGCGAGGAGGTAAGTTGGGCGCTGCCCCTGCTCTGATGGATTCTCTGCACCCACCCTGCACAAATAGTTAGAGTCTTGCAGCGGGGAGGAGGTGCACAGGGGTTGGGGTGAGGGGAGTCCTGACGCCTCCATAGAAACCCTCAGTCCGCAGGGACTCGGACTACCCCAGGTGCTATAGCAACAGCAGGCTCTGCGACTCTGAGATGCAGAAAAGGGCCACTGGCCTCGCCTGGGCGGGCATAACTGGCAAGGCTTCCAGGAGGAGGAGGCACTGATGTCAAGTTTCAGAGATGGACTTAAGTCATCCTCGGGAAGACCTGAGCTCTTGTGTCTTGTGACTTTGGGGCTGGGTCTTGTGCTCCCAGAGCTGGACAGGCCCCTGCGTCCCTTCTCCAGGACTTCCAGTTCATCCTTAAGGGCATAGCCCGCCTGCTGTCCAACCCCCTGCTCCAGACCTACCTGCCCAGCTCCACCAAGAAGATCCAGTTCCACCAGGAGCTGCTGGTCCTCTTCTGGAAGCTCTGTGACTTCAACAAGGTGAAGCAGCTGCAGGACCCGGCATGGGGGGGCTGCTCTACATGTGTAGGGGGGTAACGCCCGGGGATACTGATGGAGGATGGGAGCGGGGCAGAGCTGCCCCCCTTCTAACCTGCCCACCCCTCATTCACCCCCCAGAAATTCCTCTTCTTTGTGCTGAAGAGCAGTGATGTCTTGGACATTCTGGTCCCCATCCTCTACTTCCTCAACGATGCCCGAGCGGATCAGTGTAAGGCGGTGCAGGTGATGGGGGGGTTCCTCGAAGGGCTTCCTTCCCCCTTCCACCCCCCTCCCCAGGTGACCCCTCTTGTGCCACTTGCCGCAGCTCGGGTGGGCCTGATGCACATCGGCGTCTTCATCCTGCTGCTTCTCAGTGGGGAGCGGAACTTCGGGGTGCGGCTGAACAAGCCCTACTCGGTGCGCGTGCCCATGGACATCCCGGTCTTCACTGGGACCCACGCGGACCTGCTCATTGTGGTGAGGGAATCCCTCGGCCAGGGCCGGAGGTGAGGCCTTCTTGGCTGAATCTGGAGGTGGCCGGGAACCCACGACGTCCCTTTGCCTGCCCATACAGGTGTTCCACAAGATCATCACCAGCGGGCACCAGCGGCTGCAGCCCCTCTTCGACTGTCTGCTCACCATCGTGGTCAACGGTAGGGTCGGGAGCCCGCCCTGCCCATGCTCACCGCCAGGTGGCGCCAGGCCCCAGGCTGACCCGGGGTGTCCAGCAGCGGGGCTGCCCAGGGCACAGGGCCCTGGCGGGTGGCCACATAAAAAAGGGAAAAGGAAAGAAACAGGCGATAATAATTCTCTAATATATTTCCTTTAACCTGCTGCATCCCAAATGCCATCATCTCAGCACATAAACTGTAAAAGAACTGAGGCATTTCATATTCCTTTTTTGCACCCAGTCCTCAAAACCAGGTTCACAGCTGCAGTTTCCCTTGGTTAGGGCCAGATTTGTTTCAAGCGCTTAATGGCCGTAATGCCTCGCGGAGGCCATGCTGGACAGCGTGGGTTTGGAAGAGCCCAACAGGGCTCCGGAAAGGGGTGGGCGCTCCGGCTGGCAGGGGTGCGGGGCCCAGCAAGGGGGGCCCAGGCTGCGTGACTTCAGCAGGGCCGCCTTCTGGAGAGGATAGTTTGGGGTGGGGAGCGACTGGCTTCATGGTCTTGGTCTGATTGGCACCCGGGGGGCGGGGGGTGTAGGCAGGCAGGAGGGCCTTCAGTGCGGGAGGACTGTGGCCTCTGGGGTCAGAACCACGCTTTCCTCACTGGCTTGCTCCCACAAATCTTAGCTGCGTGCGGCTGAGCGTGAGCAGCATCTGTAAACAAGGGGGCCACTGCCTGTACCCCACCTCGTGAGGGAGAAAGACACGAGCCAAGGATGCACACAGACCAATATGTGTCTTCTGGCCATGTGCGCGGCGCTCATCTCTGATCCCCTTCCCTGGCCTTGCGAAAAAAATAAACATGTATCTAATTATACGACATCACCTTGAGGTTCTAGAAAGACAAAGATCTTGAATTTGTATGCGCAGTCAATATTTTATAACTGGAGAATTTCAGGCAAGTGTACGAATTGAGGAATTTGAGCCTCAGTTTCCTCGTCTGTAGAATGGGGCTGGTGGCTGTGTCCCACCTTCCTCCCAGAGGTGCGGGGAGGCTGTCCATGGTGGAGGGCTGGGGGGACTCTGCAGGTGTGGCCAGTGTGACTTTGGCCCTGGGGACTTAGATTCTGGCTTATGGGGGGTGCACAGGCAGGGGCAGGAAAGGTTTGGAGTAGGAACATTGCACCCACTCAGGCCCAGCCGGTACAGGGGTGTCTGGTGGCCTCAGGAGTGAGCTGACCCCTCCCCACAGTGTCCCCCTACCTCAAGAGCCTGTCCATGGTGGCTGCCAACAAGCTCCTGCACCTGTTGGAGGCCTTCTCCACCACCTGGTTCCTCTTCTCGGCCGCCCAGAACCACCACCTGGTCTTCTTCCTCCTGGAGGTCTTCAACAACATCATACAGTACCAGTTTGACGGTGAGGCCTGGCCTGGGGCGGGATGGAGCAGGGCATGCTGTGGGCAGGGACACCACCCCATTTGAGGTGGGCATGCCTCTCTGACCCCCATATGTCTGTCCACTGTGCACTGATTGAGCACCTGCTGTATTCCAAGCCCTGTGCTGGGTGTGGGGGGCATGGTGGAGAACCCCATGGTGGAGAGTGCCCCTCCCCATGGAGCGTGCATCTGGGATGGAGGTACGGAGGGAGGTTGTAAACCCTGGGTCACCTGGACAAAGAGCTCGTCTGAATCCGGTGACAGGGAAGTTGGGGGCGAAATGGCCCTGATGAGTGTCACAGGTATGGCCAGGGCCTTGCCACTATTAGCTGTGTCACCAGGGGCACGAAACCAGCTCTTAGAGCCCGGGTTTCTCCATCAAGGGGACAGTCACCATAGTAGTACTGAGTCCCTGTCTTGGATGGCGTGGGGGAATTTAGTGACAATATCCACAAAAAGCACCTGGGACAGAGCCTGGTGACCTCAGTAGCAGCAGTTACTGTCATTTCCAAAATAAGCGAAATTTGAACTGATCTGTGGGGCAGGGGTGGGGTGGGGTGGGGCGGAAAAGATTTCGGGGGGGGGGCAGGGGCAACTCGTGCCACTGGGGTGAGATGTTGAGCTGAAAGCAGAGAGGAGAGGCGAGGCAGGGGCTGAGAGGGGGACGGGTCTCCGCTGGCCCAGAGGTGACCGTGTCCCCTAAGGCCAGGCGCAGGCCATGCCGTCCTCCCTCCCTGGTGGCCTGGCTCAGGGGTGGAGTCCAAATACTGACCAGCTGTCTTGTGAGGACCCTGGCATGCTGCTGGCCCCACTTTGCCAGGCGTTACCCTTTGAAACACTGGGCTGGAGGCGCCCTCCCTGAGCGGGCACGCTCCCTCTCCCCAGGCAACTCCAACCTGGTCTATGCCATCATCCGCAAGCGCAGCGTCTTCCACCAGCTGGCCAACCTGCCCACCGACCCCCCCGCCATCCACAAGGCGCTGCAGCGGCGCCGGCGGGCACCCGAGCCCCTGTCCCGCACTGGCTCCCAGGAGGGCGCCTCCATGGAGGGCTCCCGCCCCGCTGCCCCTGCTGAGCCGGGAACCCTCAAGACCAGCCTGGTGGCCACCCCAGGTTCGGCACTGGCGGGTGGCAGGGGGTGCGGATACTGACATGGGGGGAGCCTTGGGGGCATATCCTGTCCTGGCAAAGAGAATAGGCAAAGGAATGGGGGAGGGGTATTGGGTGGGCCCAGGAGGGGTAGTCTGGACAGGGGCCCAGGCCTGGGAAGGGGTGTGAGCTCTGGGCGGGGTGGACCCAGGGGAGCAGGCTCCCCATGTCTAAAGTGGGTGGAGGAAAGCTGGGGGGCCATGCAGACCTTCCTAGAAGGGGCGGTGTGGCAGTGTCCTTGTGCCCCGCGGCCCCCAGGCATAGACAAGCTGACGGAGAAGTCCCAGGTGGCTGAGGATGGCACCTTACGGACCCTGGAGCCTGCGCCCCAGCCCAGCTCGGCAGACAGCAGCCCGAGCACGGAGGTGGGTGACGGGCTCCTGCGGTGGGTGGGACTGGCACGCCCTCTCGCCGCAGCCTCTGGCACGGGCCAGGCCAGGACGCTCTGGGGTCACTGTAGCAGAGGTCAGGCGTCCGGGGTTGGCACATGACTGGGGGGTGGGCAGACCCCTCCCTTGTTTGATGGTCAAGGGCTTGAGCCTCATCCATCAGCCTTATCTGAGGCTGGGCTGGCCTTTACCCAGCCTGCCCAGCCGGCCGCCAGCCCTAAACCTGTCACCCGCTTGGGCTGGGTCGGGCAGGGCCGGGGACCCAGGGCAAAGGGTGCTGGGCTGGGCTCCCCCTCCACTGGGAGCCAGCCCCCCCACTCTCTTTCCCACCCCAGGACCAGGAGCCCAGCCAGGCCTGGCGGGAGCAGCGGCGGCTGTCCAGCGCATCGGCCAGCGGGCAGTGGAACCCAACGTCGGAGTGGGTGAGGGGTTGGGCAGTGGTGCCGCGGTGGGGGCTGGGACAGGGGCTCCTGGCCCCAGGAACAGCTCAGTGCAGGCTCTTTGGGGGTGTGTCCACATCCAGGGGCTGGGCTGCCTCCAGACTCAGGGTCAGCCCTCCCTGCTGACTGGACTTGGCCTTTTTGGCTTGGTTGTTTCGGGTCTGCGCTGGCCTGGAATTCACCCCAGGCTTGCGGTCCAGGTGCCACTGTGCTAACTTCCTCAACAAATCTGTGCCCCTTTTCCCCCCATCACTTGCTCACTCCCTGCGTCCCCCATCACCACGAATCCACTTGTACAAGCCGCCCTGCCTGGCCCTGCCCGGGAGGGTGAAAGGGGCAGGCGCTGGCCCGTGGCCCCTGGTACCCAGCATGGCTCACTGTCCCCGGCCCAGGCCCTGCTGCCATGAGCGAGGCCGCCTTCTGCCTCGGGGACGCAGCGGTTTCAGGTCAGGGCCAGGTATGGGGCGTGGGGCTGCCTTCCCAGCCCAGGAACCGGGTCCCCGCAGGTGCTATCCTGGAAGTCCAAGCTGCCCCTGCAGACCATCATGCGGCTGCTGCAGGTGCTGGTCCCCCAGGTGGAGAAGATCTGCATCGACAAGTGAGGTGGCAGGCGGGGGGCATGGGCCCGCTTGGCAGGGGGTGGCGGGGGCACGAGCCACTGGGGTCCAGGTGAGCCCCAGCAACCCTTGACCCTGCAGGGTGGGCTTTCCCACCGGAGGACACAGGGGCCCTCTCCTGGCAGGGGCCTGACGGATGAGTCTGAGATCCTGAGCTTCCTGCAGCACGGCACCCTGGTGGGGCTGCTGCCCGTGCCACACCCCATCCTCATCCGCAAGTACCAGGCCAACTCGGGCACCGCCATGTGGTTCCGCACCTACATGTGGGGCGTCATCTACCTGAGGTGGGTCCCGGGCCCGTCTGCTGCCCACGGGGGCTCGGCTCAGTGGGCTCGCGGGCTCGGGGGCTCGGCTCTGTTCCCGCCTTCCAGTGGGGTTAAAGCAAGACTGTCATCGGGGGTCTCGTCTCTATGAGGGTGGGTACCCGCTGCCTGGGGTGTGGTGCCAGGGCAGAAGGGTTTGGGCCTGACTCGCCCAGTCCCACCCCCAGGATTCCTGCAAGGTCTCCCAGCACCCAGGTAATACCCACTCCCTCGGCAGGAATGTGGACCCACCCGTCTGGTACGACACGGACGTCAAGCTGTTTGAGATCCAGCGGGTGTGAGGACGGCGGGCTGCAGGGAGTGGTCAGCAGGGCTGGCCAGGCCCTGGTCCCCCGACGCCCCGGCCTGCCACTGAGCTTTAAGTGACTGCGATTCAGGGCCAGGGAGACAGGGTGGTCATGTCCTGGGTGGCGGCCTCAGGGCCCTGGTGTGGACTGACTCTGCTCGCCGGGGAGCACCACAGGGGCCGCCCGTCTCCAGGGCTGCAGTCACCCCCAGAGCCCTCACCTCGCTCTGGCTCCCCGCAGGCCCGTTCCTGGTCCTCAGTGCCCGCCCAGCTCCTGCGCTGTCCCCTCAGAGGCAACAGATCACTGTGCCCTCCTGCGGGCAACCCAATAGGGCCGTGGCCAGTCCCTGGGGGCACGGGGCAGGGAGAGGGGAGTCCTTCCCAGACTGCTAGCCTGAAACCCCCTGGTCCAGGCCAACACCCTCAGGAGGCAGAGGGGCAGTGAGGCTGCTCATGGGGGGCCAGGGGCTGGTCGACTGCAAAAGCCTGACTAGGGGACCTTGTGCATTTTAGGGGCTCAATTGGGGGCTGAAGTTCTCCTGCTATCTTCTTTCGGGTCAGCAGTTACAACCTGGCTCCCTCTAATCCGGTAGTTGGGAGAGGGAGGGAATCGGGGTAGGTGGACCAGGGCGGTCCTCCTGCCCCCGCCCACTGTCTGGATGGCTGGGAGAGAGCGGCCCCAGGATGCCACCCTCCTTCCCCCTGGCGCTGGCCCTGGTCTCCCCGCCTCACCTGTGTCAGTACAATCTTTGCTCTGTACAATCGATCTCTTTACACAATAAAACTGTCTCCATGAGCTGGCTCTGTGCTTGGGCTGAGGTGCCTGTCTTCGGGCGCAAGGACTCTGCCTCCTCAGCTCGGGCCCCAGAGGCCTCAGCACGTGACTCATTACTGGGCATGTGTCATTTTCTTGGGTGGTAAGTGGAGGATGGACCCTCCCACCCAGGACTTGGCCCTGCTCCATGGCCACACGGGAGAGTTGAGGGGCCTGTCTCCCAACTCCTGCAGGGCCCCCCACTAGGGCTCTGCTCACTCCAGACAGCACCGAGCAGTGCTGGGGGCTCCTGGGGCCCTGCCCTGTGCTGGCCAGTGCCTGGCCTCACAGGGAGGGTTCCAGAGACATGCAGAACTCCAGCCCCTGGGCACAGCATCCTGTTTGCTCTGGGCTCAGGGAGATGGGTGGGTGGTCAGTGCCTGCTCTCTCCACCCATTGGCTCCGAGGACCTGGCAAGCCTGGCACCAGAGGCCACAGCTCCCATGGCAAGCCAGCTGCAGAAAGTCACCTGGTTTCTAGCAGTGAGAGGGGGTGTGCTGGGGAAGTGGGGGGTGACAGCCCTGACCTCTGTCTTCCAACTTCCTGCCACTATCAGATGAGAGAAGGACTGGCTTAGGCCCCTCCTGGCCCAGACACGGGCCTGTCCCTTCCCATGAGACGTAGCGTGGCAGCTCTGCCCCAGGAACAAATGCCACGAAGCTGAGTGCAATCGATCAAACAAACAGGGTTTATGGCAGCCTGAGAGAGCTGTTGAGCCCCGCCTGGCAGCTAATTAATGAGCTCAATTGGAGATTGGGTGTGGGGGGGGAGGGACAGGGGTGCCTTGGAGCGACTGGCTTCCAGGGTGCCCCTGGCTGAGTGAGTTTGGACCCTGCACCCTTCCCACAGCAGGAGACCCCGAGGCCTGACTGGGTAGAGGTGCCCCTCGCCAAGCTGTGCCGACTGAGTCACAGAGGGCTGGCCTTCCCCGAGGGTGCTGGGGGCCTTCCGGTCACCCTGGGCTGTCCTGATTATGGCCATGAGCAGGGCCAGCACGTGCCCAGCCCTGGGCATCAGAAACAGGGTGTCCCGTCCCAGTCCTTGGTCTTGCCTCTCCCCTCTCAGTGGGGTTCCAGGGAGGGGAGGTTTTTTGGGGGGAACCCAGGCTGGTCTAGACTGCCCAGAAGGGCGCATCTGCTCGGAGATTCTGGGTGACCTTCTCCTCAGCCTTGGCATTTCAGGGTGTTGCTGGGGGTGAGCTCCCTGTGCCTCCTCAGGCTCCCAAGTAGACCTCCACCAGCCCCCCCACAGAATGCATGCGGTAGAAGACCCCCAGAGGCAGGCCGAAGTTGACAATGGTGAACCAGGTCCGGTAGCCATAAAAATCCTTCTCCAGTCCGTTCTCAAACTCCGGGTGTATGCCGAAGGCAGGCATCATCCACAGCTGGGGAGGAGAGGGGATTACTGAGTAGGGGACGGGACTCTCCTGGCCTCAAGATGCTCCTCTCAGGAGAGGCAGGCTCCTGCCTGCAGCCTCTCAACCTCCCCCATCCCCTCACCTTTGAATTTTCAGAGCCAGCCCCCTCCCCCAAAATCGCCCTCACCCCATACCACCACCACCTGTTTGGCTGCTGGTGCTACCTGAACTCCAGGTGGGTCACGATGCCTGCTTTGCTCAGCCACCCCGGGCTCCCCTATTTCCAGCCTCAGGCCTCTGCTGGGACTCCGGCCCCGCCTTCTGTCAAATTCTCATTTCTCAAGATCCCAGTGAAACCTCCAGCAGCGCCCTAGGCCCTGGGGCCTGCACTTCTTCCTCTAGGCTCACACGCACCGAGGGCCCATGGAGCTCTCAGACTCCGCTGGGACTGGAGCTTCCCCTACTTTGCCTGAGAGTGGGACTCTCACATGTTTGCAGAGTGCTGAGCTCATGCCTGGCTTGCTTATTCATGCCTCGTGCTTTGCAGGGAGCTGGGTGGGGTATGGGAGGGGAACTTCCGCTTTCACGCAGCATGGAGCTGGTGGCGAAGAGACATGTGCCCCTGGCAATCGGTAGTCCTCGGGACAGTCCTTGTGCGACGAATGTGCCTCGACCCATTCCTTGCTGAGCCAGGCTCTCCGGGGCCAGCCGCACCCCATGCCTGGCCCCGCCACTCACTGTGATGTTGCAGAGGATGAGGAAGAGGGAGATCTCCTTGAGCGCCCGCCGCTTCCAGTTGAGGTGGCTGTAGGAGTGGATGTAGGCCAGCGATACCCGCCTCAGGTCCTGGCCCAGCTCCAGCAGGGACCCCCTGCGGGGAGGCAGCGCCTCGGGCCTCTCCCCATCCACCAGTGGGCACCGGTGCAGGCCCTCGATGATGAAGAGGTTCTGGACCATGTGCTGCAGGATGAGCAGCAGCGAGTAGGCCAGGATGAGGCGGTTGAGCAGCTCGTGAGGGCGGGTGGCCACGATGGCCACAATGGAGAAGTAGGCGATGCCCATCTGGCCCAGCGCTGCGCCCATCAGTAGCACCACGTCCAGGCTGCGCGTGGGGTTCTTGAGCGTGTCCAGCTCTCGCTCCTCCAGCCCGTGGATGGCCGTGCCCGCCAGGCACGCCAGGCTCATGGCGGGCAGCACGGCCACGTAGAAAGCGTAGTAGAGGGTGAAGTACTGGCGCGCGATGGCCGGGCCGCTGGCCTCGATCTGGAAGAGCACGAACACGCACACGCCCGCCACCAGGACCAGCAGGCCCAGCAGCGGCCCGAAGATGGCCCCATGCAGGTGGAAGGGCGCGGGTCTGGGGTGGGCGCCGGCCGGGGGGGCCAGACGGCGCCCCGCGTTCTTCCACATGACGAAGAGCACAGCACAGCAGATGAGGCAGTATTCGGTGCTGAAGGGGTAGAGCATCAGGTAGCCCTTCCGGAAGACCTCGCACACCGTGGCGTTGAGGCACAGGCAGGTGTTGGTGTCGTTTCCTGGGAGGGACAGACGTTGAGGTGGCCGCTGCGCGGACTGGTGCCCTCCGCCCCTGGAGGACGCCAGAAGGGGACGGACCAGCCACCCATTTCACAGATAGATAGGCAAACCGAGGCCCAGAGACAGCTCAGGGCTCACAGGATGCTCATCCCTGTACAAAGGGGCTCAAGCTCCAGTGGCTTAGTTTACGTAAAGCCCTACATGTGTGATGTCTTTGGTGCCAAGAGCCACCTCACCAGACTGCTTGTCAGGCACAGGGGGAGACTGTGACCTTGTAGGGGGCAGTGCGGCCTGGGGCACTGTGCTCTCAGCAGTACGCCTTGGCGGGGTCATCGGGCTTCTCGCCCTGGAGTGAGGCCTGCAGAGCACACGTCTTGACCGAACCTGATCAAGACTTTCAGTTTCCAGGAAAAGCAGGGGAAACAAGTCAAATGGCATCACTGGGAAGCAAGCTGACAAAATCAGTGTCCCTGGGAAGAGATCGAACCCCCCCAATGTATCACGCTGTTGAACACGCCATCTTGAAAGACATTTTGTGTGCTGATCGGAGAAAGTGGAGTCTAAGTCTAGACTGAAACAGGATGGAGAGGACGTGCAGGGATTTGCTAGAAGTTATAACAGTGCTGAGATAATCATAGAGGGAAACACTCATTTTAAAGAGATGTGGACTGAAGTGTTTTGAGATGAAATACCATATTCTCGGGCCTCCCGGGTGGCTCAAGGGGTTAAGCACAGCACTATGAAGCAATCCACAGCCACTCCTCTGCAGCACGAGCTCGATCCCCAGCCGGCCAGGGAGTTACCCATATGGCGCAGCAGACCTCTCCTGACTCTCCTGCTGTTCTCCTCAGCAGTGTATTTCAGTCAGTCTGCCTGTTCTGTTCCCCACTCTGTCTCTGGTGAATCCTCAATCCTCTCACCCTCTGGCCTGTACTCCAGTTCTTTTATGCATAAATAAATCAATCTGTTTTTTTTTTTTTTTTAAAGAAATACCATGTTGGGCCTCCCCGGTGGCGCAGCGGTTGAGCGCTGGGTTGCGAAGCTGCCCGCAGCCTCTGCAGCGCCGGTTCGATCCCCGGTTGCTCCCTGGCCACCGGAGGAGGGTCCCACAAGGCGCGCAGACCTCTCCTGCCGCCCGCTGCTCCCCTCAGCAGTGTACTTCGTCAGTCTGCCTGTTGTGTTCCCCGCTCTGGCTCTGGTGAATTCTCTCACCCTCCCGCGCTTCTGACTGTACCCAGTGCTTGTATAAATAAATAAATCTTAAAAAAAAAAAAAAAAAGAAATACCATGTTCTCGGCCACATAAGTAATTCAGCCAAAAATAAAAATAAAGCGGCCAAAATACTAATTACGATGACATCTAGGCAGTGGGTAGATCTTGTGTTTCTATCCACCTGTACCTTTGAACTTTTTACTGAAGATCCACGCTGTCACTCGCCAAGATTTCTCTTTGAGCAGCTCTTTTGAAAAATGCACCTGGAGCATTAAGGGTGACACGGTGCTCAGGAGCGCCCTGATTTATGCCATGGGTGTGCGTGTGAGTGTGCTGGGAAGGCTTGGCTGTACAGAGGTCAGGGTGGGGATGCCATCTGGGCTGAACCCCACTGCCATGGATGTTCCGGGGAGTGGATGGGGGAGAGTCTTGAGGGGCAGCGTGGAGGGCAGGGGACTGGGCGCGTGGAACAAAGCCCGAGTCCTTGCTGCCCGAAGGCCTTCCGTTCCCCCTGCCCCCCGACCGGCCAGGCCCCTACCTTTGTATGGGGAGGACGTTCCTTCCCGTCCTGAAGGCTTTTTAGTTTCTTGCAAGTAAAATGCAAATACCAGGGGTGGAGTGTGTTCCTGGGCTTATCGGGGAACAGCTCAGCAGGGATTAGTGGGGAGCTTGTGGACAGCTGGTGCATACCTGGCGTGGGGTGCAGGCAGGATGGAGACCGTTGCTACCTCAGCTCTGTTTGGTCATCGTCAGCCTCTGGAGTTTGCTCCCAACTGTATAGCCTCACTGAGCTTCACCTGGTTGTGAGTAAGTGTGTGTGCGTGTGCGCACGTGTGCACCGACAGGGACGTCTCCTCTGTACCTGAGAACTTTTCCATGAGGGCGCTGAGCTCAGCCTCGATCTCACGGTGCATGGAGTCGTTGGTGACGGCCAGGACCCACAGCAGCAGGTTGGTGGCCAGGGCCAGCATCAGGCCACACCTGGAGGAGGTGCCACACTCCACTCACCCATCCTGGCTGGCTCCCCACCTTCCTCACCCTCAACCTCACTGCCTTTGGGGGGCCCACTCTCTCCCAAGGCCCGGACCCCTCTGGCATTTGCCCCTCTGGAAGGCCCTACTCAGGAGGACAGCCCTGGAGGCCACCTGTGACCCTGTGTCCCCCATTCCAGGAAGCTGGGGGGCAGGCGCAGGCAGGGGACGGGGAGCCCCATCTTACCTGGTGAAGTTGGTCTGCACCTGAACACAGTCCTTACAGTGTTTCAAGAGCACCCAGGTCTGGAAGAGACGGGGCCTTGAGCCTGGGCTGGGGTGGGGCCGTGGGACCCCGTGGGTGCCCCAGGTGTGTGGAAGGGCCAGGGAGGAAGCCGGGGTCGAAATCCCAGCTCCACCGCTTCCTTGCTGTGATGTCTGGGGCAGTAGCAAAACATCTCTGAGCCTCAGTCTCCTTGGCTCTAAAATGGAGCTAAAATGCTCCCCTTCAGGGAAATGCCCACTTATTGGGGGCGGGGAATGCAAGTGAGACGCCCTGCACTGCGCCTGAGGCAGAGCGGGCACTCGGGAGGGAGCTGGCTGTTCAGCAGGTGTCAGTTTCGATGCAGGCACGATCGCAAGACAGGTGTATTTACTGGTGTCTGCAGCCCAGCAGCAGGTGCGCTGCTGCAGGCGTAGGAAGGTGCATGCGGATGGGGTGCACAGGCAGGCATTGCTGGGGGGTCTGCAGGGTGCACACCTGGGCCCTGCGGGTATGTGTCTGTGTGGCCGTTTCCAGGCCCAGGTCGGGTGCACGTCCATGGGGCACAGGTAGGTGCAGCGAGGGCTCGGGGCAAGGGACAGGAGAGGCCGGTCACCTGGACACAGATGAAGACCATCTCGATGGTCGGGAAGATGAGCTCCACTCGCGACCGGCAGTGGCTGTGGCTCACGTCGTAGCCCACGCGGAAGATGTTGAGGCAGACGGTGCAGCTGCCGAAGAGCACCAGGGAGCCTGGCGGGGCAGGGGCCATGGGCACCTCCAGGAACCGGCTGTCCCTCCCCACCCCGCTCCAGCCTCACAGCGCCCCCACACTCACCCCGCACCCAGACGGGGCCCGCGTGAGGGTCCCTGTGGAGCATGGCGTGCGGCCGGCGCGCGGTGCCCACGCTGTAGTACAGGAGCCAGAGCGCCGACAGGGCCTTGAGCGCCGCCAGCAGGATCCACACGTCACCCAGCGTCACGGCCACGTTGTTGAAGATCATGCTGCAGATGAAGGCGCCTCCCAGGAACACCACGTTGAGGGCCAGGAGCCCCGAGAAGAGCTGCCCTGCCTTCTGGGCCTGCCGGTCCCGCCGCAGCAGCAGCGAGAAATTTCGCACCAGCCAGGACTTCTGACGGGGTGCCCCGGGGGCTCCTGGCTCCTTAGCTTCCGTGTCCATTTGGTGCTCCCGGGCTGGGGCAGCTTCAGTCTCCTGGGCTTCGGGACAGGCCACCGGTGGAGGCTCAGTAGGGGCTGGGGAGGGAGAAATGTCCTGGGTGTCTGCGAGGCGGTCCCGGGTTCAAGTCCACTCCTGCCCCTCACCGCGGTGTGACCTGGGGGAACCGTGCAAGCTCCCCGGTGGGGACTTTGGCAATAAAGGCAGCTCCTCGTCTAGGTTCCAGGACCCTCGGGTTAAAACAGACGAGGGCTTACGGAAGCGCCTTGTGCTCCACCCACATAAACATACGGGTTATTTCTACCAGCTTGAAGATCACCTTCCTCACCCCGGCTGGCTGCTCCATGCCTGGCCTGAAGTTGGGATAATGAAGTCTGACAAGTATTATTATTTGACGGCCGATATTATTATTTGACCACCATTTCCGGGGTTGTGACTTGTTGCCACCAAAAAAGCAACCAGCTTCTGAAGTCAGGAGAGCAAGCAGACAGCCTCTCTTGTTCTTGCTCCGACTAGTCGGGTGATGATTGCCTGGCCTGTTGTGTGAGGAAGGATTCAGAGGCGGAATGTGGACTTGGGGGGAAAGAAGCACCTGAAGCAATATTCTCTAAGGGTGCAGAGGGGGACATATGTGGTTACTTTCAAGAGGTCTAGAAAATACCTACCTGATTCACAGTAGGAGCTTCTTCTGGGGAAAGAAGTCAATAATAAGACTGGAAGTGGTTTCATGTTCTCATTTTTTAAAAATGTATTACTTATGTTGTTAAAATTCATTTTAAAGAACATTAAAAGCTTAAGGGTCAAGTTCTGAGACTGACATGCCAGGTCTGCCGTGAGCATGGGACAGACTGGTCCCATATCTTGGGTCACCCCAGACCCGGGGACCAGCCTAGGGCCTAACCTAGAGGACGACACGCTACTAAGGATCCCTGGGTTCTACTGCTAGGGGCGCTGCACTGGACGGCAGGGACAGTCTCCTGACCCTGGGCGTTTCCCTGCGGCCTCCCCTGGCCAGCCCCCACCGCCCCACACTGTCCCTCGGTGCTGCTGCCGCCCTGGCTGAAGGCCTAAGTGCGCCCTGTCTCTATCCTCCAGGCCACAGGGCGCTGATTCCCAAGGTCACTATGTCAGTGAGTGGAGCCTCCATCCCCACGTCACCTGGCAGGGAACGGGGTGTCTTCCTTGCCTCTCCCCTGCCCCTCCATCCTCTCAGACCCGAGTCTGTCCACTCAAGTTCTCAAATCACTCTTAGCCCTTCCTTGACCTCCGTCACCACCTAGTCTAGACCTCCCTCCTTTCTCTCCTGGGCTGGCCTTCCTGCCCACTGGCCCTCTCTCCTAAGTGCCCCACAAAGGCCACAGGTTGCCCTCGGTATAAAGTCCAAACCACCCAGCATGGCCTCTCAAAAGGAAACGAGGCTGAGTATGTTTGGTGCGGGCTTGGGGCCACGAGGTGCTCAAGGCAAGGCACCCTCTGTCATTTCTGGCCTGGCCACGACTGACTTCTCCAACCCTGTCTTCAGCCCCATCCCTCTCACATGTTTTCGGCCTCACCCCCTGCCCTGGGCCGGCCCTTCCTTCTGCCTTACCCAATATGCTTCACCAGTGGCTCGTGCCCATCTTCACCACCCACCTTGGGAGCCTTTTCTGGGACGGCCTGTCTCTGCCCAAGCATGCTGGTGGCTACTTTGTTGGGAACACTCCCCTTTGCTGAGAGAGGGCGTGCACTGTCTGGTGAGTGCTGTGGGTGTGGTTGGTTCCCCTCAGGCCAGGAGCTGCTCCAAAGCAGAGACCACATCTGCTTAACCTGGACCTCCCACGCCTAGCCTAGGCAGGACACTCAACCCGCATTTGCCTCTGGTGTCTTTGGGGGGAACTTTCAGCACCAGAACCGTGGACAGAGACCCTGCCCCTAGATCCTTCCCCATCCTGGCCTGGCAGGAGACTCTCCAGAGATCTTTATCTTTCTCCCCGGCTCTCCCGCCCTGGTTGAGCAAGGGTGAGGTTCCCAGGGACACCTCCCTGCTTCTTCCCTCTCAACCCTGATGGCTCCATCGCACCCTCCGCAGCATCCCCCTGTCCTAGAGCCCAGACTCTGGCACTTACAAATTACAAACTGGAAAGTCATTTAGACTCTGCCTCTCACTTTCCTTGTCTGTGAAATGGACGTGCACCTCCGGAATGGTAGGTGCTCAGTAAAGATTTCTTGAACAAGCAAATGAAGAAATTAGTGCTTAATACTTATCTCACAGGGTCTCCTCAAAACCAATCATTGCATACGTCTAAATGCATGCACGGGCTGCCTGGCTTACAGGGAACTCTGTGTCAGCTATTCCTGTATTTTTCCTGTGAGGTCCTGGAGAAGCTGGAAGGGTCAAGATTACTGATGAACTTCAGGGGAGGATTTTGCTTGGATTGCAGGTCTAGTGGGGACAACTGGAGGACAAGTTTGGGGGGTCCTCTCCTTCCTGGGTTCTCGCCCTGTCTTTCCTGTCCCCCCAACCCTGGGTGGGGCAACCCTCCAATGGCCCCTAAAGAGAGAATTCAGGCCACCGCTGGGGAGGGTGTGGGAGGGTGTGGAGCAGCGCGTAGGGGTCTCAGGGAGAGAGTGGTGGGGGGGGGTTCCAGAAACCCACATCAAGGAACCCGCACCCCTGTGGCAGGCCCTTTGGTGCTATGCCTGCACCACGGCAGGGCCGGACACCAAACTGGTTTGTGGGTTGAGGTCAGCGGCGGGTGATGAAAGCCATGCAGACAGGAGGGCCGGCCCCCCACACCCCGTGCTGGAGCCGCGCCACGCTGGGAGGAGGCTGCTGAGCGCCAGCGGGGAGCTTCAGGGTTTCTCCACAGCCACTCGGCCCGCTGCAGGGCCGCCCCAACCCCACATCGCTTTCCCAGCCGTCTGGGTTTTCCCGCTTCTTCCTCGCCTCGGCACCCCCTTTTGGCTGTGAGCGCCCTGCTGGCCTCTGTGCACCCCCATCTTCGGAAAAGAGTTGGGGCACAGAGTTGGGGTGCGGGTAAAGGGCAGCGAGGGGCCAGCCCTTGGGTCGCCAGAGGTTGGGCTCCTTCAAGAGATCCCAGCCCCGCAGCCCTGGTCCCCGAACCCCCGGTTTGTGGGCGGTGGGTGCTAGCCAGGGAGCCGTACCTGGAGTCTGGGCAGGCATCGCGGGTCTCCCAGAGACTGCGGGCGAGCGCAGCGCCGGCGCGTCCAGGTGAGGCCCCCGCAGACCGCCGCCCCGACGCCCCCGACTCCCGGCCCCAGGGCTCGTGCGCAGCGGCTGCCCGGGCTCCGCAGCCCATCGATTTTTCTGTTGACTTTAGGGATCTCATTAATCCTTCCTTAATTACCTCCCTGGGGCCCGCGTGCGCAGTGCAGCCAATAGCGGGGCCACTGACAGGGGGGCGGGGCCTGAGGAGGTGCGGGCTCAGCTCCCAGGTCCAGCGGCCCGGCCCGGCCTCCTGCAGGGTGGGGTGGGTGCCACGTCCTTGCGCCGGTGGCGAGGCCTTGCGGGGGTTCAGGCCACACTTTGGTGGCCAAGCAGGGAATGGACACCCCTGGCCCCCCAAACAGGGATTGCCATTTCCTGAACCCCACTTCCTGCCAGACCAGGGGTCAGGCTTCTACACAACCTCCAACCCCACATGGCCCGCACCCTCTCTCTCTCCCTAAGTGAAATGTGAACTGGGGATCAGAAAAGACCCCATTCTGATTGTGCAGCAGGTGAACAGGCCTGGAAGTGACGCCCCTGTACCCCCCTAACTATTCCCCAGCTTCTGACCCACTGCCTCCTTCTGCAGGAAGGCCTGGGTGCCTTTGCTCAAGCTCTCCGTGCTCCCTCGTGCTGGCGTCCTCTCCGCCCATCCCACTCTGCCTTAGTCCCCACCCTTGCCAGTACGCCCAAGTCTGTACTTTTTGTAAAGAAGAATTCCCAGGGCTTTGGAAATGTGCCCCAGGGACCCCTAGGTGAAGGGGTGCTGGGGAGGCAATCAGGAAGATGTTGGCCTGTGGGCTGGCCCCAGGCCACTGCTGCTCCTCACCCCTCCCCTATTCTTGGGCTGGGGGCTCCGCTTGCCATCCCCGCTCCAGAAGCTGCCCAAGGACGCGTCACTGGATAAAATACATTGTTGAGACACCCGGGCAGTATGTGATTAAGCCCAGGAAGACCTCCATATAAACATTTAAGATTTAGGGGGGCTGATGGGAATGAGGTTTGTCTTTCAGTCACCCAAGACAAAGCTCCTGGTTACAACAGCCACCTATCAGGTGGTCTGCCTTTCGCCAGTCTCTGCTGGCTCCAGGGAATGGGGTGGTTTCGGGGTGCTCCAGAGCTTAGGACCCTCAGGGGCAGGGGTGTGCTAGGTAAGAAGTCCAGGAGATTTACACCCTCCAACTCCTCTGAAGCTAAAACTGATGCCTGAAACTATTTTATCTGAGGGGGGGAAATTCTGCTGCTTGAAAAAAAATGCTTGAAAATTGTTATTCTTAGAAAGGCTGTGACTCTCGGCTGTGTGACCTTGGGCAAGTTACTTTACCTCTCTGGGCCTCAGTTTCCTTCACTGTGAAATGGCAGTTGGACCATGTCAGTCCCTCCTAATCTTCGGTGCATCATGGAATTCATAAAAAAATTCAATGTCACTTGGCAGATAAACGGAAGAGGCAGTCACTTAAGCGCCCACTTTATGTTAGTTCATAACTCACACTTGGCTCACCCCCGAAAAGCTTGAGATCCCAAATTCCCAGGAGCCCTTCCAGCTCTGATCCCCAAGATCTTCTGTGACCACCTCAGATGGGGCGACTGAGACAAGAAGCAGTGTCAGGAGAAGAGCTGCAGCTTTATTGGGTCCCAGCTCCAGGCAGGACACTGGCCGGGCCACAGGGCCGGGCTTAGAGCTGGAGCCCAAGTTGAGACAGTTCCCAGGAGGGCCGCAGGGACAAGGCTCCTGTCCCACCCCCATGTCACCCAGTGTCCTGCTGGGCGGGATGGGCACGTCCTGATTGTGATTTAAAAACTCATCCTGGAAAAATAGCTTTTGTGAAAATTCCACTCCGCAGGGCATGGGTGGCATGCAGCGTGACTGCCAGGCTGGGGTGCGCTCCTGGGGGTCTCTGGGAGGCGTGGGAGCCGAGCCCCTGGGCTCTGGCAGAGCTGGGCTTCAGGACAGCACGTAGACCTCCAGCAGGCTGGACACAGCGTGCATGCGGTAGAAGATGCCGAAGGGCAGGCAGATGTTGACGATGGCTGCCCAGAGGGAGTAGCCGTAGAAGTTTACCTCGGTGGTGTTGCTGAAGTGAGGCCGGGCCCCGAAGGCGGGCATGATCCACAGCTGTGCAGGGAGATGGGGGCGTCAGGACCTTTGGAGGGTATTCTGGGGGAGACAGGCTGGGGGTGCTAGCCCTCTACACTGGTGTTGCTGAGCGGGGCCTCCAGCCTTGGGCGAGAACGCAGAAAAGGCACCCGGCTGAACTTGCCCGCCGCCAGGCCTGTGCAGTGACCACGTCCACTAAGTGACCCTTAGTGTGGCCACTTGTGGACGGGGGAGAGGCGCGGGTTTTGAATACATGATGGGAGGATTTGGTACAAATGCACTCTCCTGGAAGTGCATGCAGATTGCAGGCCCTGCCAGGGGTGCTGGGGTGCAGCCGGAAGGCTACCCCCAACCCCACCCCCTCTGAGCTCTGCTCCCCAGCTCCACCTTCTTCCCAGGTATGGGAGAACACTGAAGACTCCTGCTGCAGCTCAGCCCGGACTCAGGAGTCAGGTGTGGGGTCCGAGGCAAAGACAGAGGCTTCCTGCCCAGAGGGTATCGTCCTTGGGCACCTCACCGCGCCCCATCCCCTCTGCCCTGGCCCCGCACAGCCCCGCCCTGCCATTTCTGTACTTTCAAATGGGGCCTGAGAGGATGTTGATCCTGGACGGGATACAGGGAGTGGAAACAGTCTCCCAGGGGAGTCCCAGCTTGTGGGCAGGGCCTCGGTGGACGTGGGGGCGGGGCCAGGGCTGGGGGGAGCACCCTAGCAGCCCCAGGCAGGAGGTTTTGAATCTTATGGCTTCTGCTTGTGGGTCAGTGGTCGGTGTCCACTCTCATGGGTTACTGAGAGGATGGTCTGCATTCACCCTACTCAGAGAGGGCTGCTGGCGGATTCACACGGGGCGCATGGGGATGCACCCACAGTGAGGTCACATACATAATGGGGGTATTTTCCTGCGGGAGGTTATAGCTAAAGGCGCTGTTTGTATATTTTGTGAAACTTCCCTGGCGCGTGTTCTCTGGGACACATTCGCCCCGATGCACGTGTCTGTATTAGATTTCCCTGCTGGGGATGAGATCTACGTGGGCCGTTTGGCTAGTGGGTGAGTGTTTCTCTATCGGGGTGCACCTTCAAGAGGAGTATTTCCACCAGGCCATGTTTTGTACCGTGGAGTGTGCCCGGGGTTGGGGGAGTCTCCTTGCCGGGCTTTGCTGTGTCCTGGGGGAAGGGCGGCTCGTGTGCCTGCCCTCTCTGGCCTGCGAACAGACGGCTCACACTTCCCCTGCTCTCCTCCCCGCGACTTCCTGACGCTGCTCCACTTATCCTAAGAAATGAGCTGGTCACAAGTTCCCAGGAGCAGTCACATTCCCGGGGGTGAGGGCCCCCCCACGTCAGCTCTCTCAGCTCCCTCTCACCTCCTCCCAGCTCCCTCGCAGCATTCCCTGGAACTCTCCAGCTCCTCCTGCCGCCTGGATTTCTTTCTCTGGGTGCCCTGAGATGCTGTTTGCCCCTGAGGCTGCACCTGACCCTCTCTGAACTTGCTCCTTTCCTAGAGAGCCACATGATTCTCCCACAGACTGGGGCAAGACAAGGCCAGGCCAATAAGCCTGAGGGCAGCCTGCCTCTGCTTCTCCCCCCACGGCGCCCCGCTACTCACGATGATGTTGCAGAGCAGGAGAAACAGAGAAATGTCCTTCAGGCACTGACGTCTCCAGTGGATCCTGGGGCCCACGATATCGGCCACCGCTTCCTGAGGGGCAGTGGAGCTGGGGACCACCAGCTCGGGGGTGGTTGGGCAGGCGGGCAAGGCCTGCAGCGCGTCCGGGTTGGCAAAGGTCAGGCCGTGGCAGGGCTCCTTAGGGGGTGTGTCATGAGGCTTGGCCCCCGGCGGGCCCCGGTGGAGGCTCTCGATGATGAACATGTTCTGGAAGGTGTGCTGGGCTATCATGAGCAGGGCGTGGGAGAGGTTGAGCCCAGCCAGCAGGTCCCGGGATGTGCCCACCACCACGGCCACAATGGAGTAGTAGGAGATGGCGTATTGGCCCAGTGCAGCGCCCATCAGCAGGGCCACGTCCAGGGTGCGCGTGGGGTTCTTGTGGTGGTCCATGGCCCGGCGGTCAAAGCGGTAGATGACAGAGCCACTCAGGCTGACCAAGGTCATGAGCCCCAGACAGACGATGTTGAAGCTGTAGTAGATGACCAGGGCCTGCTGGGTGCGGGCCCCCTCGCCACTCACTTGGACCTCATAGATGATGAAGACCGCCAGGCCCACCACGAAGAGCATCAGGCCCAGCACAGGGCCAGCGACAAAAGTCTCCCGGAAGAGGTTGCCCCGGGGGGGCGTGTGACCGTGGCCATGGCCGTGGCCAGAGGAGGTCAGCAGCCTGCCCACGTTCTTCCACATGACGTAGAGCATGGTGGAGGCAAAGAGGCTGTACTCGATGTTGAAGGGGTAGAGGTAGAAGTAGCCCTTCTGGAAGATCTGGCAGAGGGCCGTGTTGCAGGGGCAGTCCCCGTCGGCCGTGCTGCCCGCTTGCTCTGCTGGGGAGAGAGGGGCGCTGAGCTGCTCTGCCTTCCTGCCTTCCCGGAGGCACCCCATCCGAAGACCCTCACGCCTAGACCGTGACCTTCATCAGGGCAGGGTCTCTGTCTCCCATTGTCACCGCTGGCCCCCAAATGCCCACACACAGCCTGGCATTGTCGTTCACTCCCCTGGGATTTTTTGAGCACCTACTATGTATCCAAGACCGAGTGACCCACTGGTGAACACCAGCCGGTGCTTCCTTCAGGAAAACACCCCTACCCTCACCCCGCCAGCATGATCCCTGGCTCCCGAGATAGGCGAGGTCCTGGTCCTGCTGGAAGGTGGCCCTCCTGGGAGCCCCTAAAGCTCAAGCTTCCTCAGAGTTCTCCCCAGCATCTGACTCAGCCCAGACCGTGAGCTGCAGTGCCCAGGTCTTGGCTGGGAGCCGGGCTAGGCCAAGTCTGGCCCTGCTCTGCGCGGCGCTTTGTAGGAAGCTTTGGACCTTGGCAAACGTCTCTTTTCAGCCCCAGAACTATCCCGGCTGGTTCTGCAGGGGAGAAACTGAGGCCCAGAGTGGGGCAGTGGCTTGTCACGGAGAGAGAACCCCATCAGCTGCTCACACCCAGCGGGGCCTCTCCAGGGCACGCTCATGCCACGCCTGGGCTGTTGTTAACCGACCCCCTGACCCTCTGTAAGCTCAGGGCGACGCTTGATCCAGTCCGCTGGGCGGGGGCCTCCCTGCGAGCTGGGCCCTTGGTGCTGGGTGTGCGTGTGCTCCAGTGAGGGCCTCACCGACTTATCATCTACTCTGGCGCTGGCTAGTGGGGGGCACTAGAGAAGTCCAGAGAACTAGAACCAGGGGGCCTGTGCGCCCCTTAGCAGGGCACAGACAGATGGCTCTCCACGCTGGTTCTCAATTCCAAACTCTGTGACCTTGGGCAAGCTACTTACCCTTCTATGCTCTAGTGTTTCCTCTGTCAGCAGGAAAACGCGCAGCGCCCACCTCCTAGGGAGCTGGGAGGCCCAAGCGGGGCGGCAGCCGGTGCCTGACACCAAAGCTCAGTGGATGGCCGCTCTTGTCCCCGCGATGACTATTTCCCCCTCGTCTTTGCCAGACTCCCACCTGGTCCTGCACTTCCACCATCGGGCCATCTGCCTCCTTCCCCTCTCTTCCGCCAGATCACCCTGGCCCTTTGCCCTGGTGCCGAGTCCCTTCCTTAGTGGAATGGACACCTGGACGGTGGGGGCCAGAGCTAAGGATGAGAAGGTGCCCCCGATGCTCCTCCTCCTGGGTGACCCACACCTGTACTTCAGAGATGCAGCCCAGAGCAAGAGGCCTGTTGGCCTCCACCTTTGCTCCAGCCCCCAGGAGGGCGCAGGAGACAGACTGGACAAGCACCAGCCCCGAGGCCTGGCTGCGCGGGGAGGGGGGGTCGTGGAAGTGGGCACTCACGGTTGGGAGCGAGGCGCGTGTGGCTGGTGTTGCCGTGGGAGCTCATGTAGGATTGGGCCTGGTGCAAGGACTCATCCACCACGGCCGCCATCCAGATGGCCAGGTTGGTGGTGAGTGTGAACATAAGACCACACCTGTAGGGGAGGGGCGAGAGGTCACTGGAGGTCCCTGGAGGGCTCTACTGGGAGGTGGTGTTGAGAAGCAAGAAACTAAGCTGGCCCTTGTGTGGGAGGAAGCTGAGCTTGGGAGGAACCATTGGCTTGGCCAGGAGCCACCTGAGAGAGGGCCAGGGGTTGGCCAGGGGCTCGGACCACTGTTTCCATCCCTGGGGGGAGTGGACATAGAGTGCACTCTGCTATCCACGCTCACACACACACACTCACAGATACACGCAACCCTCACAGCATGGTAGAAATCAGCCCAAAAAAGCCAGGGGGGCTTGGCTGAACCCCCCAACCCACAGGGGCAGAAAGAGGACCCACATCCCCAGGTGAAACCCCTCGTGTCTCACACAGTGCTGGAGATGCCCCGGCCTGCTGGGCAGGGCAGCTGAGCAGTGGGACAGACACTCACCGGGTCAGATCCAGGTGGATGTGGATGCAGTCTTTAGCGGCGACCCAGAGGAAGTAGGTCTGAGTGGGGAAGGAGAGGTGAGGGTCATCGATGGCAGGTTGCTGCACCTGGGGCCCTGTTCAGGCTGCGCACGACTCTCGACCCCAAGAGACCGCACACCAAGTTCTGTTTACTTTAGCTTTACGCAGTGAAGCGGGGCTCTCTATTCTCTGGAACAATTTATGCAGAATAGTGGTTCTCTGCTCTTTAAAAGTTTGCAACGTGTCCACTGTGAAACTCTGGTCTTGGTGTTTGTGCGGTTTTTTGCAGGAAGAAGGTCAAGTGAGCTTTGATGACCCAGGTATGTACTCCTGGGAGCAAGGCCAGCCTCAGGCTTGGTTTTGAGAATCTTGAGAGACGTCTCAGCTCCCTTTGGTAACACCCCTGCCCCAGGCCCATCCCCTGTTGCCTGCGAGGGCCTCACCCTCACCCAGCTGCCCACAGCCCCCTGCTATGGTGTTTGTGGGTGTGGGGTGTCTGTAGTTTTCATTCTACTTAAGGAAACTTTAAACGCATAAGATGAAATATGGAAACATGATACATGCTTGAGTCAGGAAGGTAGCAAGCTATGGAGACCTGGGCGGCAGGGGGAGGCTCCACGGAGGGACATGGGACATACATGTGGGCTCATGGTCATGGCCCAAGGCGAGGTCTGCTGTAGGCCCAGGTGAGAGAGTCCTCCCTGCCGTGGCTCAATCAGGAGCTCGTTTGAAATATTATGTGTGCAACAAACATAAACATATATATATGTTTATAATATATAAACATAAGCATATGTAGTGTTTATAATATATACAATTTATAATATATATATATTTCTGAATGTGTCTGAAAGCTCGCAGGTACAGGACACCCTATTTCCTGAACAAATGCCGAGCATAGGGGCCACGCCAGGGTCAAACTCACCAGACCCAGCAGAACCAGGGTTGAGACTGATGACCTCTGTGGGCACCTAGAAAGGGCAGGCCAGGTTCTAGGAGACAGGATGCCTGCAACAGCTCACACCTCCTAGGTGTTAACTACTGACACTGCTTGGGTTGAAATAGAATTGCAGGGTCCCTCAGTAGTGGCTCAGATTTGAATCTTACTTCATTACCAAGTATTTCCAGATTTACGGACTCATGTGATCCCCACCACCATCCTATCTCCACTTTATTGCTCAGGGGAGAAGGGAGCATGGAGCTCAGGTCTCTGGCCCCCATGCCAGGAATTGGCTTCTTCCTGCCGCGCTCAAGACAACGCCCTCTACCCACCTGGACGACGACGAACACCGCCTGGATGAGAGGGTGCAAGATCTTGATGGCCGACTGGCACTCAAAGAAACTGGAGTAGTAGCCAGTCTTGAAGGCATCCATGACCAGGGTGCAGATTCCAAACAGCACCAGCCCACCTGGGAATGGGGTGGGGGCCGATCAGAGGGGCAGGAGAGGTCCCCCGATCTGAGGGTGGATGGCCAGATGGGTGGGTGGGTGGGTGGGTGAGCGGACAGGTAGATGGGTGGGTGGGTGATGGGTGAAGGATGAAAGTATGACTGAGTGGGTGGGTGGAGCGATGTCCTGTGGCGCCCCCATCGCTTAGGGCTCACAGGTTAGGGAAGGACCTTAAATGGGCTCCCTCAGCTTCGTCCGCCCCCTGTTTTCTGTTCACCATCAAAGACTCTCCTGTGACCACCCTTTTCTAATCTTTAGGACAAAAATGTGCCCCCTACACTTCCCCGGGGACCACTTCTCTTTCTCCTCTCCCTCCCCAGCGGCTTACTGCACCCTCAGCCACCTCCAGTCCTGCTGGGCGGACTTCTGTCCACCTCCACGGACATCCCCAAATTCCTGCACAGCCTCAGCCTCCAGTTCCTGGCCTGCCCCCTCCCCCAGCCCAGCCCGCCTCTGCCCCCGCTCCCGGGCACCTCTGAGCCAGATGGGCCCGGCGTGGGAGTCGTGGTAGGGGACAGCGCCGGGGCAGCGCACTGTGCGGAGGAGGTAGAACACGATCCAGAGCGTGGCCAGGAGCATCATGGTGGTGAGCAGCGCGAACACGTCGGTTTCGTACACGGCCACCTTGTTGAAGGCCCCGCCGCTGATGAGCGTGCAGGCGAGCAGCAGCACGTTCACGGCCAGCAGCACCGACAGCAGGCGGCCGCCCTTCTTCCACACCTCGCGGGGGCCGCCCGCGGCGCGGGGGGGCTCTCCTTGGGGCCCGAGGCCAGTTCCTCGGACATGGCAGGGGCGACCGCAGGAGGCTGGAGGGTCACTGTGCGGGCGGAGCGGACGGGACCCCAGGTCAACGAGGGGCCTCATGATCTCATCTTGGGCTCCCAGACGGGGTGGGGGTGGGGTGGGGGGTTCCTAACCCCGAGGGTGGGGGCTGCGGCCCACGGAGGAGGCACGGGGCGGCGAGAGGGGGAGCCGGCCCTGCCTGCGGGTCGGGGCGGCAGCCCCGTCGGACCCCGCCCGGAATCTCGCTTCCAACCCGCCCCCTCCCCGGCCCAGACGCCCCGCTGCGCGTACCTGGCTGGGCGGGGAGCCCGCGCGGAGCTGGGGGTCGGGGGGTGGCGATCGGCTCGTCTCTCCCAGGCCGGGCCGGATGGGCGCTTTATAGCGAGGAGGGCAGGGTGATTTACAGCCGCGGGAGCGCAGCTCCATAAACCTCTCAGTCCCGCTCACATGATCCATCTTTTCTCCGAGCTGAATTTAGGGAAGAGGCGCGGGAGCCAGATAAGGTGAGATTTATATGACCCGCTAAGAGGCGCCCCACCTCCCTGCGGCCCAGCTGGGGCGCGGCCCCGCACTGCGGCACCAGACGGCACCCGCCCCTGGCGCCCACCGCGCCCCGGCGCCCCGCGACCTCGGCCGCCGAGAACCCAAGAGCGGATGCTCGACGGACGCCCCGAGGGCGCGCGGGCACCCGGGCCCTCCCGGCGCTGGAGCGCCGCCTGCGCCGCGTTCCTCGGGCGCGTGGAGAGGCGGCCCCTCGCCCGCCCGTCCCCGCACGGCCGCGGCGCGAGCAGCTCCCGCGTGTGCCCCGGGCCCCGCGGCGCCAGGCTGCGAAGTCCGCGCCGTCTCCAGGTCCCAAACTTCGCGCCCGGCCCGCGCCGGGCTCCCAGCGCCCCCTGCCGGCCCGCCGGGCCTCTCCCCTCTGCACCCCGAGCCCGACCCGGACCCCGAGGCCCGCGTCCGCGCAGGAGGGCTCCCCCAGACGCCGCTCCCCAGGCCTGGCCCCGGCCCTGGACGTGCGGAGACATCGGGGGCGCAGCGCCGAGGCCCTCGTGAGGACAGACCCTCGCGGCTCCAGCCTGGGGCTCCGGGATGGGGCGCTGGGTGGGCGCCGTGGGAGAGAAGGCAGGGCCTTGCGTGGTCACCCCGGTGCATCCAGGAAGGGTGTTTAGGACCCAGGGGCAGCCCGAGGGCGGCTCCCTGGGCCGCGGGAGATGCTCCCCCGCCTCCCTCCCCGCCGGGTGAGCGCTGAGCGGCTCAGATGTCCCAGAGCAGCTACGGAGCGTCTCCCGGGTCCTCTCTGCGGCCGTGGGGGCTGGCGGCCCCCGCCCCTGCCCGGGGCCCCTCCCCCAACCCCATGCCTCAGCCCTGACCCCGCGGCCCTCCCCCGCGGGGGGGCAATTCTCGGTGCCCCCCCCTCCCCGTCCAAGTCAGGCGCCATGAACGACCAGTACCACCGGGCAGCCAGGGACGGCTACCTCGAGCTCCTCAAGGAGGCCACCCGGAAAGAGCTGAACGCCCCAGATGAGGATGGCATGACCCCCACCCTCTGGGCTGCCTACCATGGCAACCTGGAGTCCCTGCGGCTCATCGTGAGCAGAGGGTGAGTACCCACCCAAGCCCCCAGGGGAGGGAGAAGAGTGTTCTGCCAGCCCAGGCCCGGAGATGCCTTCCCCAGCCCCATGGCATCCTCGTCGCCCCTTTCCTACCTTAGACCTAAAGTGGAGCTTGGGGAAAGAGGGGGGCACACTCTGAGGGGTTAGTAAGCCTGACCTGAACCTGGGCTAGGAGGGGAGGGACTGGGAATTAGGGGTCATATGGGGGGGTCTGCAGAGTGAGGGGAAGGTGGGACAGGTCTCCTGGGCAGGTGGCAGCTGGAAGCAAGAGTAAGGGGCATGGTGGGAACAGGAGAGATGGGGCGGAAGCTTCAGAGGGATCAGAGGTGGGCCCAGGAAAGCAGAGGCTCCTCACTGCCCATCCCCAGCCTCAGATCCGGAGGACTCAACAGCACCTCCCACTGCCCCCCCCACAACACCCCCTCCACCCCAGGATGAGGCTACCCGGCTCTCTTCCTGTTCACTCTGGGATTTATGGGCACTGCCCATAGTACCAAATGTCACTCGGGCTCAGCCACAGCCACCCCATTAACTCCCACTGTGCCCTTCCCCACCCCCATGCCTCCGGGGCTGCGATGCCCATGCGGGGGCTCTGGGAGCAGCTCCCTCACCTGTTTGGAGTAGGGAGGGAAGCACAGGTGGGTCTCGAATCCTGGTGTCAGGGCAGGAAAGGGGTTTTGCTTTAGCAGCAGAGGGGTGTGGGACCCCAGGACTGAATGAATGACAGGGGCCCGCTCCTGGAGCACCCCGAGCTTTCTGGCGAGAAGGCCCATTGAACAGGCCCGTGCAGCTTGGGCAGGGCAGGGGAGTGGGAAGCTCTCCGGCCCTGGAGATGGGGGTGGGGTGGGGGCTCAGCTGCCCCCCTCCCGTGCTGGCCTGTGGCCCAGGCTTGTGGGAGGTGGGGGAACTCCCCTTGCCTTCCCTCCTTGGCTGCTCCTGGGGCCCAGCAGCAGGTGGGAGCATCCCCAAGACCAAGCAGCCTGAGACTGTGCCAGAGGCAGGAATTGGCCCCTCCCCTTGCTAAGAGGGCACCTGTTGCTGGCTCAGGGAGACTGGGAGAGGAGGGGGGAGGGTGTCTCCCTGCTGCACCACCCCTGCCCCCCACATCTGACCGAGGTCACGGGCTGGTGTTTGATGTGATTGGCCCACATTGTCCCAAAGGACTTGGTGATAGGTAGGGAAAGTGAGGAGAGAGCGGTGGGGGGATCTTTGAAACAAAGGGGTGACTCTACCCCCTGCCCAGCGGGGTGGCCTGGTGGCCTCATTAGCATGAGACAGAGGTGCTGAGTTAGGCCTGTGAGAGAGGCAGGAGCTTGGGGGAGCCAGCAGGAGCTGCTTCAGGGTGGGGTAGGGGCACAGTCTGATGTAGTATTGGAAGGGGTGAGTGCCAGCCTGCCTGCCGGCTCCCGAAGATGCGGCACCCCGGAAAGAGAAGGGAGGCCCCACTAGCCTCCTGCCTCCTCTCCAGTCCTGGCTGCCCCCACACTCCCCTCAGTGCCCAGGCCAAGGCCCGACACCTGCTCTCACACGCGGGCTTGCCAGGCCTGGCCCTGCTCCCTGAAGACATGGCTGTGCCCATGACATGCAGGGCAAGTCTGCAGGGCAGGCACAAGGCCTCAGACTCTCACGGGGACTCAGGCCCTGGACATGTCACATTCCGGTTCTCTTCTAAATCGCCCCGCACGTGTGGCCGCAATCGCCATCAGGCCTGCGGGGGGACCACAGTGGGCCCTGACCCACCACCTCTCAGGGCCGGCTCTCCGCTGGGCCCCATGAATAATTCACTCCTTTCTCTCTGGGCATCAAATATTTATGCCCTGAGATTCCCAGCCCTCAGTTCTCCTGGGGAAGGCCCGCCCCGGGCCTGCCTTCTCTGTTGCCACGCCCCCTGTGGGGGGGCACCCGCCCTTTCTCTGGCCTTGCGGGCTGTGCCTCCTGGAGTCAGAGGCGAGTTCTCAGGCCCTCGGGTCCCTCTCACGTGCCCCAGCGAGGCGCTCCCCTCCTCCAGCCCTTGCTGACTGCCTGCCGGACTTGCCGTGGCTCACCACCCGTCGCACGTGTCCTCCTGGCAGGGGTGATCCAGACAAGTGTGACATCTGGGGCAACACACCCCTGCATCTGGCAGCTTCCAATGGGCACCTGCACTGCCTCTCCTTCCTGGTGTCCTTCGGGGCCAACATCTGGTGCCTGGACAACGACTACCACACGCCGCTGGACATGGCCGCCATGAAGGGCCACATGGAGTGCGTGCGCTACCTGGACTCCATCGCGGCCAAGCAGAGCAGCCTCAACCCCAAGCTGGTGGGCAAGCTGAAGGACAAGGCTTTCCGCGAGGCGGAGCGGCGCGTCCGCGAGTGCGCCAAGATGCAGCGCAAGCACCACGAGCGCATGGAGCGTCGCTACCGGCGCGAGCTGGCCGAGCGCTCCGACACGCTCAGCTTCTCCAGCCTCACGTCCAGCACCCTGAGCCGCCGGCTGCAGCCCCTGACGCTGGCCAGCCACCTGCCCTACTCGCAGGCCACGCTGCACGGCACCGCCAGGGGCAAGACCAAGATCCAGCGGAAGCTGGAGCGGCGCAAGCAGGCGGGGGAGGGCACCTTCAAGATCTCCGAGGATGGCCGCAAGAGTGTGCGCTCGCTCTCTGGCCTGCAGCTGGGCAGCGACGTGATGTTCGTGCGCCAGGGCACCTACGCCAACCCCAAGGAGTGGGGCCGCTCCCCGCTCAGGGACATGTTCCTCTCGGACGAGGATAGCGTCTCCCGTGCCACGCTGGCGGCCGAGCCTGCCCACTCGGAGGTCAGCACCGACTCAGGCCACGACTCCCTGTTTACGCGCCCCGGCCTGGGCACCATGGTGTTCCGCAGGAACTACCTGAGCAGCGGCCTGCACGGGCTGGGCCGCGAGGACGCAGCGCTGGAGGATGGGGGCCCGCTGCGGGGCCGGCTGCAGAGCTCCCCGAGCCTGGACGACGACAGCCTGGGCAGTGCCAACAGCCTGCAGGACCGCAGCTGCGGGGAGGAGCTGCCCTGGGACGAGTTGGACTTGGGCCTGGATGAGGACCTGGAGCCAGAGACCAGCCCCCTGGAGACCTTCCTGGCCTCCCTGCACATGGAGGACTTCGCCTCCCTTCTGCGCCAGGAGAAGATCGACCTGGAGGCGCTGATGCTCTGCTCCGACCTGGACCTCCGCAGCATCAGCGTCCCCCTGGGGCCGCGCAAGAAGATCATGGGGGCCGTGCGGCGTCGCAGGCAGGCGCTGGAGCGCCCACCCGCCCTGGAGGACACAGAACTGTGAGCATGGGAGCCTGGGGTGGGGAGAGGGGGGTCAGAAGGCCTTGGGGTTAGGGGCTCTGCCCTTCCAGGAATAGGAGGGGGCATGATCTAAGTGGCCCTTGCTGACAAGAGCCCACGTTTTATTGATGTGCATTCAGAAAAATAAGCTGCCAGTTTAATGTCAGTGTAAGTAAGTGTCAGTTGAATGATGACGCGAGACTTCCCCGTCACAGCCGATGCAAATGCGTCTCACTTGAGGACATCAACATGCGGAAAAATGGGTATTTCCGTATGGATGAGACACAGTCATAGTAACCCCTGCTGGGATGTTTGGGGCCCTCCTGTCTCCCAGGTGCTGGGGATGCTTTGCATGTGTCCTCACTTCCATGCTCTAGATCACCCCATTTTACAGGTAAGCAAGTAGAGGGTCCAAGGGTTAGTCACCCCAAGGTCTGGCTGCTGCTCAGTGCGGAGCTGGGCTGGACCCTTGGTCTGTGTGGCTCTAGAGCCTGGGGAGGGGGTTCCCTGGCAGCGAGCCATCTCCCCAGTTGCCCAAGTCCTCAAGGCAGACGTTTTACCAGCTGGACCCTGAGCCCTGCACCCGGCAAGAGGGGCCAATGAGTCCCGCATGGCCAGCAGCTGCTCAGAGGGCAGAGCTGACATGTTCAGAGTCACCCCGGCTGCCACCACGCCGGTCATGGGCTCCTGAATATCCAGCAAAGGAGGCTGCTCCCTTTTGGTGTTGCTGGCCTATACCCTGGGGGCTAGGCAGGGGTGGGTGTGGCCCCGCAGTCTGGCTCAGTGGACGGGTGGGAAGGGCACTCTGGGCCCGTGTCCCCATCCCTGACCATCTGCCCGGCTGAAGAGGGTAAGTTGTCAAAATGGCTGATTCTGGCTTCAAATGATGGATTTGAAAGCCCTTATCTGAGCTCCATTTCTCCCTCTTTCTCCACAGATAACTTGGGGCTCCTCTCCCCAAACCAAATTGAGTTGCAAGTTGCCACAACCCTCAGTGGGGCCATCAGGTCCTCACAGTCGCCAGCCCTGCAGACCCCGGCCCCTCCCCAGGAGCAAGGACCTGCCTCGAAAGACTGTCCATCCCCCAGAGCAGAGGACGTGGCGTGGACACACCCAGATGGTCAAGCGAGCACCCCAGAACATTGGTTCTGAGGGGCCTGGGTGCTCTGAGCCACCCCATCTCAGTGGCCCTAAGGAACACATGGGTTGGTGGGAGGTCAGCCCCAGAGGAAGGGGCCTCAGGGATAGGAGTGTGTGTGAATTGGGGGGGGGCGCTTCTTGTCCTGGGCGACACTGTCTCTTCCACGCCCTCCTCTGAGCCCCCTGCTCAGACTGGAGCCTTCCTTTCCACATCTCTGTGCAGGGAAGAGTTTGACCTGCCTCCCCTCCCCCTCGCACGTCACAGAGGAGGTTCCAGGCTGGACTCCTCAGCCAAACGCCCTGCCTTTTGTGCCCACCCCTGCCCGAGCGCGGCCAGCCCCCTCCTCGGTCTTCACCTGCACGCCCTGGTGAGGAGTGGAAGGCCAGGATGGGGTGGGGTGACTGGTGTCCTTCCCAGCCCACTGGGGTGAGCCCAGTCCGACTACCCTCCCGCCCTGTCCTCCTCGGTTCTCCTCCCCAGGTTGTGCAGCCTGGCTTCCCTAGGACTGAGGGCCAGGGCAGGGCCGCACGGTGCTAGGACCGGGGGCTGCTGTGTTGTGGCCCCAGGCCTGGCAGGCACGCCCTGGGCCCAAGACAGGCAGCTGCCAACTGCCTCAGAGTCCCTGGGCTGAGACAGGCGGAGACTGGGTGTCCAGCCTCATGTGGCCAGGCCCGTGAGATGGGCTGAGACAGGTGGAGACTGGGTGTCCAGCCTCATGTGGCCAGGCCCGTGAGATGTGCTCAGTCAACGCCCCTGCTGGGCCCCAGATCCTCATGGCTCTGCGCTGGGGTCATTAAATGGGTTTCCCTCCAGAAATGAAAGCGGCTGAGCGCTGATGTCTCTGCAGGGACACCAGGTCGGCCCGCCCTCTGTTCAGGCACGTCCCTGCCCCGTTGTGGGGGTGAACCTGGCCTTTGAGGGGCTCCAGACACGTGTTCCCAGGGCTCTCCGGTCAGACTGAGGTCACAGGAGGGGGAGTGTGCCTGGGGACAAGCGGAGCCTGTGGGTGCTCTGTCAGCCGCAGCACCCCAGCTCTGGCTCTTAGCTTGGAGAGCTGCCCTGCTGGGGGCGCAGATCTCCGCTGTAGCTGCGTCCGCATGCAGGCCTGAGCTGGGCCTTGGAGAAGGTGGTCTCCATCCCCACACCGAGCCTTGGCCGCCCACCACTGCCACCCCGAGCCCACCCCACTCTCCCCCCTGTTCTCTGGGCCTAGGCCTGGGGCCACCCCCAAGTGCCGACTCGACTTTCTTGGAGCCCCAGGTGCTGCCCGTTCTCTCCTGCCCCGCCTCAGCCCCTCTGGGGCCTTCCTTTGCTGGGTGGGGGTGGGGCCGTGCTGCTCACCTCTGTCCACCCTCTCTCAGGCTCATTATAACTTTTGTAGAGAATGTTCTGCCTCACAGGCATGCCTGTGTCTTGTTCTTTAATCCCGGCAGGAGGGTTTTTGTGCCTGCGAGGACTTGGTCCCATTCCTTGGAGGGGATCCTTGCCCTGGGATGTTGCCCCAGCCTCCCTCCCTGCTCCCCATCTCTTCAGGACCTTCCCTCCTGCCCGGGCCTTGGCAAGGAGGGTGTTTGGGGCCTGCAGCTGCTGAGGGCAGGAGGACACATTCTCCCTTCCCACGGGCACCTGCCCGGACTTCTCCAGAAGGCCACAGCCACCACCCATTCCCTGGCCCATGAGACCAACCTCGAGGCCCTACTTGGCCCTGGGAGGCCCCCTGAGGGCGTCATTACTCTCCCCACCCACGCAGCTCTGCGGGCCTGTTTCAGACCCTCCTTTCTCCCAGGGGTAAAGCCTCCCCGGCGCTGAGGCCAAGGGGCTCTGTGTTCTCCATAAAATGTGGGCAAGGGTCCTGCAGTCATTTCATTCCATTCCCTAAGATGGCTGGGCCCAGTGCCTCGTCAAGGGGCGCTCAGGACCGTCCCTCCCTCCAGCGCCCTTCAGAAGGGTGTTAGGGTGCCTACCGGGGAAGGTTGCCTAGCAACCATCTGGGGTCTTAGGCTACCTCCTGCCATTTTACAGATGGAAACACTGAGGTGTACCGGGGGAGGCCCAGACGCAGAATTCAGAACTGCTTTCACATTCTCCTCACCCCCAGACTGCCAAGGGGAGCAGTGAGACCCGAGATTCTGCTAGGTTCTCCCGCCACGCTCATCTGGTTTGTCTGCACTGCGACCTCCAGGCCAGCGCAGTCGTTGCACCTACCTCACCACCTCCCCGCCCGTCCTGACTCCGCTGGGCCGGGGAAGGTCATGGGGCGAGGACCGCAGGCAACGCACGCAGCGCTTCCGCACGGCAGAGACCAGCCGGGAGCAGTGGGGACGGGGTCTCCGGGGGTCAGAAGCTGGCGGGTGGAAGCCTGGGCACAGGATCAGGACGCCTGAGGGGCTTCAAACACAGCAAAGGGAAGACTTTTACGGGGTGGGGACTGGAGTTTTTCAAGGCATTTCCCTAGAAATGGAGGTGGAGTTCAGGGCAGTTCTGAAAGCAGAGACGGAAGCTGCTGCCCTGCAGAGGGAGAGAGTTGGTGAAAAGTGCACTTGCACAGACACAGGGGGCCAGGTGGGAGTGCTGCTCATGGGCAGTTTTGCTCACAGTTGCAGGCAGCTCACGGGGCCCCAGGGAGCTCAGGTGAAGAAGCCTCAGTGGGTCTGCTGGGGAGTCACAATGTAAGTGGGGTTACCGATTTGATGGAAAGGGGAGTGGTGAGTGAATCAGATAGGAAGGGCCTCCAGGTACTGGAACAACCTTTTCATTTACCAGATGAGGTAACAGGCCCAGAGGGGAGGGCCTGGCCCAAGGTCGCAAGCAGCCAGGTGGGCAAAGTGGCCCTATTGTCCTGACCCTTCCACGGTGCCAGCTGCCTCTGTCCCCATGTTAGACCGGACCCGGCCAGCGCAACACCCCTGTCCCCCCAGAATATCCCCGTGTCATCTCCAGAGACCGCCAGGTCTGGGCAGCAAAACTGACTGTCTCCGCTGCTTGAGCTTGGGTAAGTTAGCCAGTCTCTCTGTTTCCTCATTCACCAAACAGGTATTATAATTTGTTATAATAACAGCGTTAACCCCATGGGTCATTAGGAGGGTGAAATGATAATACACATAAACTCCTAGCACACGGCCGGGTATTCAACACACACCATGTAATCATTGTCATGGCTATTGGTGGCTGCAGACAGGCCCATGGGGGAGGCCTCGCATTTATGGTCCCAGACACCCACTGGATGAGATGTAGGCAGTCCCAGGGTGCAGCCCTGCTTTTCTGACACCACCACCCCCCCCCCCCCCCCCCCCCCCCGAAGGAGAGTGAGCCTGTACCCCCCAATTACACCAGCTCCAGGAGGCATCCTCAGCTAACCAGCAGGGGGCAATGACAATCCCCAGGGGCTAAGGAATGCTCAGCTGGCCAAGGGCGGCCACCAGCCAGTGGGAGGACAGGGCTATTCTCGCGGTGCCCCAGGAGCTGGGCATCTTTGGTGACAGGGGAGTCACAGCCCCACCAGACTCGGTCCCTGAGATGCCACTATCAGAACTTGTGAATTCATCAAGTTTCCCCTAATCCTATGAGGTTAGCAGGTGCAGAGTTTTAGCCCCACCCTTAGATGAAGAGATGATGGGTGAGGTTTTGGGACATTCCGGAGGTCCCAGTAAGTTAAGGAAAGTTCAGGCTCCCTGACCTGGGTCGCTTAGCTGAGCTTTCAAGTTTTTCCTATCAATCATTTCATTGAGTGCTTGAAAGGTGTCAGGCACTTAGATTAAGTTCTTTATATGCATTGAACCCTCACCATAAAACCACAACCCTATAAAGCAAAGACTCTATTATCATTACGATTATCCCCACTTCACAGGTGGGAAAACAGGTCAGAGCAGGTTAGGACTTGCCTGAGCTATGAAGTGGATAAACCACGACGGATAGTCCACGGAGCTGTGGGGTGGACGCATTCCTGTGGCACTGAAACCTGCCCGCCTACCCACAGCGCTGCACTGATCCCCAAGCACTTGGGGCTTGTCTTTGACCTTGGGTGCCCCGGACCTGCCCTGCCTGGGCCAGGCTCGGCCTGTGGTGAGGTGAGGGCATGCCAGCAGTCTGGGCACATGGTCTGACCCCCTGCCCTGGGGCACTGGGCTGAGGGAGGGCAGGTCGGGTTTTGGGGTCCCAGCAGGACCCTGGAGGACTGTTTGGGAGGGTAAACCTTTGGAAATGGAGGAGCAGGGCTAGGACCATGGAAGCATTTCGTCCCAACCAGAGATCCTACCTGTCTCCTGAACCCCAGTCTCTGTCCTGTATCTCCTTGTTGCAGTGGGCCCCCTGCTCCTACCTCCTCCTCAGCCCCTGGTTCTCTGGTCTCACCTCACTAGACCTTGGTCTCTCTCAGTGTCTGTGATGTAGTAATGACAAATATATATTTGATCTCTGCTCTCAGGAACTCCTGAAGCCCTTGTAATTTCCTGCATGATGGGGGTGCCGGGAGCCTCTTTTGTGGTAATATTGGGCCTCAGCGTCCAGCACAGAAATCTTAATCCCCTGGCATTTCTTGGCTGATGGGAGCAGCTTTTGTTCTGATGAGGCAGCTCTGGTTGGGCTCCTGGATAGCTTCAGGGTCGGGACTGGCCACCAGAGAGGGCAAGTCATGATTAGAAGCTTGGACTTTCAGCCCCGGCCTGCTCCTTTGGGGAGGACACTGGAGACTGAGTAGTAATTGCTTACAAGGTGAAGCCTCCGTAAAAACCCGTAGGTTCTGGGATTTGGAGAACTTCTGAGTTGGCGAATGCAGCCACGTGCCCAAGGGGTGGTGCACCCCAACCGCATGAGGGCAGAAGCTCCTGTGCTCAGATCCTTCTAGATATTGTCTCTTATGTCACTTCCAGCTGGCTTTCACCCCATCCTTGACAGTGTCCTCTATAACAACAAGTAAATAAAAGTAAAGTGCTTCCCTGAGCGCCGTGAGCTGTTCTAGCAAATGAGGGAACCTGAGGGCTGGGGGGAGGGAAGCCCCCTCTGTGGCTAGGTGTACGGTGTGTGGGCATCTTGGGGACAGGCACTCGGGATGGGCATCTGAGTGATGTGTCTTGTGGGACTGAGCCCTGAGCCTCTCGTCGTCTGACCCCAACCCTGGAAGTCAGTGTCAGAGCTGAATTAAAGTACAGGGCACTCCACTGGGGTCGGGCGGTTGTTGCTGGAAAGTTGCTGGTTGGTGAGTAGGACCTGCCCCCAGCGGTGCCAGAGGAATGGTTGGTTTTCTTTTAACATCTTTCTCTCAATCTCAGTCTCTCTCCTCCCTGCTCCTCTCCCCATGCCATCCCTGCCCCTGTCTGGGGCTGAGTTGGGAACCCTGTCCCTCCCTTGAAGGCTCCCTCCTTTGCTCACCCCACACCTCACACCCCGTCTGCCCTGGAGGGTGGGTGGAACCCAAGGGTTCCCTGGAACCCAGAGTGAAAACCACTCACAGACAGCCTGAATTCGTCTCATGTGACAACGCCAGGCTGTTCGTGGAGACTGCCGTCACGTGCCACAGGGCATTATGGCGCCTCACTGTATGAGGAAGAGCGTCTGAAGACGGGATTGCAAGTCCAGCCCCAGCCACGGCACAGTGACAACCTTAGTCAATTATAACTTCTCTGCATTTCTCCTTCCACGAAATGGATACGCGGCCGCCCTCCTGCTACCTTTTAGCTGCTAGACCCAAGACTTGGCTGGCGTGGGGGAGGCTCACGGCTCCACTCCAGGCCAGGCCTCGCCTCCTGCCAACAGGCCCATCATCTGTCACCCAGACTCCAGCTCTGTTGCTTCCCTGCTTTTCCAATGAGGAAACTAAGGCACAGAGAGGTTCGTAAAACGCGCCCAGCTGCCAGCGCTGGAGCTAGAGCTCCGACGGGACAGGCTGGCTCCCAACTGGCCGGCTCATGGGGACAAGAGGTGCAGCCAGGGCCTGCGTGTGCGGGCGCCCCACCTGCACGTCAGTGCACCCTCGCTGAGACGTGACGGGCCGGCTGCTCCACCGAGGGGGGAGAAAACCAAGACTCCAGGGCCTGAGGTCACAAGTGTGTGGTCTTCCAGGCAAGGCCTGATTCTTCCTCTGACTTCTTGGCTGGCCCGACCCATCGCCCCATTCCCCCAGAATGGCCTGAGTTTCTTTTGTGCCTCTCTTGCTGGGTGACTAAGCCCTGTGGATCTGGAGCAGGAAGTGGGGTAACTTCTGGCAAGTCCATTCAGAGCCACCCATGCCCGCTCTTTGGAGAAAGGTCCTTAGGGCCTGCCCGTGTGGGGAGCCCTGCATGGCTTCCTGAAGCTGTAATCCCATGGGGCCCTGGTTGCACCCCCTTCCCTCCCTTCCTCTGGCTTCTTGAACCCCTGGCCCTGGCCGCTCAGTGTGGGGCTGTGTTCTGGAGGCTGTGGACCCTCTCCCCGCTCTGGAAATGGGCAGCCTGGAATTGCTCTACTGGACCCTCAACAGTAGCTGGGGGTGCCCCGGTGGGTGGGAAGGGGAAGCAACCCCTCCATTCTTCGTGGGCTCTCTCTGGACCCCATAATCAACCCAGGCTTTGTGGCACTGTCTCACTCAGCCCCACAGCAGCTGCCTGCAGGGGGCGCCCCGAGGCAGGAGGGCGCTTCTTACTGGCTGGGTTTTATAGAACCAGCCTCTGAGGCTCAGGGCTGCTGGGAGGGCCTACGCCAGGCTGGCTAGTCTGGCCCATCGGTGCTGCTGCCCACCACCAGCTGCCTTCTCAGGAGCTGTGTCTAGCACCTTCCACAAACCAGGCAT